ACAATAATTTTGTTTGAAGAAATTTTGCCTCAAACTTCATCTTTCTTTAAACATATTATTTTGTAAAAGAGCAGAAAACATTAATATGTTAAGTAAAGATCACAACAAAACATGCAAGTAATAGCCCTGTCAACACAAGCATTTTGCTGTCCTCTTCTTTCTGCCGTCGTGTTGCATAAACTCACTTATGATGACATTTCTCTACCCAGATCTGGGTAATGCTTCTGATTGGCTGAAACTTTCCTTCATCTAAAATTATCAGAAGCACTTCCCAGATCTGGGTAGTAGCACATTACCGGTATGGAATTTATTTACTTGTTACTCAGATGCTGTTTTGCGGGGAAACCAGTGGTGCTGTCATGAAATGTCAGCTTTTTTCTCAGGTTACAAAGAATCGCTGCTCATTGCCAATGTAAAAATAGAACTGTATTCCTTTTGCCAATTTTCAGGTGTCTTTTGATGTTGCATGGTCGCCAGATTGTATTGATGGACGGTGTTATGATGCTGAGGCTCTTTCAAAAGTTGTGGACTTTTTGGTCATAATGGCGTATGATGAACAGAGTCAGATCAAAGGAGACTGCATAGCAAAGGCAAATTCACCTCTAAATCAAACAACACATGGTACATCCTTTTTATAAATTTATTATAATTATTATTCCTAAATTGTTATTATTTTTATTACTATTAAGGCTGTGCTCTGAAAATTATTGAAGGAAGCCCAGTACTTTAAAGCTACAATGTGTAAGTGTGAAATTCTTGCTGCCTACATGTAGGATATGATTTTTATGAAAAGAAAATTAATAAGATTTCCGAGTTGTCGAAAAGCAAAAGTAAGGTGCCTGGGGCCTGTGACTGGGTACTTCCAGAGCACAGACTTGATTATTTTTTACTTCGGCGGAGCGCGAAGTAAAGGATTCGCGACGCTCAGGAATGTATCTAAGTTGCAATTTTTTGACAAGATTGGGCAAACAAAGTCTGTAGGTTTTCAGCTCTATTCGGCTATTCGACGAAGTGAGAGCCGAATTAGTTCGAGATATCTCGAGATCACTTCGATTTCTTTGAATTATTCTTTAACTTTTTCGAGGAAGAAAGAATTACTATTTTGGTCTTCCCGGGGTTTGAACCGACTCACCTGTGTGACCCGTCAGATCAGAGGAGACTCTAAGTTGAGGGATTAGCCGATTGCGCTACTGCGACCCAAGGTAGTTTTGGAGATGAAAAATAGTTATGAAATGATGCACTAGTTTCGGGACAAGATTGGGTGTGCAAGTTCGTGACTTTTCAGCTTGTTTCAACTATTTCACGAAATGAGATCGGACTTCTTCGTGATATCTTGAGATCACTTCGAGTTAAGTCTTTAATTAATCGAGGAATAAATAGAGGATATTTCGTGGCCGCGCAGAGACACGAAATTTCTCTTTGAGTGTTGAAAAACATTTCACGAGTGAGCCCTCCTTTCGAACTGTTTTATGATGAATTTAAAGTTAAAAAATGCTGCCCAAAGACATTTTGTCTTTGTTGAGTGTTACGTAGTAAAATTGCTTTCATGCGTTGCGTGACTTTCTCGAACGTTCTCTACGTTTTCGGATTATCCAAGAATAATTAATTAGGGCATGTTTACATTTCAGCATGAGTCAGCAGATTTGCATGAGTTACTGAAATCATAAAATATGTTGAAAAGCTACCACTATTCGCCTGTTTAGTATTTTCTAGAACCTTATGTCCAACGGTATACAAGTTCCAAGCGAGTTCTTTTGACGAACTAAGTTTTTTCCCACAAGCTGGATTGCTGTGTTTAGTCAAGTGTGACGAAGGTCGATTTTCAGGTTCTGTGTTTACAAGTTCGCGGAAGCCGTAAGATATCTGAAGTTCAAGTGAGAGTTTGTTATTATTGGTAGTTTTACTCAAAGTTCAAGTCAAGTTTGTGTTCGCGGATGCTGTGTTTTAAAGCTCTGCAAAGGCTATGTTCCTTTGGTGTTAAATTTCCTTGTGTTAATCCGACATCCCTGCGTGCTGATAGTCAGTGAATAATTATCCTCAAAACATTCGAACTCGTGACTTTGAGTTTTAGCCAATTCCATGCTCAACGTAATTGACTCCTTACCCATGCCTTACATATCTTTAATGGGACTGCTATGCTGTTTTTAAAGCCTGATGTGGCTAAGGAAAATAGAGACTTGTTTTTTAGAAGGATTTGCATGGAGTCATCAGAGCATAACTGGGCTAATATCGCGGAGACAATTTGTCCTGAAATGCTAGTTTTTGGCAAGTAGGCCTCTTGGATGTTGCTCTTTTCAGAATATCCTGACAAATCCCATAATTTCACACCTTACTCTTACCATATTTGATTTCTTACTATTCCTCCGCATTTACAATTAATTAGTTCCACAACCACGACGCTGAAGTGTACGCTAGCTCCGTAGCGTCTTGTCAAAAATTATTCGTCTTCTCTTATTTTTAAGCTGACAAGTGAGTTACCTTAAAAAATTTGGTCTGATATGAAATCTCAGAAATTAAGGTGTGAAATGAAGATGTTTCATTCTGCTGGCTAAGACAATAATTTCATTCTTTTTTATCTTTGTTTAGCTGTGGGAGAATACCTAGCATTAGGAATCAAACCAGAAAAGCTTGTCCTTGGATTGCCTTGGTATGGCTATGACTACCCCTGCATTGAACTCACAGATGATCGAATTTGCAGCATCAAACATGTTCCATTCCGGGGCGTGAATTGTAGTGATGCTGCTGGGAGACAGATAGAGTATGCAGAAATAGAGGATTTAGTGGTTAGCAGGGCAACAGTTGGTCCTCAGTGGGATGAAGATACTGCCTCATACTTTTTCAACTATGAAGACAGTGTTGGTGGAAAGCACCAAGTCTGGTATGACAACCCATACAGCCTCAAAGCCAAGTACAAGTTTGCAGCTGAAAATGGTTTGAATGGTGTGGCCATCTGGAATGCTGATTTGTTGGATTACAGTGACATCCCAAGAGCTAGAGAGGAGACCAAGAACATGTGGGATGCTTTACAGCATTAGTTTGCTTGACATGAATGTACTGTCTAATGAAACACCATCTTTTCATCTATGATCTCATTGCCTACAAATGCCACTAAATATGTTAATATTAATTTTATTAATCATCAAACAATGGGTATCAAGTGAAGAACAGCTCCTGCAAAATATCTGTCAGATGACTGACAGATGCTCAACACATAAAATCTTTTGGCCAATTACATATAACTGTCACCTGTAATGTATGGTCTATCTCAAGCCAGCTGACAACCATGCAGTGAATAACATGTAAAATGATCCGAGATTGCAGTATGATTTAATCCGAGGAATTAATTGTGGTGAGCCATTTTCCTGTGCTGGTGTGGCATTACTTGTCAGACAAGTTCGGCTAACCATATTACTTTTTTTCAAATAACTGAGAGTGGCTGACTGCAAGTAACTTTTTGCAACCCATTAGGTTAACTGTTGGCTAACAGTCTTGTGACAGATGTTTTTGGGAGCTTTAATTTTCTTCACCATTATTCTTATCACGTATGTTTGCCTTCAAAACTTGGACGTTTCACAGGACATTATGTCATGTTTGGCACTGAAAGGATGTTTTTGTTACAAAGCTAGCTGACAGTCATGATTTTGTTCTGTGTGTGGTTGATCAGGTCAAACTCAAGCAAAAATATAATACTTCAATAGTGTTTAAAAATATAACATGTCATTTAGAATGACTTTCCTTTTGCTGCTTCAACATTTCTAATAATTTTTTACTATGTCAAACAGCCCATGAACTTTCCTCGTTAATTTTTCTGATTGGAATCTAAATCTTTTATTTCTTCCTCTTGATGGCTTAACACATAGTCAGTCTTTTTTTTGCAGTCTCTTGAGGTTTGCAAAGGAATCATGACATGATTTTTTAAAGCTAGTTTGTACTAAATCACTATAAAAATGCCTACAATGTTAAAAAAGTGCTTTGCAAACCAATAATGCAATTAGAATGCAAGGAAAAGGCTCAAAGCAACTTTACTATATTTGCAGCTGTGTGCCACCTTCTGCTACCAAAGAATTTTACATGTGAAAATTAAACTACTAAGTCTAATAGTTACATTATTTTTGACATCCAACAAATTTCTAATATATAAATATTTTTAGATGTGTATATCAGAGATCTGTAAGAACATCACTCCCATATAGTACTTAGTCTATTCAATACAGATCTTGCAGTATATTGAATAAATTTAATATATTTTTCTCATATTTTTACAGTGAAGTGGTTGTGAATCACAGCTGTGCGTAATAAAGAGGATTCATTTCCAAACAAAGTTGTCTCCTTGTTATGACACTTAAGACTCTCTGTCTCCCCTCAGCTAGCTTTTACTGCAAAACCCTGTGAAGAAGATTAAAAGCTCTTGAAGGGTTAATCTACCTCGCAGCTGTTTTTGTGTGCACGGTTTCCATAGAAACCATAACACTATGCAGTTATGTCATGTCCATAATGTCTGTTATGTCTGTGATAACATGTGGTAATTTTGAGGGTCAGACACAGTACTGTATGATTCAGTTCGCCAACAGGGGAGTTTATTAATACTCTCAGGTTGTTGCTTGTCAGTTTATCAATTTATTTTTTTCTAGTCAAAAGAAATTTTGCAAAAAAAGGGGTAATGGTGGTCATTGGTGCCCGAGGGGTGGACTCCACATATGAAAGGGGTGGGGATGCCCGTCGGAAATTTTGAATTAAACCCCTAAAGGAGACCGATCTGGGCGTGGCGCAAGCTTTTTTTGACCCCTAAAAGAGACCAAAAAATATACATATCAAATTTACTTGTATATATTTTTGTATTTTTGCGTGTGCAACCCTAAAGGAGACCTTCATGGCCAAACATGACGGCATTTTCCCCAAAACACCCTTAGCGAGACCAAAATTCGAAATTTACACCCCTAAGGGAGACGACAAGCATCCCCACCCCTTTCATATGTGGAGCCCCCCCCCTGTGCATTGGTGGAGCCTAAGCATGACCAGTTGCATTGAAAAAATATTTATCTTCACAGTTGGTGCAAGAAGTCATGCTTTATTTTCTCTTTGATGCTAGTCATCGTTATGCCATGACATAAAGGTGAAGCATAAACTTACTGCATCAGATGAATAAGCGTCACCTTGTGTGCCAAAAATTTTTTCTTCTTTGCAAGGAATCATGCTATATTTTCCTCGACAAAATAGGTTACATTTCATACTTATTTGGCATGGTAAGTCGATAACATGGCAAGTGCACAACACACATCAAAAACTTTAAACACGTCCTTTCTCTCTAGAAAGCTATTCTTGTTTTTTTTTTTAATTTGGTCAGACTCAATAGCTACTAATATTAAAACTGCATGTCTGATCCTGATGTCTGACTGTAGACTGGTTTTTGCCTAGACCCTATAGGGCCTAGGGCTCACTATTCAACATGGCCATTTCAGTCACGCTTTAGCCTGTGCCAGGCTCTCAGATAGTATGTGTAGTGGGAACTTATTAAAAGTGAAATTAAGACGCGCACGACTTGGGAAAGGGGGCGGTGACGGTGTCTCTCCCCAGCCCCCGCGCGTTTTTCGCATTTCTTATTACTGAACGACTTTCCACCACTATCTCGGAGCCTGGAACAGGCTAGTCACGCTTTGACCATTTTGTTCTGGCCCTGTCACCAACTCAGAGATGCATTGACTGAGTAGGCCATGCCATCTTTCTTTTGTCATTTTGGAATGGATTTGAAACAGGGTGATGGCACCTCCACTCAGTTTCAAAATACAGTAGATTCAGGCACATTGGAAAGTGGAGCTGTAAGTTTAATTGCCATCAACTAATGTATTAACGATCTCCAGGAGTGAGGTTCGGGCTACACTTTTCCAGTTTTTAACTCAACATTCAACTTAACGACAACTCCTGTTTTTGATACACCTGAAGCGATCTTAATGTGATTTTGATTTTGAACAGGGAAACTGTCCTTTCTCCGATACACATCCGTCAAGAGCTATTTGATTTAACTGGTTGGAATTGACAAGTTATAAGTGGCACCAGCCATTGCCTCCACCTGTAAGCTAAGGTTTAGAATAATTCCATATCCTCCCCAGCCACACCCCAGGTCCCACAAAAGAAAAAAATGACCAAACGAAGAAGGAAAACCCAAGTACAACTGGGAAAAGATAAACAACAACAAAAGCAAGATTATAAAGCTTTGATCTTTTTAATTTTGGTTGACAAAAATGTGTTATTCCAATACCTAACTTACAAAAGATACATCAATCAGTGGTAGTAAAAACCCTGTGTAAAAGAAACATGGCAAAGAGGATTTACAGACAACAGGATCAATAGCCTCAGCCTGGGAAGGGGGGAGGAAGTGTGGGGACTCCGCATATGAAAGGGGGTGGGATGCTTGTTGGAAATTTTGAACTTAACCCCTAGAAGAGACCGATCTGGGCGTGGCCCAAGCTCTTTTTTACCCCTAAAAGAGACCATGTTAACACACAGACAATACACATATTTTTATATTTTGTCATGTGCAACCCTAAACAAGACCTTCACGGCTAAATATGATGGCATTTTGCCCAGAACACCCCAAGTGAGACCGAAATCCGAAATTTACACCCCTAAGCGAGACGACGAGCATCCCTACCCTTTCATATGCGGAGTCAACCCTCCCTCCCAGGAGCTTCAGCTTGTTGCAAGTTAAGCAAATTGATTTTGAAGTATCATCGTTACAATATTTTTCTGTCCAAGAATCATAATATTGGCAAACAGTTCTCACCTATGGAAAATGTGGGTTGCAACTATACCTCCCTGTAACACAATAGTAGCTTGGCTGCAATAAATACTATGTAATTATTATTCTGTTTTTAGTTACCCATGACATAAATAATTTTATTTATTATATAGTATCTGAGTGCATAAATAAAGGTAACCATAAAATTGAAAGATTTATCCCTAAAATTCTATTTACAGTAGAAATAATACAAACATTTTCATTACACTTAATTTTGACCATAATTAAGAAAATCATTTTTTTGCAAATTATTATCTTTGTCATCTAACTATGATAGGAAAACTGTGAATATCAGTTTTAATACATGTAGTACTTCATTATTCTGAGCAAGACCTTTTAAAATAGTCTTGAATTCTAACTATACAAAGAAGATATTTCCACTACCAGTAGTTATGTCTTAAATACCTGATCAGTTTTCTCCTTTGTGCTAATTTGCAAAAATATCTGGAAAATGTGAATGTAGCTCTTAGCTAAAGGTTTAAAACTGTTTGTTGCATTTTAAAGGAAATCAAATTAAACCTTAATATGAAAGCTTACAATTATTTGTTCTACAGTGTCACTATTTAAGCTCTTATGATAATAAAAATTGATTTAAGTTTGTTTTCTCAGGATTAAAATTGCACATGTATTACTGTGGCATATTCTCTCTTTTGCCATTATTCACACATTGCTCTCTTTCAAGTTAACTAGTCCCTCTGTGATTTTGGCTAAAGATTTGTCACCACTCATACTAGGGTCTTCGGCAAGTGTCTTGGCAAGACATTTAGTAACAGCTTCCATTTGCTTCATTACAAGATGCATAGTGCGTTCAGTGGTGTCCAACCTCTTCTGCAGCTCTGTTAGATGTTTCTTAGCTGTCAAACGAGAAAGGCCAAAAATGATAAAGCATAGCTCAACATGCGTGCACAAGAAATATATAACAAATAACTTTTTATCCTTTGGAGTTATGTTAGGCCATCCTCTTTTTTTTCCATTTAGCATCGTCTGACTGACCCAAATTTTTGGCATTGTCAATTATAAAAACAAAAAGTAAAGAAATAGTTAAACCATTTTTCAGTTTAAATAATTCTTTTAATCAGAAAAATGAGCATAGTAACAGCATAGAGAAAAACAGGAACAAAACTAGGAACATTTTTTACATTATATTGTGCGTTTTGTTAATCCAAATACGTAGATATTAACTTTTAACATCATCCTTTTCCGCCATATTGAATTTGGGTTCATGTCTTGTTGTTTCCAGTCTCCACAGCAATGATGCTGTGGTACCAGGCCTCCCGTTCTGAGACTTCTTGTGTTTTTTTTAGTTTTTTTTTTTAATCTGACCGACCGACCCAATATCAGGAAACGCATTTGAAAAAAAAGGGGATGGCCTTGTGTACAAACAAAATAGACAGACAACTACTACAGTACAGTGACATTGCAATGCCAAATAAAACTTACATAATAAGACTATTTATTTATAAATAACTTCGGATACTACAAACTGAGAAATTCTTTACGTTCACTGAAGATTTTTTAGAGGGGGCGCAGGGAATGGCATTGGAATTAGAACCAAAAACCTTCCTTGGGGAGATGAATCATTACTTTCTACTAGGACACAATCTTGATATACAGTCATTAGAAAGTATTAAACAATCTCTGTTTTTGTTGTTGTTGTCATGTTGTGCTCATCCCCAGTTTATCACCTGAATCATGAAGCTACATGTAGCAACACTGGGCCGATTTTCCAAAACGAAACTACAGGTTTATAACGTAGCCCTGCTTTCACACAAGAATTAAGAGGCTTATAAGCAACTCAAGTGGTTGCAATATTAATATCTACACCAAGGAACTTGTTTATACAACTCATTGCCCTAAAGTCTCATCCATAACCCTCCACATGTACCCACCTGGCTCAACTCCAGAAGCTTTACTCTGGAGAGCGCGCAATTGTTTCAGTCGATACCCAACTCCTTCACAGACAGTAAGCAGGTCTTCCAGTTGGGTCTGAGTATTAACAGGCCTTTTTATTGCATCACATGCCATTACATAAGGGCAATCAGGATAGTATTCTTTGTGGCCCTCCATTGGGTCATCGCCTGGTTTCCACATTTTAAGGGTTCCCTTGCACTGAAAGCATTTTACCACATCATCTATTCCGGTAAACACAAAGCCTGCTCTTGCCAGTTCAAACACATTTACAGAGCTTGTTGAAGGCCAATACATGAAAGTTCGCACTCGATTTCCTGGCATTGATATATCTGTTAGGTTGGTGGGTGGGGCTGGAAGATCACCTTTTTCAGTATTTTCAACATGGTTTGTGGTATGCACATGTTTTTCTGAAAGGGGAATGTGGAATTTACTTTAATGGAGCTATTCAAGAAAGAAATCATTGTTCCTGTGTAAGGTTTTATCAGAATGACAGGAAAATAGTTACAAGTAGTGTTGTCAAGACAGTGCAAAAAAAAACTAAGCTTTGAATAGAGCCTGACAACTCCCACTTCCATAGAAGAAAAAGGTTGTTGTAATGAAAAACGTGCATTACCATTCATGAGTCTAAGTTGTGCCACATCTCTAGTAGGTTAAATTAGTGTGGAATTAATGTGAAGCAACATTGTTCCTAAGTGCGATTAGTGAAAAGCCATACATTCCCCCTATTACACAAATTTAAGTACTGTGAATTAGAACAAAGTAATAATGCATATTAAAGCCAACATTAACAGTTTTTCAACTACAGAAATGGAATTGTTTCAACACTTTAAATGAATAGTGAAGCACATTGATAAGTGGAAAATGAATTAAAACATTCTAATCCAGAAATGCATACCACAAACCATCAAGAAATTCTGAATTGCAACAGCTGAAGGGGAAAGGTTTTCTTTCACACTAAAGGCCAAAAATTATTATTTACATGTAGGCCCTGAGTTAAGAGGAAGACTTTGGCTACACTGGAACACAAGTAATTCAGATCGGAGTTTCAGAAGATTTTTTATGAAAATGTCATAATAAACCTTTGGCCAACCCAAACGATTTGTTGATCTAAGGGGACGTATTTTCACTGTAAAAGTTGTTCTTGAAACTTTAAAATTTCATACATTTCTTTTAATTCCTTTATAATGTTCAGGGCCACATAAATGTAAACCTTTAACTTAGACATAGATCTATCTCTTAGTGATGCTCTTCATTTAGCCGTTGTCACTCATGATCAGAACCCAACTGGAAAGACCTGCCAACTGCAAAGCCAAGGGTCATCAATAATATATTATGTTAGATATTTCAAAGTACTATTTATATCTGTACATAGGGAGAATGTAGGCTGTGCAAATTCAAACAGATTGACTTGCAATGATTCCATAATATTCAATATATATCAAATTATTCTGTACAACTTCACTATCTTACTAGCAAGGCAATAAGGGTTATATCGATGCTGCTTTTTTTAATAATTACGAATTTTGCAAATTTTGCTAAAGACATCACTTAATGCCGAAATTGTACATGACAATAATTAATGTCAAGTCAATCTTAAACAGAATTAAAATATAAATACTTGTATTAGGACATCACTGAAAAAACACCCCCAAAACTGGCTTCATCTATTTTAATGTAAGAACAAAGAAAATGTATAACTATGGTAGCAGCTGATCATACTAACTATAACATACCTTCTTCCTCAGTCATGAAGGTCTGGCCCTTTTTCTTTTGTTCTTCTGCCAATTTCTTTAGTCTACGGCGTCTCTGTTATAAAAGTGTAAACAGCGCTTTAATTTACAAATTCCCCTATGACCTCCTTGATATGGACTATACATGTATGTATCCCTCTAAATCATGCAGCTATGAGATGTATATAATATATTATTGGTCAGGGATAAAATGATATATCACTTTTTTTCTTTTTGTTAATTTTGGTCAGTTTTCAACAGAGCATCTTTTTAACTAACAGTTCATGTCTTTTCTCTTGCACTATAGTCACTCATTGCTCATCACAGAGTAATGTCATGGAGCTAATGATTCATACAATCAAAAACTAAACTAAGTGAGTAGTAGCCTGCTGTGCGCAGGAATGTTTTTACTTGTGAAAGCACCATGTTGAAAATCTAAAAGTCTGAAAGGCGGAGCGTCTACAACAGTACAAACATAAAGAAGCAGCTTTCGTCTGCCCAAAATACGCCTGCACTGTAGGTTAAGTCAGGAGTAAAATCAAAACACACTTTTCCACAAGTGCATATGTATATGCATATGCCACATCCCAGCTCTTATGTAACTAATGGGTTGACCAAGAATGTGGCTGCCAGAAAGTGCGATACTGTTTAGCCCCTGATCTTAGATGCTGATAAAACAGGGCTGCTATTCCGTCTGTGATAGGAAGGTTTAAAGCTTGAAAATAGAGCTTGCTAAGAACCTCTGTTCATGCATGAGGAAGCCAAATAATTTCTCAACTCTGCCGCCTCTGACTAATTCATTATACTTGATCTTTATTATCCTCTTCCATCTTGACAATTTTACTAAGGTGTTGATCTGGAGTGTTTCCTTCTTTATAAATCACATACACCTAATTGCAATAACGTTGTCGTAGAAAAATGAAAAAAGGAAAAAGCCCAATAGGAATAATAAAGGCACATTCTCAGGGTTCTCACATTCTCATTTGTAGCCACTGCATTTCCCTGCTGGAATTTTTTTATTGTTTTTCAGCTTCAAAACAATAGCAAATTCCCACAAGCCAATAAGATGTCCATGTGCGGATGCTGTGAATGAATTCATTAGGCTTATTAGCCTAATTAATTCTTATTTGGCTTTTTCCTTTTTTCATTTTTCTAGGACAACATTATTGCAATTTATATTAGGTGTATATACTTTAAAACATTGTACCAAGTAAGAGCTCTATATACATTTATATGCTCCTATGCAAAAGGTTTTGCTGTCAGAATACAAGCAAGAGTCAATAGAAGCTGGGGGATACAAACATCCAACATCCTACCTATACCTCATGAATTTAATAACCCTTCTGGGGTATAAATAATTTAATTACCCATCACTACAAAAAAAGGCATGCAGTCTCACAACACTCTATATTTTTTGCGCAAGTCAAGACTTGGTGGTTGGAAAGAACTCAGGAAGGATTATGAACAGTTTTGTACAACTAATAATACATTAATGTCTAGGAGTAATAAGCCAGTTGGTCAATAAAATTTAGAGTACGGAACTTAACTTTGTGCTTCCTGGCAGTAAATTATTCCAAAATCATGCTTAGCAGCACAATCAGGTACCTGTTAAAAACTGCAAACACTAGGTACCAAGGTGTGGTTAAAGCTGCTGACTGGTTTTCAATTATTCACAAACCAGTTTTTATTATTTGCAATTTACCAAATCAAACTATAGGACCTCAAATAATTTAAAACACATTTAATTCAAATGTCATTTTTCATGACATCTAAAACACTTAGTTCTAACTTATCTTAAAATTGATAAACAAGACGTTATTTTAAAATCGATTTTTTTACAGTTAATTTTTTTTTTTTGCACATTACCCCACCCCAGATCTAACATGATCTAATTAGCATCAGTCTGTTAGCAAAACTTTGCAACAAAAGGGTTGATGGTATATATCAAAGGGAGAAAACATATCTTATTTACTTGGACAGAAATTTTACATTATTTTACTATTTTTAATAAAGAAAGGTTACAATCACTAAATTCTCTGCATACGAAACTATGTCCTCAAAGGAATTATTAAAAATAAATGCGACAGCGTTAAAATAATTATTTTCGTCAAGTCTGGAAAATGCCTTGTTAATGAACGTAAGAGGTGAGATTTCATTCCAAATGAAAAAGAAATTATTATAAATATATTTTTTGAACTCTGAGGGTGATAGCGCTGTTCAGAAAAAAATTGTGATAAATTTTTATAGTGACAGTTCCTTAAGAAGGTTTTAACGTGACAGACAAGAGCACATCGCTGTCAGCTGGAAAGATGAAAAAGAAATGAGATGATACTTACCCTAAATAGCTGAACAGCAAGAAACAGACCGAATCCTGGAAGAACATACTTCCATGGGACATGATAACCAAAAATGTGAAAATCTTTGATGACTCTTAAAATGTTGGCAGCGATGTCCGCATGGGGCTTAACATGTTTTCCATAAACCTTCTTTATCTTGGGATAAAATACAGCTAAAACGACACCTAGCACAGCTACAATCAGCAGCTTCGTTTTCAACTTAGCCATTACCGGTTAAGAGCAAGCTGCAACAAGATAGCTGCTAGGAACACTTCATCAACTGCTGGAATGAAAGTCCTCTGTCATGGCTGTTGTTTACATGTTACGGGCATGCGTACTTTGAAGTCATATGCACGTGCCTTGGATGCCTCGTTTTTACGCGTCCAATGCGCATTCAGAATTCAGCCCACAATCCGCAAGATACCACAACCTGACGCGTTGAAACGCTTTAAAATTTATGCATTTCATGATTATTTAATGAATCTACGATACAATGCAAAACTACAAACAAGAAGTCCAAATGAAAAATTTCCAACCTGTCATTTCACCTTATCTTTATGTAAATCCTTCTTTACCTTTCGGAATGGTAAGAGGCTGTTTAGATACAAGTGAAAAAAAGAAATAAAAATATTTAATACACCTGTTAAAATCGCCAAGGAATTTTCTCATTGTCTCAAAATTTATGAAATCATAAATGTTTTAAGCAGTTTAATATATTTCCTAGGAAAGTCAGTGTTTAAACAAGCCATAATTATCAAATGTGCCCTTCAAAGACCGAAATTCAAAGTCAATCTGTTGAGCATGTGCCAAGAACTTGGAACAAATACGTTATTTAAATTTTAGATTAACAACAATCTGACCACATTGATGTGGTAAGTGAGGCCAACATAACAAAGCTGCCCGCAAAAATTAGGCTATCTGGGAAGTCAATGCAATACAGTAATTGGTCACGTGCCTAGTTATTCTTTTTCGCCCCATAAGAACTGTTGTTAGATGGAAGGAGCCTACGTTTTTCACCTTTCTTGGACATGACTAACAGCTGTAACCATTTGCAACTAAAACAAAGGCAGTACCTTCTCGCCTCTGTAATCCAGTAATATTTAACATTCAACTTCGTCCTCAGGGGCTTCAAAATAGCGAAAAGCCTGGGCAGGAGGTTGCTCTGAAAGTCGGGTTAGTGGAACTAACCAGCATGCATACTTTAGTTTATTTGTTATCCTAGACCTATCAACGAAAGTATAGTTACAAAAACACATAAGTGAAATATGTACAAGGCACTAACCGTATAAAAGAAATAAAAGCGCGATATGAAGTAGCTAACTACATTGAATTTGTAAGTTGATTATATATAATGCATTGTGTTAAATTACAATCTTTACTTTAATATAAGCAATTTAAAATGTCCAGATTTCCATTTCGCTACCGCAAGAACATCAACATTGCGAGTCGAGTCTTTAATTTTAAAAATAAATTGGCGGTTTTTCTGGTAACAAACCCAGGCTTCCTAGCCTTTTGAGCTCTTCAAATTCCATGACCTTTTTCAGTTTTCAAGGACTTTAGTTTTAGCTATCACTTTCAAAAATTTTCACAATTATTGTTTTTGGTGATATTTTCTCCCTGCCTATTTAATTACGTAACTCTATCCATTCTCGACCCTAGCACTTACGGGTTTGGGAATCCTCTACATGCGCAGAAGAGCTCTGGGTCGAGATTGATCTCTATCTTACTTTGTCCTTGCTTTGACATCCGCAGTAACTAATCTACCAAACATTACTCCAGTTTTCCATCACTCTCGATGTCTAACAATTAAATACTATGACTTTCTAGGCCTGGAAAATGAAATTCTTAAATTTCTTGACTTTCCAGGGTTTTCCATGACCTGTGCGAGCCCTGCAACTCACATGCTCATTTCAAGTAGCAAGAGAACGCGTCGCTGCGGATTAGAACGTGGCACATCAAAACTCAGCTTCCCAAAGTATGTGAATTTTTAAGATTATTGTATCCTTAAAGAGAGGACTCAATGATCTCTTTCACATATCAACTTGATTATTACTTTCGAAAGTCGTAAAAATTGCAAAGGACCACTCAACGCTGCGATCGTGTTTTCTATCCGGCGGATCTACTACACTGAGGAGATAAGTGTTACTGGGTGTAGTTCAAAGTCTTCAACAACAAATAAAAATAATGTTGTGCTTTAGTTTTATTCGTGGTAACAACTTTACCTTTCTTTGTTTCAAACTCATCATTAGACAATAACGCACAAATTTAAAGCAAAAATAAATTGTTTGCCACTCAAAATACCGCATTTTTAACAATTTTATCCGGCCATAGTTTATAACAATGAGATCTTACAACTTGATCATCTTTCCCATCTTCTTTTACTAAGGGAGTCGAAACGAAACAAAGGACAGACATTCGATCTATTAATTTTTATTGAATATCAATAGAAACCACTGATCGCGAAGGCAGCTTCCGAGAGCATAAATAAAGGGGAGAAGTGTCACGCCACGTTACCATGGTAGCAAATGGTCATTTGCATTGCCATATTTGCAGGACCACGGTTTGTTAAGATCCAAAAGATGATTTTTCTACCATGAAAACGTGACGTAACGACTTCTCCTCTCTATTGTTCAAGGCATTTCCCCCTTTCGCACAGGTAATATTATTTGTAAGCTATGTAATAAAGAATGATTTATACCGGGGAGGGGGGGGGGGGGGGAAGTATTACGGGCGGATAATTACGTATTTTTTAGGGTTACTACTAGTTAACTGAAGTCATCAAACATGCGTCCCAGAACAAATCGGCTTGTTGCTTGTTGTAATATGCATAAAACAACAATAATTTGTAAGCTACTGGAATAAACAATCAAGAATCTTCGGATAGAGGAACTTCCTGACATTGTTGCCCGGCAATGAATGGGCGTAACATTCGGGAGCGAAAAGCAAAAATCACAAGGTTGCGCGATAGCGGAAGAGGGATGCATTGTAACACTTTTCTCGACTACAATGACATATTTTATTGCTAATTTTAAACAACTTTAAACTAAAAGAACCGAACATTCTTCAAATCAGCCTGAAAGCTTCACAAAACGTTTCCTGGATCCTTGTGGCGATTTTTAAAAAGCATAATCGTAATTGGATTCCTGTGATACTCTAGTTAGGTGTGAAACTAGACAGCTGTTACGAAGCCTCTTTGCTGTAAAGAAACGCTATCAATGTTTTCTGTCTATCGTAACGCCTCTAAAGCGTCACTTAACTGGTGCAAAGTTCGCCATTAATTTTTTTGAATGACCAGAACAAAACGACAATTGCTCAAAAGAATCTAAATATTCGTGGGCCCCATTTTAGCGAGATATTTTAGCGGTAGAATCTTGAGTTGGTCCGTTTGATCCATTTTAATAATTCCATCAGGATCGTCGATGTTGATAAGGGTCCCTGTGCGCTCGCGGTCGTCTCCTAAAATCACTTTGACCTGCAAAACAGAACGCAAGTGTCACTGTGAGAACTGGACTCAAGCTAAGAAAATGGAACCGCGATTACTAGGAAAAATTACGACGGAAAAGATGTCCCTCAAAAGGAAACGAACCTATGGCTCAAGCCTAAAATACTATTTGGGGGCTGCGGTCACACCATGCGAGCATAGCATCCTTTTGTCTTCTTCTTGATTGAGGAGGAGAAAAGGAGGCTCTGCCTGAATCACGTCAAGCCTTTGACGTCACCGCAGCCCGGAATTCTGGACTATTCAATCTTGTTTTCCCCCGTCAAACCAGTTTTTTCGAGTGCGAGCATCCATTTATTGATAAACCGATGGTCATTACTGAGCCTGTTGTACCAAGAGCATGGTTATTACGGCTGGGTTCAAAACTGTCTCCTAGCAACATGCAGCGCATGCTCAACAAAGATCTTACTCGATTCATGCAGAGTCTTGCTCAAGTAAGCCAAATTTGAGGAAGCGAAAGAAAGGCTCTGCTATAAGGGTGGGGCTGTCACCACTGATTGACGGAGGAACTAATAACGTTAACTGGAGATAAATAGTCAAACAAGATGTACAGGTTACCTTATCCTGTTTAACTGGTTCACCAGGATCCACGTTGTGAATAGAGACACTGACGTCACGCTTTTCGTCGTATAAATAGACTGTGCAGGTTCCTCCAGCGACAGTACGTACTACACCTTTCTTGTCCATTAGCTTAGGATCCTGGAAACAAACCACGTGGAATACACGTGATCATTAAGATTAAACAAGTGATAGAATGAACTTCGAAAAACTTCTTTCGAGATTTCGTAAGGCGGCAATAAGAAATAAATGAATTTATTATATTAGAGACACCGATGAAATACCAAGATTTTTCCAGTGACGAAAATTTGGTATCCAGTGAAGATACAAGTTTTATCCTTCACATGTGAAGATATCGCGGTTGTCATGGCTACTTCAGTCTCAGCCAATAGGAAAAGACCATCACAGCATCTCGCCCTCGGTGTCTATATAATGAACAGAATATTACATGCCTGCTTGTGCGTACGAATTTTATCTTCTCGTGTTCAACTCTATATCTCACTCGAGTTGAACACTCGAAGATAAAACTCGTATCCACGCGCGGGCAGGTAATATCCTCTATAAATAAAATTCTGATCAACAGTGATTTAGTGAAACAGAAACAAATAAATAACAGCGTAAAAAATTCGACGTTTCGGCGTTTTCGTAACGCCATTATCAAGAGTATCTAAGTAACAAATTATGCAAGTGTATGGAACTGCTTCAGAAGGCACGTTGGTGTTGTGGCATTGTGTTCATTAATTTTAAAAAGTGTTTGTAAACGACGGCAAATGATTTCTGCTTGTGCCCATCAACAATGTGTTGTTTATAAGTTTCAATGTAACCTGTGTGATGCACTATTTGCGGGATATACTCGGCGCCATCTGAATAAACGTAGCGTACCTCGAAGTAAAGTCTACTGACGTTCGTCAAGTTATCAACATGCGCGAAACTATGACTCAGACAAGGTGGCCTGGAGCCTGGGTTACCTGTGCTTATATCGTTAAAATAACTAAGCTTACCTCGTGATTTTCGTTGATTCGCACTTCTATGTCTGTGGTGACCCAGTCTCCTCCAGCGTGTGTCTCCTCCATACCTGTCCCTGGGGTAAGCGGGTTAAATGCCGGGGATACCGGGGCTATACTACCGGGGGTCATTGGGTTACCGTATCCAGCGGGAGATGGGGACTGAGTGTAAGGAGAATAGCTTGGTTCTGAGCCGTACATGCCTCCCCCTGGGGTATTGGGAGTGTACGGTCCTCCGTATCCCCCGGGAGTGGCTGGGTTCGGTGTTCCATAAACCTAAAGAAGGAAGAGTAAAACGATTTCAAGTATAATTCAGCCAGTTGATTAGGTAAAACTATTACTTAAGGAGTTGGTCGCTAAAAACCGTTTACTGTTCATATAATATCAACATAAGAGAGATAAGAGTCCTTGCATCAACAGTCGGTAAAGACGAGTGCTTCTCACAAGGCACTGCTGCTAGCAATGACAAGGACAGGGAATTGAACGTATAAAATCTCCCGAGAACGATTATGGTTGTCCACAGCAACTTCCAACGCTGTCTTACCTCTCGAGTTCGAGGCTTGAATCAAGAACCTTAACGCCAGTTAACACGTCGTGCTTCTGCAGTGCGGAACTTCAAAGCGTCACAAGCACGGCAAAAGCACGACGTCTGAATTGAAGTCGTGCGTCTGCCGACCCCAGCTATAATTTGAGTGTAATATAGTTGAACCTTCATGTGCGACCACCTCTCGTAAGCGATCACTTATCCAAAACACTAACATTTTCCCCATCAAAGCCTTATGGTCGGAACCTTTCTTAAACGACATCCTCTCGAAAGCGACCGGTTTAAGAATTTTCCATTGTATTAATCCTCCTCTAAGCGACCACCTGATACAATGGTCTAATCTTTCTGTTCGCTGTATGTAGTAGCAGAGAGTATGAACGTATGATTGTATCAGAACAACTTTTAGAAACAACAAGGATTTACATGTATTGTAACCTAAAAATTGCATGTAATACATTCTCTCCAAAAACTAGATGTATCCGGACTTCTCCTCTTGCAGTTTGACTCTTAGCGGTAAGCGACCACCTCCCTTGAGCGAACACTAACTCTTTGCATTTTGGGTGGTCGCTTACGTGAGGTTTAACTGAATATGGATCGAAAGAATTGACGATCAACCATATAGTAGTGTGTATTTCCAAGCGAGTGTGTATTAACCTGCATCAGAAATAAAACTTACCCCTGGTGAGGGGGTGGACGTATCAAAGTTGTAATCAAAATCTTCATTGCGTGCTGGTGTATTTGGCTGAGTTGGATCCCAGGCTCCTCCGTGAAGTGGGGTGCGTGAAGGATCGTGGGACGGCGTCATTGAGCCATAATGAGGGGTACGACTTCCTGCAAAACAAGGAAACCGAGTCAAGTCAGTTCACAAAGATAAGAATTTCTAGCTAAGGTTAGTATAAATAAGGAGTAGACGACTGCTTTGGTAAACGTAGCAAGAGCTAAATTAAAGCGTTCAAAATAAGGTCAGGGATCCTAGTAGGAGAAGGAACAATATTGCTACCTGCTACATGCCAAAAGAACAAAGTTGGTGAGGAAGATTTCACAAAGATATAAGTTTTTAATTCAATGCGCTATCTTACCATCGCCATGAGTTGGCGTCTGGGAGCCATACATGGGCGTTCGTGAACCGTGCATAGGGGTCTGGGAGCCATACATGGGTGTCTGAGAACCATACATGGGAGTCTTGGTATAGACAGAACTGCCGCGACTGGATGGACCCCTGAGGAATAAAACAGCAATGTAAGGATACAGTACAGCACTACTTGAACACAGTATGAGGCAAGACAAACGTCTATGAGTCACATGTTTAGGGGAAGGAGAGAAGAAACGAAAGCAACACGCTACAAGATCGGTTCCACCCAAAACAAAATTCAAAGTCCCTTCCACACAATTTCCTTCCATTTCCCGTTTTAGATGCAGTTTTCAAGTATTTATTTCTTTCTTTCATTATTTTATGTAAGCCGGTGGTAATAGGCCGAAGTAACTGGTTTAGTTTTAAGAGAAAACGATTCTATGTTGGTTAGAAAAAGCTATCATAAGAGTTTACCCAACAATAGCAAGCCTCATTCTGTCCACGGAGATTGTTTTACAGCTACTGTGAAGTTCAACACGAGCTGTAGTTTCGGTGGCATCTTTGACTATACCAACATATCCTGAAAGAAAGGGAGAACAGTATGTTGGTTAAGTTGGGTTTTCTGTCAAATGCAATGCAAAGCAGCGAAACAAAGCCATAAAACAAAACATATAGGAGGCAGCGTGGCCGAGAGGTTAGAGCGCTGGACTTGCGATTCGGAGGCCCCGAATTCAAATCCCGCTGTGGGCCGGGTTGTTCGAAGCTGGGTTAAGATAACCCAGGGTCAGTGCAAATTCAGTTTGATTCTCTTTGCCTACAATTTGATGATTGGATACTCTAAAAAAAATTAGAGAAAATTATCTGAGTGCTTTTGATAAAAAGATAAAGAATCCCGGGTTAAAATTTAACCCCGGGTTAGCGCTAACCGACGTTCGAACAACTGGGCCCAGCTGACCGCTAGCTGGATTTGTTCACGGTAGTCAGGCCCGAGTTCAAATCCTCGGCCATGCTTGCAAATAGTCAACTGGTTGCCTCCTGCCAGTTGGGATTCTTAACCATGTTAAGTTCAGTTTGAATTGTTTGTTTCAGGCATTTGCTCGGTCCCACTAGCATTAGCGCTATAAATACTGCCGAGGCTAAATAGAGGAATTATGATTATTATTACTGTTATTAAATTACATGACAACACAACATATTAGATAGCAACACTTCATGAAATAATACATCCTAAGTGAATCACTTAAATCTAAGTTAAAGGATCATAATTAAAAAAACGAACTAAACAATTAAGGAGGCATCGATTTCAGAAACTGCTTTTGTATAAGTAATGTTCAGTTCTTAGAGATGAATACAGGACTCAACAAAAGGAGGAGAACACTGGCGTAACTATCAAACAAGTTATAACTTTCACTTTCGGTAAGTAAATGTCTGGTACAAGTACAAGTTTTGTCTCATTAAAGCCAAAACTAGAGAACAATTAGGTCTATTCATTTTACAAGATTGCAGACAGTGTGGTGGGTAGGGATGCGTTGCATAAAATTTAATGTCAAACTGCATAATTTGCTAAGGTCTGACGAAAGACTAAAAAGTTTGACTAGGATCATAAACGCCAGACGTTAGTGTTATTTCCGGCTTTAAGAATTATGCGACTTGTCCCCGATGAGTCCTTTGTTCACTTCTTCGAATGACGGTTACTCGACTAGAAATCAGTAATTTCACCTTCTATTCATTCGAAGTCTTTAAAAGGAAACATTGCCTTAAAAGCTATTTCGACAGAGCTGAATAAAATATCAGTGGGTGTAAAATGCATTTTGCGGCTTGGGCGTCTTTCGGACACGTTTGAGTAGTAAGTTACCTTTATAAGGTCCCTGTGAGATACGCACAGTCTGTGAAATCAGTGACATATCACGACCGCCACGGCCACGACCCCGTCCTCGACCCATTCCTCCTCTCGGGGCGCCTCGGCCACCAGCGCCGCCACCAGCTGTTACAAAGAGGATTTAAGTGAGTAAGAGATGGCATTTTACTTAGTCTGCATGGCAGGTTTTTGTTTTTGTTTTGTTTTACTGGTTTTTATATAAATAACCTTGATAAAAGCATTAAACACCTCCCCCTTAAATCCTTTAAAAACAAAGTCATGTCAAACATCTTACAGTCTTACTGTTCGTGAGTCTTTTTATTTTTTTATTTTTCATTTTTTTCCTTTTATCTATTTACTAATTCCTTGTTTGTTCTAGCTTTAGTGCCAACCTACCTCCTATGCCTGAACATTATTTAGCTTTACTCAGCTCGATTAGCTTTTTAGTTATTCTGAGTAAATGTTACCTTTTTTTATATTAATATATTGTATTGTAAATTAAGTTGACTTTTATTTGGTAATAAAGCTTATGTTGTTGCTGTTGTTGTTGTTATATAGCGCACGAGGGGAACAGGCGAGGGCCTCCTCTCCCTTTTTTCTCCCCTCGTTAGCGCGCGTGTCCTCGAAATTTCTCCCTTAGTAAGTTACTATAAAGAGAAGAGTCGCTTGAATAGTTAGTTACCATGAGTTAGTTATATCTGACGGAGCAGTTTGTTGAACCTCTTTCTCATGGACAGATACCTAGCCACGGTCCCGCGGGCCACATGAAAATAACACATTTTATCTCTCTTGGATGAAAAATCTTCTCGTATCATAGTCCCAAAGGCGTCCACCGATGGGAACCGATATATAGCATGTAGGGAATCTAGCAAGATGTGTATTACATTCATTTAAAAACGTACTGATTCTGTATTGGATTAATGAATTAGAATAATAAAGGTTAAATTTTGTTGTAGCTAGCGGGAGATAACGGTTTGAGTCACGGTCTTGACTGAAACTAGTAGTCTTCTTGGACAGGACACCGTTCTTCTGCAACCAAAGCTTACCTCCTTCTCTAGCAGGACTTGTTATTCGTGGCGATGCTGGAGCAAACCCACTAATGCCTAAAGTATTTGATATCGCCTAACAAAGAAACGACAAACAAGCAAACTCTTTGAGCAAGTTATTTAAACAGAGTTTAGCCAGTGTTGAACAAAACTTCGTTCTAAGCCAAACGCGTTTACGTCAACAACATTTATCGTGAACAGTTTCGTGAAAACATATGGCGTAGACTAGAAAAGCATTTGTCTTCTTAAAATAACCCACTAAAGAAGAGATCTGGAAGTCCAAAGATTTCCTAAACTGAGGTCTAAGTTAAACTTCGTTTAAATAACCGACCCTTTGTTGATTAAGGCAGCGTTCACACTTAAAGCTTGGGCAACGTGCCTGAGTGAGTACGGTACTTACTAAGTACCTTAAAAGAATTCGAACAAGGTGGCGGCGCCCAAGTACAAGGTCAGCAAGGTCGAGACCTTGAACTCGGGCACAAAAGTAGGTACCGGGTCATTGGGTGCACACATTGTCTGTTAGTTCCGAAGCCCAATCTACTGCTTTGCGTACCCAAAACTTCCTGCTACGCTCACGTATGAAAATGGCGGCCGTCAAGGCGAAATGGAGCAAATATGTACACTGCAGTTAAATGTCGGGTACCCCAAGGTGTTAACACAACACCATTTGGGCTGGTACCCAGCAGTGGTACTCGAGCACCAAGTAGTACCTAAGATAAAACAGCTTAAAAGCTCATGCAACAGAAAGCTTGTTTTATCTTTGAACATAAATACGTAACGGGCCGCCGATAACGTATACATGTAAGGTCCCATGACAAGAATTAATCGACTCATGGTTGTGATCTTTACGGTGAATATACCCTTTTATAACTGAAAAGAAAGCCTAAAAATTCAGGCGTGATTCTGACAGCGTTTCGAACACTTGCGTCCCAGCACAATAATATTTTCCTAGAAATATCAAATAAAACGGAAACAATTTTGCTTTCATATTTACCTTGCCTCCCCCGGCCAGCACCAGCTGCTTTGTCTTACACACAAGCATTCCACCGTTCTCGATCACCATCTTGGAAGATAGGAACGCAAAACTGCGATAAAGATGCTTGATTTCACCTTGCAAACCCTACAAGTAAAACACGCAAGACAAGTGTAAGAACGGGAGAATGGAACGCATCGTCATGTTTTAGGTGAGTATATAAGACCGGGTAGGAAAGCCCATAACCCTGCAATTCAAAAACCACAACTTTCCACAGATAGGGTTGTTTCAGGACTGTCGGCAAAATTCAAGGTCAGTTGAAGAATAGTAATGGTAATACATCAGTGTACTGTACATACAGCATGTGGTCCTTCTATGACTTTCACGATGTCCCTCACTTGCACAGAGTTCTAAAAGGAAAAAAAAACGATGAATGATAAGCAAATCAACTTATAAGTTCTGTAAAGTGAATGATTCAGAAGAAGCTACCAAACCCAGTAATGAGATCAATGATTTAAACACATGATACTTGGAAGCTAATGATACACAAGCGGTTGGTAAGATCTTCTACACGTGCATTCGACACGGGTCCTACAAAGGCGCTGGGTTAAAAAATAGTGAAGATGGTATTTTTGTCAGCTATTTCATTCCTAGCCTGCGAACCGCAGACGTATTTCCGGTCGTCGCTTCTCTCCCTGGTGAAACCAAAGCCGAAAAAACCGGATGCTCTCGCAGGCTATTTCATTCCAAACCGCCAGCTCTATCGCTGTGGAAGTGTTAAAACAAAGATTTGTAACCTGCTCTGAATCCAACGCTACAGCATTTTTGTTCTCTCGTCTTCTTCCTACAGCTTGGTGTTTGACTTGAATGACCTAAAAAGGGACGCAATTTATTTGAGTGTATTTAGCACGAAAGTACTAATTAATAATTAAGGGAATATTTTTATGTCTCCTTCTGGTAGCCCGCGAGCACATGTTTCTTATTTCCTTTGCCGCCCAAAGAAAATAGGGGACTTCTTTACGCTGGCTAACAAACGGAGACGGGACCGCCACTTTACGTGGTCATCAGACCCACGCCAAGGTCCAGCCTTTTGAAAAGCAAAAGCAGTAACTTCATTTCTCAGTTATTTTTAAGACCCTGATTTTTGATCTAGCCCAAGAGAGAATGATCTAGTCTAGCCCCAGGGAATGAACCCACAACCTCCCGCTCTACAGTCAAGCGCTCGGCCGCCAGAACTGATCCTGCAGAGTACAGCAGTTGAGTTATTGACCACTGGAGCTGTTAATATCCCTGAGTCTTTGTAATGACTAGGATGACAAACGAATCCATTTTCAATCATGTAAGGAAGAATATGTGTATTAGGTAAAAGCCGTCCGCTTTTTAAACCACCATTCATCAAGCTACAGACGAATTTCCTTGGATTTTCTAGCCCTAATTATTCAAAGGAGACAAAGGAAATTCTAGTTGAATGAGAACAGATTTTACTCAGACCATACTGACAGGGCCTTAGGGATGAGAGTGAACAAGTACGGCCCTCTTGTTTGATCTCCCCACAAGAACGTTAGGGAGGAGCCATTTTACTTTGTTAAGTTTTTGTTATGCTAAACAAAGCGATTTTGGTGATAGATAACGAGAAGATGTAGCCTGTGAACAGGCTCTGTACTGGGAGATAGGGTAAAGATAAGTTAAGAAAGAACATGAAAACTAGGACGGGGGCAGAAGGGGGAGAGTTCACGACTGTTTCCCCTTCCCTCAGAACGAAGTTCCCTCAGAAGCTGTTTGCAGGCTAGAAAAAGATGGAAGAAAGTTACATTCGTCATGTCCCTTTGAAAAGCCTGAGTCCAACCTATGGTGGTTATTCATTGGCGGTTCTGCAGAGATCTAAGTTAAAAATTTTCATACTTCCATTCAAACTCAGTTGATCGGCAACTTTTAGATCAGATTTTCCTACTGGATTAATTGATCGTAAACAATAAGCTCCTGAGAGCAGAAGGCAGCAGCTTTCATGCTGAGAGTATTCTGGGGTACTTTTTTTGATAGTATTGTACTTAGGCAGTATCAAGGCAATTCAGAACTTACCTTTCCATGTTGATTCAATACTGAGAACATGTCTCTGTCCAAACGAATGATAACTCCAACAGTCTGTGGACTGGAAACAACAAACAAGCAAAGACTTGACACACTTCTCCAGTTATACTCTCTTTATGGCTAGACCCGTAAATCTGTGAATTACAAATGCTAAGAGACCCCCCACGAAATTATTGCATGCAAAGTTTACAAGGAACCTGGAACAGATAGGCATGAAATTCAACAACAAAAGAGTGTCAGTAGGTATTAGCTTACTCTAGCTGCACCATATCCCCCCACTGATGTTGTCCCATGGAGTCCACTCCACTGCTCCTCTCTGTACATAACTGAAGATCTTTGGGCAAAACCTTGAGCTGCAACACAGTAAAGTAAAAGCTATTATCATGGTTTTCTATCAACTGTGCAGAGTCATCAGAAGAAATGATACATCTGGAATAACTGTCCAACTAAAACTGAAGTTGAAATACATGTACATGCAGGGCAGGAACGTTTACCCTGTGCACATAACCGCCATGAATACCTAACCTGGCATGATGGTTCCTAAATGGCCATCATGGCTCCCAAGCAAGTTAACAGAACATCAAGGACAAAGATCTGAACAGAAAGCTTCTTTCCTTTAGGGAACATAAAGAATGGCTCGATTTCTGCTGCTCACGTGGATCCAAAATTCCTTTGTAATAAGAGGTGGGCAATTGGTGGGTCATTTCCTGTACAGTTGCTAATAACCAAGCCTTAAAACATGCCTGTCTTGAGCAACCAAAAAAAAAAACAAATAATAAAACATTTGCTTGAACTATTTCCCTACCTCATGCATGGTTAAATCTGCAAACAGCACCACCATATTATCTTCAACTCGAACAATCAGCCCTGTGTCACCTTCATAACGACCCCCAATAACCTTGACATGATCGCCCATCTTAAAATGCTTCTGAAGCTCATTTGCCATAAACTCTAAAGGATCCTGTAACAGAAAATGATGTCAAAACTCCAACTTAAACTCCTTAGATAATAAGACAGAATGTATCATTTCAGTTTATACATGCAAGTAGTCTACTCAGCCAAGGTCACCTTCTTTGCCCTGGTACGTTTTGTCAACTCTTGGTTTTACTACTTCCTGTCAACAACTACTCTGATAATTTCTAAACCTCAGTTACAAATTTAATTAAGGAAAAATATACCCAGAAAAACACATTAATATAATAATTTACACAACAATTTACAGATGAATACTTAGCTAACCTTTAAGTCTTCATGTTTTGGCATGATGGTGATTTTGTTTCCGTCAATACTAAGCACCGTTCCTTTCAAATTTGCCAGATCTCCTTCTGCAACTTCTACAACATCTCCAGTTGCAAAATTGTGTCTTTCTTCATCTAGTCCCTCCTTCAAACTTTTTACGGGAACTAAAAAAAGGATTTACGTGGAAATTCAGCCAACATGATTTAGGATCACTCTATCAAGCTATATGCCTTGCTCTTGAATTTCCCGCCATCTTGTACTATTTTTAGTAACAAAATGGAGGAAAATTGAACTTTCAAAACACTATTTCTTTTGTGTAGATAGACAAATTTCAAAAAAAAATTTTCACTTTTGACATCCTTGTGATGAGTTCTTTCAGAAACCATCATTAGATATCCTATAATACTAAAAACAAAATTTGGCGGGAACTTTGTGACCTCATTTACCCGCCAAATGCCAAAATCTGAAAACCAAAAAAAACATACGATTTTAGGGAATGGTGTGTTCTAAATTGTTGAAAATTTTCAAGTGAATTGCATTGAAACTGAAAAAAGATGAATGAAGGTGAGCGTTTTTTACGTCACATATGCTCACCATGTAAGAGAGAAGAAGACATTCATACATTCTGGAATAATTTTAACTCAAGAAATCACTTCATTGGCACCCTTGGTTAACTTAAAACTGTACAATTTTTAAGTTTAAATACCATTCCATGATGCTAAAAATTCCAGTGGTATAGATTAATGGCTACTTTCAGGGTTTTCTCATTTGGAATGCAATGACAAAAAACAACCTATGGTAATCCATACCTTCTAGTTCAACATCCTCGGGTGCTGTCTCAAATTTCTGAAGCTCCAGCAGGGTTGGCTTAATACCTTCAACCACCTGATACACAAATATGAAGTATGCTTGTATTACAATCATAGAAAACTCTTAAGAGTCAAGTAAAAATGTGTTCAACGCATCTACTGTGGCTATAACTCTCTTCTTTTTTCTAAATAAAACATCGTTCTGTACACCTTAATTTTAACTCTTCATAATTCACTAAAGTTCAGGGTTATATGCTTCTGCTAAGGGCTAACGGGAAATACCCGCTGGTTTCCAAATATTCAAACTCAAGGGAAACATTCAAATTAGCAGTAGTACAGAAACCTACTAACCTTTTTAAATGAACTAAATTTTTTTGTTTTAAGACCTATCTGATTGACCTCATCTTTTCATAAATCAACGTTTAGCTCTGAGACAAATCCTAGTGACTGCAAAGGCTCTACGCCTGTGAATTTTCTATGCCTGACATAATGGTTTAGTGCAAAAGACGCCAAAAAGCAAGGGGAAGTCATCATAGTATCATGGGCTCCATTAGAGATCACCTCTGCAAGTGAGCCACCGTTTAAGGGCAACCAGTACAAAAGCTTACTATTGCAGACATGGCTAGTGTCTTGTACATGAAGCCACCTCGATAACGACTGCCTTCAAAGATCATGAAATCACCATCCTGTCCTATCTCTCCTCCAATTGCTCTGTGTATTACAACAATAAATCATCGGCCAGAATGAGCCGTCGCATACAAAAACAACTTCAAGCCTTAGAAGCTGCAGCTGCATTGGTGCTATGGAACATGCAGTTAAGAATTAAGTTACGGATGTCCATCTGTTGAATGGACTGAACGCAGCAAGAGATCGAAATAAGACAATGAGACCCTCTTAGCAGGGTTGCATATGTCCCTAGTCTGAATTTCAAAACCTGTCGTTTTGTATATTGAGGAATCCTATGTAGCTGATTCAACCATATCTCACTTGTCAGAATTTTGCCCTAAAAAGGCCTCTAAAATGTTATGATGACACCATGGAACTCACTTAACAATGACTTTATTTCACTTCAAATTCACTAGCTAAAACAATGTGAAGGCAGAAAAAAAGATCTAGTACCTGATGGCATCAGCATCAAACAGTTTTTGGGGCGGCTTCCTTTTCCTTTTCCTCTTCTCCAGAGAATCCTACAAATTTACCAACCACAAATCACGTTTCATCAATACTCTGTTCAATGATATGACACCTGATAACACCATAGAAACCTCATATGCATCCAAAACACAAATAACAAACATTAACAAACTACAACTTTATCGCTTGCTGAATCTGGTCCAGCCTATTCACAAACCATTTAAACCAACAATTTTGCAAGCTAATGTCAGCAACAGCCAGGAGCTAAAAGTATACAAAACATTCAAAGGAATACAGTCAATGACTTTATAAGAAAGCAACCTCCATAAAATGGACACCTAGAGATGACCGATGCAGTTCTCTAGTCTTTTGATTGAGTTTGAGTTTGAGTTTGAGTTTGAGTCCCCAAGTCCATTTTAGAGAGAGTTAACTGTAGTCTTATTTAATGATTGACTCATTTTAAGATCCACAAAAAGCATTAAATGTATGTACCTCAGCAGACTTAGCTAGGCCTCTACTTCTACTGTAATCAATCCTGGGAATCATCTTTAGTGTCACCTATATATAGTACAAGAATAATCATTATCCTAACTGAAAATTTATTTTTTCCATACTGAGCTCCATATCCACATAATTTTAAGACTTCAACTACCCTTTTTGGCATTTAATACAAGCATCTGTACTTGTTAGCATGAGTATCAAAATGTAAACGGCTTTGTCTCCTAACCCTAATTATTCCAGAATCAGGGCTAGGAGACAAAGAAAATTGAGAATAAGCCACTTCCGAGTTCCGAAAACCCTCACTTTCAAAATAAGGCAAAGTGCACAACCTTTCTTGTGAAAATGAGTTTTATTTGCATGAGAATGAAAAATCATTTCCATATCAAAGGCTGAGCCCTGGCCTTATTTTCGGAATTTTATGGTAATTTCAACCTGTAACAGTATAATTATGTATGTGCATGTCTGAAACATTTTTTCATATAAAATTATATTATTAGTAAAATGAGTTGCCCAAAACTGTAAGAAAGGTTTGCAGACATTTTTGTTTTTCTTCAAGCAACATTACAGGATTAAAAACTTGATAAAAGAAACAGTACAATTATCTTCTTTCATAAAATTCTTCACCCCACAGTTCTCATAATTATATGATTTTCATACATTCATAACTTCAGAAACAATACAGTATATCTTTAGGAAAGATGTGTTGGAAAGCGAGGTCTACCAAAAACTTCTGTCCACAAAGTAATGACATTTCTGCAGGAATATAAATATTTCTCTGGCTTACTTGATTTCTTGCAGTGTTGACAAAATCCACCTGTGGAGAATTGTAACAGAGAAAAATGTAAGCTAAGCTGAGAAAATCATTAACAATACTATTTTATAACAGAGGAACCAGCTGGAACTAAATGCCTTTTAGTAATATGAGGACTTTCCTATCCTGACAAGATTATCTATACCAATACAGTTATGTAACTAACCTAAAGTGTACATTTAGTTAGTGCAAGGGTAGAAAAAACTTGAATTCTGGCTTGTCCTTTGGGCAAGCAGTTCTCTCATTTTGCTTGCCCAGGACAAGTTCTTGCTCTTCTTAGTTGATGGTTTTGTTAGATGATGACTTGCCTGAGCCCTTGCCCATGGGGCAAGAAAGCTTCAAAAGCTTTGAAAGAATACTTGCCCAGCAAGAAAATCTACTTTTCCTGGACTACCACACGGAACTTTTTTTTGATCCCTGAAATGGTGGCAATTATGGCATTACCTGTGCAAGGTCATCCTTGTAAATCCCACGTTTTAACCTGACCCACTGTCTAGGCTTAACAGACACCACCTCTTTTACAACTTTCATAACATCTGTCATTTCTCTGATTGGCACCATCATCTGTGACCATTTTCCAAGTCGCAGAGTACCAAAACCTTCAATGGCCTATTGAAACACAATAAATTGGGGCCATACAGTATGTGAGTAAATCTCACGGCATACACATAAAAAGTGCTGCCACAGCTATATTCCAGAATTCCTAAGTTGTAACAGGTTACTTAAGAATACTAATAAAACAATGACCTTTTAGATCTAATCTTGAAACAACAGCATTGACAAACCCCAACGGCTGCAAGTTGGTGTGACCAAATGCAAATGAAAATGGAGGAATATCTGAAACTTCCTTCAGGATTTTGTTAATATTAAAATTAGGTAAGTTTTATAAGAAAAGAGGATTAGCAAAGACAATAACATGCTCAAAACTACAAGAATTTCTTGCAATTTCAGAAAATAAGTGATTCTGTCTCTGTGACAGTGACACAAATTGCACTTCCAAGTTAGGATAATATGTATAAATAATAAGCAAAACTAATTCAATAAATTTACCACTGCATAATTATCACAACCGCTTGAAAATGTCATAACTGAAATTCATTTAAAAAATCAACAATCCATCTGTTTGTTTTTTGCATGGTACATGTACACAAAGACACTAAACTACAGTGAAGTTACATTGTTATCATGCTGTTGACACCTGTTTGACATGAGTTTGTTTGTATGCTTCAATGTAGATGTATCCTTTAAGGCCTTCTACAGCCACAGCGGACTTGATCTGTAAAGGCTGAAAACAAGACCATAAATAAATCTTAGGCCACGGCTAAACATCAAACTTTTCATGAGATGAATTAAACTGGGTGGATTAAGTTTACGAAAAGTTTGATGTCTGTCTCAATTCATCAAAAATTCATCCTTTCATTCTTCTGCATTGCTTTATTATTATTTTTTTCTCTTGGATAGGTTCAGAAGACCAAATCTGACTTCACTTATCCAGTAATACAACATGTGTAATGTGATGATAATACATATACAAAGTTGTGTACTTACTTCATCAGTAAACTGCTGGGCAATAGCTTTCCTCATCAGGCCAATCACCGTAGCCTTTTCCTCTCCAATCTACACATTAATACGAAAATGTACAGAATAGGCAAATGTGATTTCAAAAGTGATTACAGTTAAACCTCCACTAACAGCCGCCTCTCCACAGTGGCCACTTTATTTTGTCCCGGAGGACAATCCATACATTTACTCTTGTTAAAACCTCTCTACAATGGCAATGGTCATCAATTATTAGCATGTCCCCATCTGCCAAAATAACCTCTTGACAACAGCAAGTTTTTTCAGCATCCGATGAAAAAATCAAGAATGGTCATGAAATTTTATCCATGTAGCACATTGATGATTAATCGTGGCAATGATGTTTTGATTGTGTTTCATCTATACATCTACCGTAAGCATATATCGTCTGCCATACTTATGGAAAATGTTGTGAAACTTGCTCGTTTTGTCACATTAACATTTTGATTTCAAACATTATTCAAGTTTTTTTGCATTTTTTTATCTCTATATAATAAATTATTATATATGATTGGATTACTGCTATGAGATAAAGTAAGCATGAACTTAGCACAATAAACATGTTGTACTCCCTAAAGAAATTGTTATATTACCCCGCTACCTCCCCATAACGGCCACCTTTCCAAAACGGCCACTTTCTTCTGTTCTATTCCAAATCTCTAATTCTTCACTAATGATTTGTATGTGATGTATCTTTAGTTTTTACCTTGCATTTCACTGTCCATAGGTTTGGATCTCTGTGGGGATAAAAAAGATGCAGGTGCAACTCAGTGCCACAGCATACATGTAGATATTACATTAAGATGTGAGGACATTGACACCATTGTTGACATGAGGAGCTTACACGTACTACATGTAAAAAAATATATATCTAAAGGAGCTTGACAATATGAAAATATTTCATAACTCAATAATACTCAATTGGACGAGTGCGGATACAAAGAAGTAAAAACAACAAAAATAAAATTGCTTACTTGACACCAGGTAAAAGACTCTGCTGCTGAATCTCTGGTCGAAGTTCATAGTCATCTCTATACCTGTTCAATGAAGCAATAGTCAGCCAAAGAATCAAGAAAATATTGATAAATGTTAAAATAAGTGGTAACATTATTTGTCCTCTACAGATGTATCTAAGCGAGTGTGTGACTGAATTACAGATGATCGGAGAGGTGGGAAAGGATGTCAGCAAATAAAGGGGCACTTTGTTCCCACTACAGTCCATGTATCATCCCTGCACCCATTTGCCCAAACTACTCACGGCACAATTCAGATAGAATACTGTCAAATACCTTTAATAAGCACACGGAGGAGGGCATAGAGTGTCCGTATTAAAGGGGTGTCCATAATAAGTGGTTTGAATTTAGAGAAACTGTGAGGGCTTTCTTTCGCCAGGGACAAAGCAAACTGTTGGTAATAATGAGCTGTTTGATTAGGCAGGGTTTGACTATACTTGATTAAAAGAAAATCACAAAACAAAAGTCCCTGGCCTTCTTTCAGTGTTTGATGGTACATGTATTTTCCTGAAAGTTCACCAGTATCTATGGACACTCAAGGCATGTTCATGTACCACTGTAGTGCATTGATTACCGGTAGATAGAGTTAACTCTGTCAGCAGTAAATACACTGTATCATTTCTTGATGTTTACTTACAGTAATACAACTGTTAGTGTACACTGCACCTTAACTTATTTTACTATACTGATCAGCCTTTCTTTGGCCAGGCAGCCCTGACATTTCAGAAGTGATCATTGCCCTGTATAGTAAAATTTCTGGATGTTTGCCACATGACAACAAAGGGAATAAGCTTAAACCACTAACCTTTCTGACGACTCGGCAAACTTTTGCTTGTAGTAAGCCTCCAGTTCCTCAGCATTTTTATCTCTATAAACAACATATTTTTAGTATCATTCATGTTTGTTAACATTGTAAAAACTAATGCTACTTGAATTAAGACACATTATGGCAAGTCCATAAACATAATTTGGAGAGTATAATACAAATGGTCTTGGCAATTCAAAGTGTACAGTTGTTTTTCATAGGACATAAAGAAATTTCAAAATATTCAAAAGGAAAAAACAAAAGAAATTAATGTTTACAGTCAAGGCAGGTCAAGCATACCCCTCAAGATTCTATTAATAAACTGATTATTAGAAAAATGAATCGGTTAGTCGTTCCCGTAACTGGTGTCAAATTCAAAGTGGCATTTCTGCATGCGTAATGAGCAGTGAATATTTTACCAGAACTTCTCTGTATTTGGTCAGATTGAAAATCTTTGAATGGATTAAGTTTCTTAGAAGACATTTACATCAAATTCAGGAAAATGGAGCTAGTAGAAACTTCAGAACTGCCTCGCGTGTGAATTCAGGGTTCATTATGCATGCAAGAATGTAGGGATCAATCTGAAATCTACAACTACCGACGGAGTCAACTTTCGAATAATAAATTCATTAATGAATTCTTGGGGGCTATGCTTGACCTGGTTTGACTGTAATGAGTGTCTTTATATCTTATAAAGACATGGCTAAACTTAACATCCAATTTTTTAGACAAAAAGAACCCCAAATCTAAATATTAGTGCATGAATGAGTCGATCTGTATCAGAGATTTTTAAGCCATTCAAAATACTCGCAACCTTGTATTATCAGGTGAAAAACTAAAGGCAAAGCTGAGAGTTTTTAAACCCGATAATATGTCACTCCTACTCATTTTCTAAAGAGTACAAAAACAATCAGGTTTCCAATGAGCAGTACATACCCAAGCATCTGCTGAAAGCGTCTAGCATCCTACAAAAAATAACATGCAAAAAAAGTCGTTTCAATCATTGACTCCTCGGGTGCTTTCCATTTCGGCAAAATTTCAGAAACATTCAGAGTCAAATGGAAAGACTTTCCAGTCGTAGGGTCTCATTTGCAATCTCATTGCTCACTTGAACCAAAAATCCAACAAGATGTCTGTTATAGCACTGCCGATAATTTGCGACAACTTAAACAAAGAAATTGAAACTTCATCCAAAAGCGAAATTAATTTTGACTTTGTGGCAATAGCAGCAGTTTTTTTAACAGAGTTCAAAACTATTTTGAGTCTACAGATGCTGATGCCCTTTTGAATGATTCAATAAGAAATGAAAAGAAAAACAGTGATGTTCAGGAAAGTTTCCAGTCGAACCAGACATTCCATTTGCATTTAAACTGGTCGAACAGGAAATTTTGCCTAAAAGAAAAGCGTCCCTGATGACTGTCAATTACATGTAACCATATTGAACTTAACTGACTGGAAAAAAACAAACCAAGTAAAAAACGACACACTTAGGAGATGGAGTTTTATTATTAACCAATATTCAAACATGAACTCTACAAGATAATGTATACATGTCTTGTCTACAGCAGTGACACACTCAATGCTACAAATAAAGCATTTTTCTTACCGATATGTCATCCCCAATTGGTTCATCATCTTTGTCCACTACAAACAAGAAAATGACATGGAGATTTGGTAGACAGCAAACTAAACACTTCATAAATGCTTCAATTTAAAGTGCAACTTCTTAAAATTTAAATTGTTGAATGCTTACAATCTTACTGAGCATCTACAACATTTCCATTTTTTTATGTATGTAGTATTTCCATTTCCCTTGATATATTCCTAGAAAGGGCTTCATGCACCACACTTTCATTTTGATCCTTTTTTCCGCCTACACTATAGTCCCTGTCTTGGAAACTAAAATCATCACCCATATAAATCTTACAGGTCAAATTGGATTTCAGGTTAAAATTTTTTAACCTAGGTAGACTCTTACATGTAATTTCCTTTGTCCGCTAGGGATTGGAGAGAAAGAGAATTGAGAATCAACCTACTGGGTAGGTTAAATCAAAATTAACCTGTTCACAATCAAACTTGACCTGTAACATAAATTATTAAACAACCAGACAGATAATCTGTCTCTGATACAGTTGTACTATAATTAAATTCTGCTGTAATGTGAGGATTAGGGTTTTAAAAGTTGGCTAGTCCAACAGGTCAGAATTCCTATTTAGAATACAGTTGACTCCCAATAACTCAAAACCTCGCAAACTCAAACCTTGCGGTAACTCGAACCAAAGTCAATTTCCCCTGGATTTCCTTCTTACGTTTACTGTAATTTTTTACCCTCAGTAACTCGAATCCTCAATAACTCAAACCTCCTGCTAACTTGAAGTAAGTTTTGTTTCCCTTCAGATCATTTCTATACAATTTTACCCTCGATAACTTGAACCATGTTAAAAGCGCATGACAAGTCGGGAAAAAAGCCGTGTACTGAAGTCCGAAACATTGAATTTATTTCAAAACAACCGAGTCAATTCTTTGTCTTTACTATTTTGTCACTCCAGTTCAAATTCAGTGTCCATCCCTGTATATTTTGTTGCTTAATTGCATTCCTTCCCATCCATTTACTTATTTCCCTACTTCCGGTTATTTGCTTCAAACTGCCAATAACTTGAACTCCCGATAGCTCGAACTTTTTTCAGTTTCCCTTGAAGGTTGGAGTTATCAGGAGTCAAGTGTATCTGTCTTTACTACACCTGAACCATATATATCTCCATATCCGTCTTCCTCTTGATCATCAGCATCATCATAATCATCATCAACATCTTCAAACAAAAAAAAATGAACATCAGAAGAAAATCATTGATAATCCTCTTATTGCACTGGACAAGGGATCATCATTATTTTTCTTCACAAAGCAGATTATGTAATGTAAAGCAGCTTAAAAGCTGATCGTGGACCAGCTACAGCAATACAAACACATGAAGACACACAAAATCCAGTGAGATTGACCACACTATTGTGATCTACATCTCCTACTCTTTACCAACAGCAGTGTGGTGTCTCTGACATCCCAAAAGAATCAAAACAGTAAAAGAGCTTTGAGACTGGCAGGGATGTAGCTAAGGAAAAGCTACTGTAAGCAGGCTTTTTTATTAGTCAAACCAGCTTTTTCAATTAATTGCACCTTCCAAATTACCCCATGACTTTGTTTCCCACAACAATTTGAGCCCGTAGCAGGGTCTTTCTCAGCTGGTGAAATTGGCTGGTAGCTGGCTCTTATTGTCATCCATGGAGTTGGACTGGACCTACAGGTTTCTGTCCATATCCAAAAGGACTAAAACTGAAAACAAGGTCTAACACTTTGCAGATGTCAAAAAAAGGCAGCATACGCTATAATCCCCTGCCTTAATAAAGACCCTGAGTGTCCCTCCAGCTGGGGTTTGAACCAATGAATCCCAAAGACCCTGAGTGTCCCTCCAGCTGGGGTTTTTTTACATATTCAAAACATGTATCGTCTGAGACAGATTTTTACCAATGATCTCCCACCTCAGACCAGCCATCATCCATTCTTCTGAACGGAGTTTGAATCTCTGGCTAACTGGGTAGTGTTCACGAAGAGGTTTTGAAAATATAATTATTTATTGTCCCAAAAAATCCTTTTTGTGAGGATCACAGAACACAGACCTGCTTCCTCTAAGATAAAACCAGTATGCCGCCTTCTCTTCTTTCTTTGCCTGTCATCCTCAAAATCATTATCCTCATCATAGTCATCATCATCTTCTTCATCCTCTTCATCCTCATCATCTTCTTCTCTGGTGATATCCTCACCTTCCTAAATATGTAAATGTTGTGATGTGTATATGTTACAAGTCAAAATTTAATTCAGGTTAAAATTTTTTAACCTAGGTTGATTCTCTATTTTCTCAATTTTCCTAGCCTTAATTCATGAATAATCAGGGCTAGGAGACAAAGGAAATGGAGAATCAACCTAGGTTTAAAAAAAATAACCTGAGTTTAATTTTGACCTGTAACATATACAGTATTAACTAAACTTATTTTAGCAAAAAAACATTTCTTGATGTAACTGAAATTTGTACCCTGGTAACACTATGACCTCAACTGAAAGGGGATGGATCTACATGTAATAAAATCCAAAGAAAAAGTTATACATAAATTAAAGAATTATACTGCACGACAAAACAGGAAGAGGGTAAATTACGATCAAAGTTACTCAATGACTGCCATTAAAGTTCAGTGCTAACAGATAGGGTTCATCTTAAATGTGGGCCTGTACAACTTGAATCTATCACTATAAAATCATCTGTGATAATATCAGGGTTCGCAAATACGCCAAATTTGGTGTATTTTACGCCAAAATTGTTCAGATGACTTTCCCTGAAGTTATGGACCACCACAACTACTTTGTGTACCCCTCACGATAGTGTATACATGCCAGGACCACATGCTGGAAAGTCTGAAAATGGCTCTTTTTGGTTGTGATACTTGACTCCAAAATATTCTAAAATGACTCCAAAATTTGTGAAGCAGAAGTCACACTGACTCCACTCATCAATAAAATTTGCAAACCCTGAATATCCTAGGCTAGAGTGGAAAAAAGAAACATCAACCAATACCTACCAACTGCAGCAGGATGATTAAATATGAAGGAGGACTGGTTTGCAGGGCTAGCCCCAGTTGTTCAAAAGATGGATAGCGCTATCCATTGGATAAGTATTAGGGAAACCAATTGCACTATCCAGTGGATAGTGATTTACCCAGTGGATAGTGCTATCCACCATTTCAACAACTGGCACCAGGAGGTCAAAGGTTCAAGTTGTCCTTGATTCTTACTGGGATAAAACCAAGACTTTGGGTCGCAAATAACTAAGCTAGAAGTACGTCTTTTTCCCTGAAAATGATCTCAAGTGGCATGTAGCTAGCTAACCCAGCTAGTTTACAGGCACACCACTTACATAATTTGAAACAAATAATGCAAACAGAAGGTAACAGGATTAAAAACCCCACATGGCAGGAGCCAACCAGTTGGCTATTTAAAAGTGTGGGTGGGCTGTTGAACAAATCCAGCAAGCAGCCAGATGGGACTCAAACCTAGGACTGCCAGATAAAGAGTTTGCCACACTGACCACTCGTTCTTTTCAATAGATTTATCTCAATTTGTCCTGAAGCTTTCACTATGAAGATGAGAGCTTTTCAATTTTAATTTTTTACATACTGAGATGGTGTCACAATCTTCTTCAGTAGTTATGGTACTCACTGGCTTCACTTACACAGGGACAGGAACAAACAATGGGAGAGGGTATGAATCTGCTCTTATATGCATGGCTCAGTAACCAGTCGTTCGAGTAGAGTGGCTTTGAAAATAAAGAGGATGATATATAGCGGCTATCTGGGTCGAAGTTAAATTAAATGACTGACTATCGCGGACCACCGAGAATATTTCATTTCTCAAAATTGACCTTAAACTGTGCATTAAACGTGCCATGCATTGCACCAAGTTCAAACTGTTAGTAAAACAAGGCTATAAAACAAAACATAAATGATAATAATTGGTTTGCACGCGCGCCGGCGAGCAAAACACAGCTGTTAAATACTATTTCAAATTGCCAAGCACTCGCAAACAGATAAATCAAAACAGAAAACTGTCGAATAGATGGACCATTACCTCATCAGAATATTGAGAATCGTCGCTGTCTGACATGATCTGTGACAGAAAAGAAGGCTAAAATCAAAGGCAGATTTGAGTTCTTCCGTCCAAGATGGCGATCACAAAAGTCATACGGGACTTCCAATGGAACAGGTGTCATGTATTGGAACATAAGGTGTCTTTCCAAATTCTACGCGACACTTCAAATATCCATACATGACAAAAAGACACGGTCGGTGAAGCAAAAGGGTAATTGTTTGGTCGGTACTTCATGTAAGCCTTACGTATAATGTCCTGAGACATATAAGGCCCCACATGTGGAAGTTGTGACAGATACACTACTATTACACTGATTATAGTTAGTTACCGTTGTTAATGCAGTTCCTGTAGTTGTTGTAGTTGTGTAGTTGCTGTAGTTGTGTAGTTGCTGTAGTTGCGTAGTTATTGTAGTTGTTGTAGTTCCTGAAGTTGTGTAGTTCCTGTAGTTGTGTAGTTATTGTAGTTGTTGTAGTTGCTGTAGTTCCTGTAGTTGCTGTAGTTGTTGTAGTTACTGTAGTTTCTGTAGTTGTTGTAGTTCCTGTAGTTGTGTAGTTATTGTAGTTGCTGTAGTTGCTGTAGTTGTGTAGTTGCTGTAGTTGCTGTAGTTGTGTAGTTATTGTAGTTATTGTAGTTGTTGTAGTTCCTGTAGTTGCTGTAGTTGTTTGGTTACTGTAGTTTCTGTAGTTGTTGTAGTTCCTGTAGTTGTGTAGTTATTGTAGTTGCTGTAGTTGCTGTAGTTGTGTAGTTGCTGTAGTTGTGTAGTTATTGTAGTTATTGTAGTTGTTGTAGTTCCTGTAGTTGCTGTAGTTGTTGTAGTTACTGTAGTTTCTGTAGTTGTTGTAGTTCCTGTAGTTGTGTAGTTATTGTAGTTATTGTAGTTGCTGTAGTTGTGTTTGTAGTTCCTGTAGTTGTGTAGTTATTGTAGTTATTGTAGTTGTTGTAGTTCCTGTAGTTGCTGTAGTTGTTGTAGTTACTGTAGTTTCTGTAGTTGTTGTAGTTCCTGTAGTTGTGTAGTTATTGTAGTTGCTGTAGTTGCTGTAGTTGTGTAGTTGCTGTAGTTGCTGTAGTTGCTGTAGTTGTGTAGTTATTGTAGTTATTGTAGTTGTTGTAGTTCCTGTAGTTGCTGTAGTTGTTGTAGTTACTGTAGTTTCTTTAGTTGTTGTAGTTCCTGTAGTTGTGTCGTTATTGTAGTTGCTGTAGTTGCTGTACTTGTGTAGTTGCTGTAGTTGCTGTAGTTGCTGTAGTTGTGTAGTTATCGTAGTTATTGTAGTTGTTGTAGTTCCTGTAGTTGCTGTAGTTGTTGTAGTTACTGTAGTTTCTGTAGTTGTTGTAGTTCCTGTAGTTGTGTAGTTATTGTAGTTGCTGTAGTTATTGTAGTTGCTGTAGTTGCTGTAGTTGTGTAGTTGCTGTAGTTGCTGTAGTTGTGTAGTTATTGTAGTTATTGTAGTTGTTGTAGTTCCTGTAGTTGTGTAGTTCCTGTAGTTGTGTAGTTGTTGTAGTTGCTGTAGTTGCTGTAGTTGTGTAGTTGCTGTAGTTGCTGTAGTTGCTGTAGTTGTGTAGTTATTGTAGTTATTGTAGTTGTTTTAGTTCCTGTAGTTGCTGTAGTTGTTGTAGTTACTGTAGTTTCTGTAGTTGTTGTAGTTCCTGTAGTTGTGTAGTTATTGTAGTTCCTGTAGTTCCTGTAGTTGTTGTAGTTACTGTAGTTTCTGTAGTTGTTGTAGTTGCTGTAGTTGTTGTAGTTACTGTAGTTTCTGTAGTTGTTGTAGTTCCTGTAGTTGTGTAGTTATTGTAGTTCCTGTAGTTATTGTAGTTGCTGTAGTTGCTGTAGTTGTGTAGTTGCTGTAGTTGCTGTAGTTGTGTAGTTATTGTAGTTATTGTAGTTGTTGTAGTTCCTGTAGTTGTGTAGTTCCTGTAGTTGTGTAGTTGTGTAGTTGCTGTAGTTGTGTAGTTATTGTAGTTGTTGTAGTTCCTGTAGTTGCTGTAGTTGTTGTAGTTACTGTAGTTTCTGTAGTTTTTGTAGTTCCTGTAGTTGTGTAGTTATTGTAGTTGCTGTAGTTGTTGTAGTTGCTGTAGTTGCTGTAGTTGTGTAGTTGCTGTAGTTGCTGTAGTTGTGTAGTTATTGTAGTTATTGTAGTTGCTGTAGTTCCTGTAGTTGCTGTAGTTGTTGTAGTTACTGTAGTTTCTGTAGTTGTTGTAGTTCCTGTAGTTGTGTAGTTATTGTAGTTCCTGTAGTTGCTGTAGTTGTTGTAGTTCCTGTAGTTGTGTAGTTATTGTAGTTGCTGTAGTTATTGTAGTTGCTGTAGTTGCTGTAGTTGTGTAGTTGCTGTAGTTGCTGTAGTTGCTGTAGTTGTGTAGTTATTGTAGTTATTGTAGTTGTTGTAGTTCCTGTAGTTGTGTAGTTCCTGTAGTTGTGTAGTTATTGTAGTTGCTGTAGTTGGTGTAGTTGTGTAGTTGCTGTAGTTGCTGTAGTTGCTGTAGTTGTGTAGTTATTGTAGTTATTGTAGTTGTTGTAGTTCCTGTAGTTGCTGTAGTTGTTGTAGTTACTGTAGTTGTTGTAGTTACTGTAGTTTCTGTAGTTGTTGTAGTTGCTGTAGTTGTGTAGTTGCTGTAGTTGTTGTAGTTGTTGTAATTGCTGTAGTTGTTGAAGTTCCTGTAGTTGTGTAGTTATTGTAGTTACTGTAGTTGTTGTACTTGCTGAAGTTGCGTAGTTGCTGTAGTTGTGTAGTTCCTGTAGTTGTGTAGTTCCTGTAGTTGTGTAGTTATTGTAGTCGTCGTAGTTGCTGTAGTTGCTGTAGTTGTTGTAGTTATTGTAGTTGCTGTAGTTATTGTAGTTGCTGTAGTTGTGTAGTTATGGTGGTTGCTGTAGTTGTGTAGTTGCTGTAGTTGTGTAGTTCCTGTAGTTGTTGTAGTTGTGTAGTTGCCGTGGTTGTTTAGCTGCTGTAGTTTTTCTAGTTCCTGCCGTTGTTTTAGTTGTTGTACTTATGTGGCCTTTGTAGTTGTGTAGTTGTTGTAGTTGATGTAGTTACTGTAATTAATTTAGTTTTCTTAGTGATTGTGGTTGCTTTGATTTCCTTCGCGTTTATTTCTATTATTTCCCCCTCCAGTTAACCCGAATTAATCAACGCCCTTCTGGTCTCCGAATAATCTTGTTTTTCCAACTCAACAGGCTGGTTTCACGTTTATGGACGATATGTTGGGCGTATTTATATTCTTTGTTTTTTTAACCTATTACCTCGGTTGAAAGGAACTTGTTTTTTAAGTGTAGCATTTTTTTATATTGGCCCGGTGTCCCGGTGTATAAATTTGATTAAGAGACACAGATGGTTTTTAAAAAAGCACAGCACAGCACAGGTTCGGTAAGAAACGTTTAATAGATGCATTCTACATACTATATACATAACATTGCATAAAGGACACTATATTTAGTTACAAGTCCCCTGAGATTAACGAACGAAAATATTTGTGTTATGCAACTTCATAGTTTTTACTTCTTCCCCAGAGCACTAATGACAGTCTGCCTATTCTTTAGTTGTGTTACTTTTCTTAAAAGTTGCATTTGATTTTTTGATCTGATTGGAAAATTTCCTTTTTTAGTGAGATGGGAGTTGGCAACATAGTTATAGAGGGACATTATGCCTTCCAGTGTACTGTCAACTACCGTTGCCTCAATTAGCTGCATGGTACTAAAGAGAAGGCATGTCTCATGAGTAGTCCATGGTCCGGCTGACGGGTTTGTACTATTAGATGCGAGATACTCCGCACTCAGCCTCTTCTTGAATGGTACAGGACTTTCACGCTTTCTCTTTGCTGGGATTTTCACTAAATCGGTAACTTTATCCGGCTTGTTGTCACAATTCCCACAGTTCCTGCATGAGCATTTCAGCCCACAACATGCTCTTGCGCGTACACATGGACATTTGGTTTTTCTTTTCCCATCTACACAAGCGACGTATTCCCGATTTTCTCTGCTTTTATCGACTCCACACCTGCAGGATACGCTGTTAGAGGTTACTTTGCAAAGTTCCTGGCTTTCTTTGTTTCTGCATCCCTTGCATCTACAATCTCGTGTACAGGAAATACGTTCCTCAACACAGGGACAGCGCGTCTTCCCATCCACGGTCGGAATACAAGAGTCCTGATCTTCTTTATTATTCTTGCCACACGAACACACAAGTCTCTTTGTCTCTGTTAGTGTCGACGCTGTGAAAAAATATATTGAAAGGAGATGAAAATAAAAATCCGTTGATCTTTCAGCTCTTCAGCATTAAGAAATGACTCAGTATCTAACTTTCAGTTAATTTTGCAGATACTAAACTTCTCGATTTTGGCGAGACAGTATGTACGATATTAGTAAAATCCAGCTAGTGGTCTGTTATCAATGGTACATTCTCATTGGTTGAGCTACTACTAGGCTGTAGCGAAAAGCGCCGGATTTTGGAGGCAAAAAAGTCGACCTATAACTATCTATCGCTAAAGTTGTTTGGTTTCGGGTTTTTTGACCAACTAGTTGAACTTTACTAAAACAATTATTCCTCTCGCCTTCATGGCCTCTGAGTAAATAGCCCATTCGGCCTTCGGGCCTCATGGGCTATTGACTCTGAGCCCATTAGGGCTCGAGGAATAATTGTTAAATATTCTTATAAATTGTGGTATTTTTCGCGGGTTTTTTGAATAGAAAAATAAGAAACCCCCTCAAGGGAATTTACTTTTGATACACGGCGTATTGATAGGATTTCAAATCGCGGGTCTTAAATTTAGGGATTTGTAAGTCTTAAATCCTCCAAATTAAATACCAATAGGATATATATTTTACTATTCTGCGTTTTGGGGATAACCCTCAGAAATTTTACTAATTCTCCTTATGTTGATGGGACTTTTATTTAAGATTTAAAAGCAACTTTTCCCCTAGAATATTATTATTTTTATTATTGATCCTCCCATTAAACTATTTATTTTTGGGGATTTGTGGCTCTGGGGGAGCATCAAAGTTTAAAACTTTGCAGATTTTCACTCGTCACAGGGCAACAAGCACACTAACTCTCTTGTTGCCGGGCTTAGCCATGTTACCTGTATCTTTTTCAGCAGGAAGGGTGCCATCATAGTGCCCTGGACCAAATGCGGTATATACTATGTAGATGGCATTGGTGATCAGTGCGTCGTCGGGTATGAATGGCACCTAAGGGGAACCATTGATACTGGTCACAACAATTATGGGGACTTGAAGTATGTCAGAGCATACTTTTATAATCAAATCCCCGACTTCACCGCAAAATGTTCCAGGTTCTCTAAATCTTTCAGTCTCAGTGTTCATTTCGTCAGAAGGAATGCCAGTGAGCATTTGATAATGTTCGTTGCTCTGAACATTATTGACAAAAAGTTGACGGAGCTGATTTACATCTTCGTCGGCACTTCTCCCAAGTCCCAGGTACGAAATATGCTGACAAAGTGCTGAATTTGGGTCACTCCATTGGTTTGTCTTTCTCACTTGAGAAATAATTGTTCTAAAGGCACAATCTCCGTCACCGACGACTTCATCCCTTTTGAGACTAAAACAGTCGAGATTTCGCTGCAGTGTTTCTCTGCGTCTTATTTCTGTGTCATCTTCAGCATAGCAGCTATTGACTAAGACTTGTTTACTACCCACTTGCATTATTGGAATATCAAATGCATTAAAACAACGATCCCGACATTCACTGTTGACTTTACTTAAAATCGAATGCAACTTGGACATGTTTTTCAAAAGCAGACTGGCGATGGACTCGTTAAGAGTGTCCTCGATAGTTTCAATAACTACTACAGCTTCTTCAACAGTTTCGTCTGGGTATACTTTATTTCCCTCGTATGGTGCCTTCCAAGCGTCATCTAACGTGACTTTTCCCCCACTGTTAGTGTTAAAGTGGGGATTTTTATCATTTACGTTCCTCGACGTGAACTGCGAGAAGAGTGGCACGAAGGGAATTACTCTTGAATTCTGCTTATGTTTTTTCGCGCTTTTCCTGCAGTTCATACTATAGAATAATAAAGTTATAATAGCAATTGCTATTTCGGGACCCGTGGTAGTAGCACCGCATAATAATGATATATTTAATGTGTTATGAAGCCTCTCATTCGATTCCGTTCCTTCACCCGGTTTTAAGCCAGATAAACAACCTTTTTTTATAAGCACGCTCAAGTGGTCGAGTTCCAAACGTGCTTTCTTCATTTCTTCCATGTTCAAGAACGATTTCCACCTTTCACGGAAAGAATGCAAATTTTCAATTACCACTTTCCAATCAGGTGTGGGTAGCTGACGGACCTCGTCGCAGTCTCCATTTGCTCGAAATATCAGACCCAATTCTTTTGAAAATCGTTTGGAAAACTCAGATCCCTTTGGTATCTTTTTGATGACTCGTTGAATTGCATGGAATAAGTCTAGTTTTACTTCTACATCTGGAAAAACTGACCTGTAGAGTGTTCTTACTTTGCAACAGTCGTCCACTATTACTGCATCCAAAGTATTACCTATCTGCTCCTTAAGCTCAACGAGTAACGACCTTATTTCTTCAAAGCCCGTGGTTCTCGTTAGACGCCAACTTATAACTTCGTGCCTCTCGTTTAGCACTATAAAAAGATTTTCAAATTGTTTCACAAATTTATCATCGCTACTTCTTCTTGCTCCAATGTATTTACTTATTTTAAACGTATGATCACATGAAATGACCCTGCTGTGTAATGCACGTTTCTTCATTTCCACTTCATAGTACGGTTCTTTTTCTTGAAAATCCGCAAGAAAAATATGCATCAACAAATCATTGCCAGGAAAGGAAAACATGGGATCGGCGTAAAATTTCTCGTACAATTTGCCAGTATCTGTAACATTTGACTTCGCTGATAACGTATATCGTCTAAGTCGGTGTGAAAATTCCTTAAAGTTTATTGCAGCCAATCCCTCACAAGTTTTCAGAAAGCTCACACCTTGTAAGATCTGTGTCTCTAAATGATCAACGAGGTTTTTACTGCACGCAGATCGGTATAGCATTAGTATTGGGAAACAGGCATGGCTATAAAGACTTGGGATACTTCTTAGAATCGTCTCACTACCCGACAAATATCTGTGTGGCTTTTCTTTGTGTCGGCATAGATATATCCGCTGTACCATTAGTACATTACCTCTCAAATCATAAACAAGGCGTGGATTCTTGGGGCTTGTCTTGTCAACTACATCCGTAAAGGTCCCTGGCGTGAGTAGACAGCCGTGGAGGGGACATTTCACCTCGATTTTCCAGTGGGTAATTGGACACCATATATACACTTTAGGATGAAGAAAATCGCTTAGTTCTTCTCCGATTTGAGGGGGAAGAATGATTTGGTCAAAACGCGAAGAACTTGGATCTGCTAAAAATTCGTTCACTAACTCCCTTACGTACTTTGCTCCACGTGGATCCAGTCGCACACATTCAACAGAAGACCACTGTCCCTGGAAAAGCAGAAACACCAATAACATAATGAAAAACTGGAACGAGAAACAATGCAACTGCATCGTCTTTTCTTTGGTTTTCTTTCAGTATTTTGTTGTTTAACTGACGCAGTTTAGTAAACGAAATGGATTTACCGCCTAAGAGGTGTTTAGTTTTTTGTGCGGCATATTTCAGTTCGGTCGCTTCAAAACGAAGGCAAGGAAATAACAAGTCTATCATCTGCGACTTCCGTTACCTTTATGTTACAACGTGAAACTGCCTAATTTCACGTTTTGTCGAGGACGGGAGCAAAAGACAACAACTTTCTTTTTCTTTTCCTTAACTTTGACGCAGTCCTTTAGAATTCAACTCCAATCAAATTTGCCAACATTTGACACATTAAACGAGATGGAATGAGCGCGATAAAGTTTGAGGCAACGCTAATTCACTTTTTAAGTGACGTTTTCGTAGCCGTCGCCGTCGTCGTTGCGTAAACTCCCTAATCTTAACTTAAGTTCGGTAGACCCAACTGATTAGAGTTTGGTGCGTCTCACGAAAGTTTTGACGTTTGTCCTGGGCTTAAATGGTGTAAATACTCTTACTCTCTACAAGATTATACAGCTTAAGTTAACCTAATATGGGAAAACGTTGTCTTTCTTTTAGCCTTCCACCATGAAAAACCAAAAAGGAAAAAGCGTAACCTTAAACGCAAGAGAAAAAAGAGTAACGACGATAGCGGCCCAGGTAATGAGATCAGTACGAAAATAATTTTGAAATTTGAAAATGCTGCGGTAAATTAAGAAATGGTGCATTTCAAATTTGGAGGGGGTGGTCTTTTTTACCTTTCGCATAAATATTTTAAATTTGATATGTATTATCTTTGTCACGTGACTTGCCACTTCCATTTTTGACTTTTTATTTCAATCCGAATTTACACCACATTATAAATAACACTTGTAATTTAATTCATTTTTTGCCAATGAATATTGACATAAAGTTTATGGAATTAATCGGGGTTTTCTTAAATTATTTACGTTTTGTGAACTATAACGTTTTTTCTTAAGAGGGAGACTGGGGCGAGAAAAAATATCTAATAATTACGAAGGAATGCATCATTTCACAAATACCCAATTAATGTAGCTTATTTCACTGTAGATTTAATATTATGGAAGGAAAAACGATTGTGATCACATTCATTAAAGTTGTGTAATCTGCAAAGCCCAAATTTTGCATAATTGTGGGCGTGGCTGGTAGAGTTTAAGGTACAAAGTCGTTTTGGTCTTAAACACAGCGGTCTTAGGTTAAAACGAAGAAAGATACTGGAAAAAAGAAGATCAAATCACAGAACCCCGCATGTAACAAGGACCCATGCCTTAATTCACCTGAGTATGTAAAAAAAAAATATGGCAAAGTGGTTAACAGGAATGTTGTAAACGCTTACTGGCCTTTAAAAGAATCAGCTTCTTCTTGATTTTCACGTTGTACTGAGGTTCCCAAGTTACTGATGTAGCATACGCAAGAGGTAAAGTATATAATAATGCACCGTAACTGTTATGATTGTTTCTCACCAGCCAAGAAAAAGCAACCGGGACATTATTTCACTGACGACGATAGTTGGGACTAATCAACTGTTTTACAGATATTAGAAGGTAACACCGTTGACTAGTGATCCACTTAGCATTCGTATGTAGGAGTCCCTCCTCCGTGGGTTCGATGACGGTTTAAAGCGTTTATAATTAACCGATGACAGTTTTCTGCAAATAACGTATCGAAGGATAATTTCGTCCCTATCATAAGTTTTAGCTTGAGAAAAGGCTAATAAAAAATTTTAGATTCGTATAACAATTTAAGTGCGATTTTCGAGGATTGTCTTTCTTGCATAGTACCAAGATATTGCGGTATTTGAACAACAAGATCCTTGTAAAGAGGAAATGTTCGCCAGAATCTTCTAAGGAAAATTGGGTTACGTAACGCCCGGCCGTATCCTGGAAATTACGTCTTCATCCGTCAGAATAGCTAACAATAAGTTTCAGATGACACATTTTCGGTCTGCGGCTGCCCATAATATTTTGCGTTAAAAACGGTATCATGAATGTTATACTGACTAATTACCTTTATATCTACACTTTAGGTTCGTATTTGGTGACACTGGCATGATCACGGCGTCTAAGAAGTAAAAACGGATAATAAAAAGACTCACCTCGCCGGGACGTTTGTTTTTTACATTTCAATACACGTGTGAATAACATGGGATCGGCGGATAGAGGAAAAAGAAAGCCTAAAAGTTACTGTATAAATGATATTTAGCATTTTATGGCAGTACTATTTCCAAAAGAGAGAATCTGACGCTTTCAAATTGTACTTGAAGATAAGCATTGTAAACGCTAGTAAAGTTTGATTGAATAAATGTCGTTGTTCGGACGGAAAAAATGTATACTCTATGTTTTTAGTTCTTGCTTTGGTACCTCTTAAAATAAAACACCTCTTCTTAAGCCACTTCAACCGACCAAAATAAATTATATTAGGGAGTAAAGACACGACGTCAAGGCAGTGATTCATACGTGATCAAACGTCGTCGTTGCAAACTTTAAACACACCAGTTTTCAGTTGGACCCCCCTCACTTTTTCAAATGTAGACGACGTTTCTTGGTGTTGAATTCCTAAGGAATTTATCCATGTTCAAAAACCGAGTCGTCGCATGACCAAGCACTCCATAAACCGTCGCCTTAGACGGTTTCACGTCGTAGTCGTGCAATGACGACGTCAAAGAAATGCCGGCAAGCAAGATGCATGTGCAGAGCCGTAAGATTTGCTGATAAAAACAATTGCTTTTTGACGTTGCTGTTGTCGTTAACGTCGTGGTTGTCGAAGCTTAATATTAAGTAGCTACCACGTAGTTTTAATTAGAACTATGAAAAATCAAGCTACATATACAAAAACACTACAAATAAAAGAGTTGATACAACAAAAATATCATTGAAAAGCACTGATCACGCAATACAAACTAAGACCTATAAGCTAAGAAACCCCATGAAACCTTAAAGGGGAATTTCCGTTGTTAAGCTTATATCCCTACTGTTCTTTCTTTCAAATCTTGTACGGAAGAGACTTTGGAACACCCAAGTAGATTTCTGAAATAGTTGCCCCTCAAGTTACATTCCGGCAAGTGTAAGCTCACACTTGGGAGATTAACGAATTCTGAGCAAAACGCTCGTCCTTGTTCACCAACAGGACGATTCTCTACCCTATATATAGACAAGCCTACATAGCTCTCGACTGACAATCATTACACCCACTACAGCGAATACAACAACTACAGCGACTACACAACTACAGCAACTACACGACTACAGCATCTACAACAAGTACAGCAACTACAGCAACTACTAGAACTACAATAACTACACAACTACAGCAACTACAGGAACTACAGCAACTACGCAAGTACAGCAACTACAGAAACTACAGGAACTACACAACTACAACAACTACAACAACTACAGGAACTACACAACTACACAACTACAGGAACTACACAACTACAGTAACTACAACAACTACAGTAACTACAAGAACTACAATAACTACACAACTACAGGAACTACAGGAACTACAGGAACTACAGGAACTACAAAACTACAGCAACTACAATAACTACATAACTACAGGAACTACAAGAACTACAGAAACTACAGCAACTACAACAACTACAATAACTACACAACTACGGCAACTACAGCAACTACACAACTACAGCAACTACAGCAACTACAGGAACTACAGGAACTACAACAACTACAACAACTACAGCAACTACAACAACTACAGAAACTACACAACTACAGCAACTACACAACTACAACAACTACAACAACTACACGACTACAACAACTACATGAACTACACAACTACACAACTACAGGAACTACAACAACTACAGTAACTACAAGAACTAAAGTAACTATATACAAGAACTACAATAACTACACAACTACAGGAACCACAGGAACTACAAAACTACAGCAACTACAAGAACTACAGTAACTACAAGAACTACAATAACTACACAACTACAGGAACTACAGGAACTACAGGAACTACAAAACTACAGCAACTACAATAACTACATAACTACAGGAACTACAAGAACTACAGAAACTACAGCAACTACAACAACTACAATAACTACACAACTACGGCAACTACAGCAACTACACAACTACAGCAACTACAGCAACTACAGGAACTACAGGAACTACAGGAACTACAACAACTACAACAACTACAGCAACTACAACAACTACAGAAACTACACAACTACAGCAACTACACAACTACAACAACTACAACAACTACACAACTACAACAACTACGGCAACTACAGGAACTACAAGAACTACACAACTACAAGAACTACAGCAACTACAACAACTACAGGAACTACAGGAACTACAGGAACTACAGGAACTACAGGAACTACAAGAACTACAGCAACTACAACAACTACAGCAACTACAACAACTACAGAAACTACAGAACTACACAAACTACAAGAACTACACAACTACAAGAACTACAGCAACTACAACAACTACAGGAACTACAAGAACTACACAACTACAAGAACTACAGCAACTACAACAACTACAGGAACTACAGGAACTACAAGAACTACAGCAACTACAACAACTACAGCAACTACAACAACTACAGGAACTACAGGAACTACAAGAACTACAAGAACTACACGACTACAAGAACTACAGCAACTACAACAACTACAGAAACTACAGAACTACACAACTACAAGAACTACACAACTACAAGAACTACAGCAACTACAGGAACTACAAGAACTACAACAACTACAGCAACTACAGCAACTACAGGAACTACGATAACTACAACAACTAAAGCAACTACAGGAACTACAAGAACTACACAACTACAAGAACTACAGCAACTACAACAACTACAGCAACTACAGGAAGTACAAGAACTACACAACTACAACAACTACACAACTACAGCAACTACAACAACTACAGCAACTACAACAACTACAACAACTACAGGAACTACGATGACTACAACAACTACAGCAACTACAGGAACTACAAGAACTACAGCAACTACAGGAACTACAAGAACTACACAACTACAACAACTACAGCAACTACAACAACTACAACAACTACTGCTACTACAGGAACTACAGGAACTACAACAACTACAGGAACTACGATAACTACAACAACTACAGCAACTACAGCAACTACAACAACTAGAGCAACTACAGTAACTACAGGAACTACAAGAACTACACAACTACAACAACTACAGCAACTACAACAACTACAGCTACTACAGGAACTACAACAACTACCAGAACTACGATAACTACAACAACTACAGCAACTACAGCAACTACAACAACTACAGCAACTACAGGAACTACAAGAACTACACAACTACAACAACTACAGCAACTACAACAACTACAGCAACTACAGGAACTACAAGAACTACACAACTACAATAACTACAGCAACTACAGCAACCACAGGAACTACAGGAGCTACAAGAACTACACAACTACAGGAACTACACAACTCCTGCAACTACAATAACCACAGGATCCACAACAACTACAGTAACTACAGGAACTATACCACCAACCAAACGTTTACCTTTCGCTAGATCATCCGGCAATACTATATACATATGTCTCAGGACATTATACGTAGGGCTTACATGAAGTAGTAACCAATTGTTTGATTATCAGTGCCTTGTGGAAGGGAAAATGCCGAAGAAGAAAAGAGATTACTCAAGTTGCGAGAGTGATTTTAGCAACTGTAAACCACTTAAGTCCCGTCAGAAGGTAAGACAAGAAAAATTTGACGAAGTGGTCAGTATGTTAGAGGTTTTCTTTTTCGCTGTTTCCAGACATGTTCGGCTGACATTGGAGTACTCTGCATGTGCCCGGCAGTGGAAATTTTCTCATTTTCTACTTTGCTTTGTTTTACTCTTGGCCCTGGCCTACATGAAACTTACCTAATCTACCGGACTGCGAAAAGAAAAGCTGATCTTGTCCGGCCGCAGCCGCCGGCCTCCCGCGACTACTGAGGTTTTCCGTGACGTGTGATGGGTCCCATCCTCGGAGACCCAGGGGGAGTAAGTCGGGTTGGGAGAAAGGACGGGACGAAAGTTTTCAAGTACGGGTGAAAGAGCCCCTGGGTACCGACTCTCATCAAACTATTTCCAAAAATTCAAGCGGATGCCGGGTCCTGATTGGGCACAAAAAATGTTTTGTATTATTGTGCCCAATTGGCAAACAGTTTCTCCTGGGTTCTTTTCGTGAGTTCGTACACGAGGGCTATTGTCTTGCTACACTTGCCCAGTTCGTTCACCAAGCTTGTGTGTACAAGGGAAACTTTTATTTTCTACTTTCCTAACCAGAAACGAAGGAACTACCGTTGTGCCGTCGAAAAAACGTTTGGGATGCTATCAACAGGAGCAATTCAATTTGCCCCGAGAACATTCTGTTTTTGACTCATCACAATATATCATAAATAATGGAAAGTTTAAGATGCGGCAGCGATGAGAAAGTCAAATAAGCAATCGCTTGACAAGGCAAAAAAACACTTTGCACATGCATCACACTTTTTTGTACATTAAATTCTTTGCCTTCAACTACACGACCACCTGTGAAAAAGCCTAATCAGTCATGTTTTGTGAAGGACGTAAACAAGCAATGACAAAATTTGTTCTCTTCATGAACTTGGATATGGTTGATAGAAATTCAGCTCCAGAAGAGTTCGCTTGCATTTGACAAAGTAAGCCAGTTGGAATAATCACGATAGAAACTGAAGAAATGGGAATTCCCTCTTCCGTGCGACATTTTCGTGGTTGTTGGTCGTCATGGTATCTTTTAAAAACTCCCTAATATTCACTCAAGACATGACAGATGCAAGCGTAAATACCTGTTGTAAGCTCAAGCTTGTATTTTTGGAAAAGGGTCTTTCGTTTTCGGGCAGACAGTGTTTTGAAATCAGATGGGGATTTTATATCAAACTGAAAGTTTCCTGACTGCGTGCATTTCTTTGGTGCATGAGCCAGACAAGCCGTGATCGAGACAATAGCCGTCGTGTACGAACTCACGAAAAGAACTCAGGAGAAACTGTGCGCTGATAAGGCACAATAATACAAAGCATTTTTTGTGCCCAATCAGGAGCCGGCATCCGCTAGAATTTTTGGAAATAGCTCGGTGAGAGTCGGTACCCAGGGGCTCTTTCACCCGTACTTGAAAACTTTTGTCCCGCCTTTTCTCCCCACCTGACTGACTGTCCCTGGGTCTCCGAGGATGAATGGGTCCCAAATTATCAGTGTGATGCGTGATTGGGTCCAAAATAGCTGCGTGATGCGTGACTGGACATAGCAGTGTGATGCGTGATTCACTATTTTCATAACGAGTGACTCATGATTTTCTTTTCTGATTTCCGTGATTGCTGAATATCATTTGAAACTAGAAGCACAGGCATTGAAATCAGATAGTCATAACATCATTTTCTGGTCCCTTTTCTTATTCCTCAAGCTCAGCTGATCTCCTTTAAAAATCATATTTTGACCTACATGATGGCAAATTTATTTTCCCTCTGATGAGGGGTGTACTAAAAAAAGTCAGTGTGATGGGTGGTAGGTAACCCTCCTTTGCCACCCTGTAAGACCTTATCTTCTCTTTCGTAAGCTTACAAAAACTCACAAACAGTTTGCAAGAATAGACTCGTATGTGGTACAGTTGTGGGATGAGTACTGCACCCTAACCTTCCACCTAGGGTGCCACACCGGTGGAGATCTTGTGCAGTCTTTGGTGTACTGGTGCTCATAACCACTTAGACCAATAGTAAACCATATCATATCAAAAATATGGTGGAACCCTTTTGAAACGTCCACCTTTGGAAAAACCTGTAATCCCATATAATGAGACTGTGATCATCATTAGCAGAGCTGATAAACAAACTCTTAATAGTAAGAAATTTAATATTTTCACTCTCACTATTTTTTATCAGTCAAACAGAGAAAACAGTGATATTGAATTGATCATATCGCTTGACAGAAGGTGGATAAAAATAACACAACAATGACCATTGTGTAAATAAACACATTGTTAAGGTGCATTGATGCTCCCTTTGATACCTGACTCAATAGTACATGTATATCAGCTGACCGAAAGAACATCCTTATATTTCTGCAGTGTCTATCCTTGCTGAAACCAAACTAATAATGCACTATACTTCACTGGTGATTACAACCTAAAAATAAAGGTTTGAATTTCTTACATAACATTACCATTTTCAGATACCAAGAATTTCCTGTGACCAGAAGCCCATCACCTCCTGCTATGACACAGTACAGTCACAAAATCCAGCCTCAAATAGTAAGGGAAAACAGAATCGTTCTTTTGTAAAGCAAATCAGGAAGAGGGTAAGAATTTAAGCTATGTCTGTATTTGTAGCTGGTGTCTATGCTCTTTACATTTTTTTTGAGAAGGCTTGCCAGATCTTTTATGGCATGCCATGTCTTTTAACCCATTCGCCCTTGGAGATTTTGCTGAAAAATGCATTTTGAAGCTAGTCAAGCGGTTTTCTGGTCACTGTCGCACTAGTAAGAGCTAAAACTTACCAAAAAGCCATTTACAGGTTGTACACTTTGTAGCCTTCTGATCCAGATGCAACATACTAGCATGTGAAGATCGGGCATGTGCAGAAAGCAAAATTTCAAGCTAGTTTTTGGGTTTAAAAGTGACACAGCAGTCTTGACTTTTATTTGTCACTTTCTCTCCTCCCTTCTTTTTTTGTCTTTCATACTTCATTTTTTTTATTTTGCTGGACATTGTTTAGGCTTCATTTTTGGTGGGAAAAGTTTTTAGGAAAGCTTTTATGATCTTAGTGGAACATCTATCATCTATCATCTAAAAATTGCAAATTTCTAAGAATGATGACTTTTTACCATACATGTAGATGATACCAAAGACATTAATAATACTATTTTTTTCTTTTCAGTTGGATAAGTGGTACTCAGCGACAAAAACTCCAGCATGTGTGATATACCTAAGAGGTGGTACTGTTCTCTGTGAAGGTAAAGTCTATTGTAGATTTTTAATCAGTTTACATGTCAACCACATCTTGGTAAATCTCGTACTCAGTATTGTTAAAAGCAGACAGAGCGCAAATTTTAAAATTTTTGTTGCCTACTTGAACAAGGGACTTGTAGTAGATAACTTAAAGTGAACTGAGCAAAACATCACCAGGATTTTCAGACCAATAAAATAAGTATATTTTACTTTTAGAGTTTGAACAAGCCTGAGATAATCTTGCTTCAAATTTAATTACTCGGTAGAAACTAAGTAAGGTGATAGACCTTGATGCATGTAATAATTTGACTTGTACTGATGTACAGGTGTACTTGTAACCACAGTTATGCCTTCTCTTGAAAGGATCACTGCTGATCACACCCCTTCAATTCAAATACAGCTTTTTGATAAGTTTATTTTGACATAGAGTTCACCTTGAATTACGCTTATTTACAGTACATTTCCTATCTGCACTCACTTGAATCATTATCATTATTTTTGCCAGGCCCTGAATTTCTGAAAGCCAGGTTTGGTAGAAATGTTGACATACAGAGGAAGTTCCTTCGTGCTGTCCTTAATCATGGTTAGTCACTGGGACAATAAAATATTATGCAGTTATTCAGACTGTTCCATAAAAATGTAACTGCTTACAGAAGTACATACAGTGAAATACACCACACAAGATGTTGTGGATCAATGATATCATGTATTCAATTTTTGTTTGTCGTGCCATGAGTAATATTATAATAGTGAAACAATAAAGAGAAAACATTTCCAGGGGTAAAGTTAAATCACATTTACATATATGTTTTATGATAAATACTTTTACTTAATCAAGCTGATATGAGTAACATAATGGTGATTAGTGAGTTATTGGTCATAAATAATATTTTAAAAACAGTGTTAACCAGGCTGGGCAGATCCAGAAAATTCAGAAAGAAAGGATCGAAGAAATTGAGGGGGTCACCTGTCCACTGAAAAATCTGGGCTATGGAGATACTTTTTATTAGCGCACAGAATGTAACTTCTGTCGGGATGTTAATTATACAATGTAGGCTTTGGAAGACAGATTCCCAGATAATTTTTGGGATGTGCTAATCTCCTTGAGCAATGCTTAGAGGCACCCATTATAATAATAATAATTATCATTATAAAATTTTTATGCAGAAGTTTACTTCTAGGTAACAACGTCCAGTCTGAGGAGGAGATTTCCTCTGAGAATGTGAATGGCGAAGCACATTTTCCTGTTTCCCTTCCACCAGAAGGAGGAAATTATAAAGTTGAAGATCTTCGAAAAATTGTCACATCTTGTGTGACCATTGGGAAAAGTGGTAATGGTATTAAATATTATCTAACTGCAAGCTGTGCTCTAACAAAAATTGGGGGAAGCCCAGTGCTCTGAACCCCTAAATCTCGGGTGCCCAGCACATATTTTATATGAGAAAAGTTAGATTTTCTAGTCGCCCAATAGCAAAAATTAAGGTCCAGAGGCCACCAGGGGCTGCTAGAGCATAGCCATGACCTGTATTTTTATCCTGAATCCAGACTGGTTTTAACTGAGTTGACAGTGCAACCTCGTTCATCGCGGAAGTGGGGGGAGTACTGTTGAAGCAAGTTGGGAAAGAAAAGACCCGCCTGGCCTCGCAGGTGAACTTTGCCTCCCCCATTCTCCGAGTCTAAATTTCAGGCACTTTAGTCTGAAGTAAGGTACATTTTTTTACATGCACAGTTGTGTAGAATATGGGGAGAGGGAAGACGATGATCGTTTGAGGAAGGTGAAGTGGCCCGCACTCGAAATGCATAGATTGTTTCTTTCTTAAGTTGAATGCTATAAGATTGTTTTTAGCATGAACAAACTAGATGTTGAAAGTCTAATTTTGAATTTACTAAGTGCAATTCAACCCATGCTAATCACCCATATAAGCTACTATATGTTAAGCCAGCAAAGTGTTAGCCTGTGAAAACATCCGTTTCTCCTCGCTCTTCGTCGCTGAGGACGTTTCGCGCGGAGGAACGTCTGCGACTCAGTGACAGAAATTCCATACTGATGACGCAAATCAATGTTTACATAATAAATCCGGTAGTCATGGGGTTCCAAATATAAATTTGTCTAATTTTGCGTGTCTTCTGGTCGATTTTGGTAGTGTTGCGTTGATCTCCCCACGAGCTCCAGCAAAACTCAAATGCTTCTTCTAGAGAAGACTATATTGCACAAATATTGACTGTTTTGTTAGAGATTCTTCGTGTTTACATTTGACCTTTTTGGCCTTTTGTCTTTTGTCTGTCATTTGTAAACAATAGCTAAAACAATGTAACTGCTCCGTCGACGAATCAGCGCTTCTGACTGCATTCTGGACAGATTTTACGTCATTACTATGGAATTTCTGTCGCTGAGTCGCAGACGTTCCTCCTCGCGAAACGTCCTCAGCGATGAAGAGTGAGGAGAAACGGATGTTTTCGCAGGCTAGCAAAGTGTAATCCATATGAATAAATTCCTTTTCCTATCCTAATCGTGCAGGACTGGAATATTAGTCTACCAGGATCTATTGTTGATGCTGGGAGCCTGAACCCAGCCTGTCGTTGTCCAATTGCTTTCCTCTTTGGTATTTTTTGCACTGTAGAAAGAGCTCTGTATTTTAAAACATGGGCAAGTTTGGTCAACATCATGAAAATGAAAATGCTATTTTTGTGGATTCTGTGTTTGTCCAGCATCAAGGCCACCTTATCACGTCGTGGTTGCAAACCAAGAATAAAAGCACTGTTCAGTGTTTGTTGCCTACTTTTCCTCTGCAAACACATGGCTAACAGTTAGCTCACAGATGAATGTGTGTTGCACTGCTAATGAAATATCTTCTTAAGTTCATCGTTATTTGATTGTTTTGTTTCTGTATTATAAATTATAGGGTATTGTAATCCCTATTGGGGAAATGCGGAATATCGACCCTGCTGGTGGCCACAGGAAATTCCATTTGCCTCACCCTGCACAGGAAGTATGTCATGGCTAAAATAGTAATACTCAGTTGTCATCTATTATGTTGATGTCATAGGTCAAAATGTAATCTAGGCTAACTTCTTTTTAACCTACGTTGATTCTCAGTCTGCTTTGTTCCCTTCCCTCCCCCTCCCCCTCACAGGGCTACTTCATTGTTATAGTGAGGGGGATGATTGAAAGGGAGCAAACCTCAAAACCCCAAAAAGTCCCTAAACCAAAAATCTGAAGCGAAGTTTTCTTGCCTTAAAAATCTTCCACGAAGTACATAACAGAATAAAATTTGATGTTTGTGGTTGTTCCTTCATACCATCTGCAGTTTGCATGAGCTATAGATTAACATACATGGTTTTCTATCTACCTCTTATGTGAGTTTTATATAAAGTAAAAAGAACAAGATGAAAAATGCCTCCTGGCCAAAAGTCAGCCTGTCAGTCAAAATTGGTGGTGAGATATAAGCAGTGTTACCCTGATGTCTCCATTTAGATCCCTCAAGAAATAGGCCTTGTCGTAATCTCACTACCAATTTCCACTAACAGGCTTATTTTTGAAAAGGGAACATTTTTAATAATATTGTGATATCTGGATTTGCCAAACAGTTCAAATTTTCATAATTATCGTCAAATTTTTTTGTTATCACATGATTTTACTCTATTTAGAAATCTGCTTGTTCCATCTTTCAACTATTTACATGTTTCTTGTAATTTATCACAGTCTGTCTACCCTGGGTGCCAGAGACTTTTCTAGTGCGGTTTCCAGTTTCTGTCAAGTCTTTATAGGGACCTGTGCTGCCACTCAAGATTCCCGCTGCACGCAAGAAGTAAACCTCCTGTACCCGGGTACATCCTGACACAAAAGACTGGGAGCTGGGGATTTCCCCCCAACTACTTTTATAGGATAATTAAGGTGACTCGACCCAGTTTTTTTGGGGGGGGTACCATCCTACTTTGAAGCTCTCTGGTATCCCCACCTTTACTTTTATCGTACGTCTAACACATAGAATGGATAACATATAGATCAATCTGCAATATAACATAAAATTTTTGGCGATCGGAGTAAATGTCACGTGGTTATAATGCCACGCCCCTTTGAGGTCTGAGTCGAAAATCGGCTGTTGCCGGCATTTTTTCGTGAAAATCTCTCGGCTACACGTAGTGCGCATTAGTGCCTTGCGCTGAACAGAGTTTCACCAAAATCGCAAAGACCCAATTCGAGAAATTCAGCGGTTTCCAAATTTAGGTCATAATTTATGCGAAAATGATAAGCAAACTTTACACGGATTATATATAATAAACTATGAGATTCATCTCCTTATTTTGGGCATCGTTATAACAGATGGGTCCTTGCAAGTCAGCAAAACGCTTTAGGGCCTTGTAAATGCGCGTGATTTCGAGCAAAGCAAACATATAGAAATTATAGTTTTCGCTATTTGTTGACGTTTGTCAGCGTTTGAGAGTCCTTCTCACGAAAAAAGCATTTTCTTAAAAATTCGTAATTTTTTTTCCTTCAAATTTTTTCAGGGCCACAATTGATTACCTAACTACTCGGACTCTGAATTTCATGGTCATTGAAAAACTGTCACATTATCTTCTATAAGCTCAAACTTGAGTAAACATTGAAGATTTTTAGCGTTTTGGCGGAGTTTGTGCTTTGGGAGTTGTCTATTGTTTCTAGTCTGTCATTATACAGCATTCTTGTTCAGCACGCGTGCAATGACCACACTTGGCTGACTTCCGAATGCTCACCGAGATATTCCCGTCACGAGTTGGTTTAATTATTTGCTTGCATTAAATGATATTTTTGTAATAGTAAGTAGACTTAGTGTGTAGCACTTCTTGATTTTTTTGCAAAGACACAAGAAGCACGAGAATTGATGAAAAATTGTTAGTTAAACCTCTATGTATCACGCGATGGCCTGTCTCACTGTACCAAATTTATAATATCTCGGTGAGCATTCGGAAGTCAGCCAAGCGCGGTCATTGCACGCGTGCTGAACAAGAATGCTGTATAATGACAGACTAGAAACAATAGACAACTCCCAAAGCACAAACTCAGCCAAAACGCTAAAAATCTTCAATGTTTACTCAAGTTTGGGCTTATAGAAGATAATGTCACAGTTTTTCAATGACCATGAAATTCTGAGTCCGGGTAGTTAGTTAATCAATTGTGGCCCTGAAAAAATTTGAAGGAAAAAAAATTACGAATTTTTAAGAAAATGCTTTTTTCGTGAGAAGGACTCTCAAACGCTGACAAACGTCAACAAATAGCGAAAACTATAATTTCTATATGTTTGCTTTGCTCGAAATCTCGCGCATTTACAAGGCCCTAAAGTGTTTTGCTGACTTGCAAGGACCCATCTGTTATAACGATGCCCAAAATAAGGAGATGAATCTCATAGTTTATTATATATAATCCGTGTAAAGTTTGCTTATCATTTTCGCATAAATTATGACCTAAATTTGGAAACCGCTGAATTTCTCGAATTGGGTCTTTGCGATTTTGGTGAAACTCTGTTCAGCGCAAGGCACTAATGCGCACTACGTGTAGCCGAGAGATTTTCACGAAAAAATGCCGGCAACAGCCGATTTTCGACTCAGACCTCAAAGGGGCGTGGCATTATAACCACGTGATATTTACTCCGATCGCCAAAAATTTTATGTTATATTGCAGATTGATCTATATGTTATCCATTCTATGTGTTAGACGTACGATAAAAGTAAAGGTGGGGATACCAGAAAGCTTCAAAGTAGGATGGTACCCCCCAAAAAAAACTGGGTCGAGTCACCTTAATACAAGAGGAAAATAGAGCCAATTGAAAAGAAATCCCTGGCTGTTCCTGTTTATTATTAAATGAATATAGCTGGTATCTCAAAATCTTATATCACATTTATGTGTATAATTATGGAAAATGTCAGATAGTTATACAATAAATAAATACTTGTAAAAGGTCAAAATGAAATTCAGGTTACCTGGGTCAGTTCTCAGTTTTGTTTGTCTCCTCACCTTAATCATTCATGCATAGGGGCAAGCAGACAAGGGAAATTGAGAATCAGTCTAGGATGCATCTGTATTTAATTTTAAACTGTAACATATTTGTTCAATTAACATAATCATTGCTTTCAGAATCCAGATTATCCAAGATGCATCTTGTCAGGGTGATGGAATGCTATCGTTCATTTTGTTCATCTAAAACCAGTTCAGGTACACGTATTGTACCAGCACAGCAAGTCAATAGTGGTGATGAAGAAACCACAACCCAAGAAGATGGACAGGAACCTGGTGCGCATAAAATGATATTATATTGTATTACCACAGCAGGACAGTAGTAGCTATGTAGAGGTCTACAATGACACCAGAAGATGCAGGCCAGTGTCCTGTTTCATGCATATATTAGGGAGCTTAAGCATTGTAAGCATTTTTGAGCGACAGACTTCAGCCAGAAGTGGACTTTCTGTATCACTGAGCAGTGGTTTGGTTCAAACTCTCGGGTAAATCGTCTTTATACACTGTAAGAGAAAAGAAACTTAGCAATAGAAATTTGTTAGCATCAAGGCGTGTAAAAAAATAGAAGGCCATACTTTGAGTTGACATGGGTGGCTAAAAAATGTCTTTCCTTAAGCTCCCTATTGTACCACCATAGCTGTAACATTGGTGAACATTGAAAATATTGGTCACAAATAATGTTTTGCCACTTAAATTAAAGGCTTATTCTTAATACTTATATTTACCAGGCCAGGCAGATCTAGAAATTAAGCGATCGAAGAAGTTGTGGGGTTCACCTATCCACTGAAAAATCTAGAACTCTGTCTCCTCAAGCAAGGCTTAGAGCCACCCATTAGGATAATCATAATTATCATTATCATTATCTTTATGCAGTACATGTAGTTTTCTTCCAGATAGCAACGACCAGTCGTTAGAGGAGATTTCCTCCCAGAACATGATTGCCCAAGCACATTTTCCTGTTTCCCTTCCACCAGAAGGAGGAAATTGTAAAGTTGATGATCTTCGAAAAATCGTCACAAAATGTGTGACCACTGGGAAAAATGGAGGTGATGTTAAATATTATCTTACTGAGTTTTTTTATCATAAATCCAGACTAGTTCTAATTGAGCTCACAACCTCCTTTCTAGTGGGGGAAGGAGCAAGGAAGACCTTGGGAGCAAAATTGGGCAAGAATTTAAGACCCACCTGGACCTGAAACTTTGCCTCTCCCATTCTCTGAGACTTCAGCTTCTCAAGGAGGGTTGTCCAATACACACAAATAGAGTCTGGTCGTCTAACTATTATCGAAGTTGAGCCATTGTTTTGGATGTCAGGGTGTGGTTTCTAGGGAAAAGAGTAGTGTCCACTGTCTGTAATTGCAAGTTGAGTAGTTTCCTCTGTCATGTAGCCAGTTCGATGGGGTGGTCACATCCCGTCAAGGGAAATCTCGTCATGAAAATGAAAATGCTAATTATGTGGAAAATTTTTTATTGTTTTGTCCTACATCAAGGCCACCATGTTATTCTTATTCTTGGTTTGCAACCAAGAGTAAAGCACTGTTTAGCATTTTTTGCCTACTTGAACTCTACAAACACTTGAATAACTGCTCACAGATGAACTGTTAATGAAATGTGAAATAAATAGGTGTTGCACTGTTAATGAAATATCTTCCTACATTTAGTATTATTTGATTGTTTTTTTCTGTATTATAAAGGGTACTGTTCTCCACATTGGGGAAAAGCGGAATATCGACCCTGCTGGTGGCCTCAGGAAATTCCATTTGTCTCACCCTATGCAGGAAGTATGTCTTGGCTAAAATATTTTGTAGTACTACTCAATTGTCATCTATTCTTTGGATGACATAGGTCAAAATTAAATTCAGGCTAAATTTCTTTCAGCCTATGTTTGATTCTTCATCTGCTTTGTTTCCAGTTGGAGTGCTCTAAAGTTAAAGCTAAAAATGTCCCTGAACCAAAAATTAACCGCAAAAAAATCCCATGCTGACTTTTCATACAGGATTAAATGATTTAACTTTCAAAATAATTGAACATTGAATATTTGTGGTTGTTCGTTCATCATACCATCTGCAATTTGCATAGGCCTTAAAGTAAATGATTTTCTGTCCACTTCTTGTCAAAGTTGTTTATAGAGTAAAAAGAACAAGATAAAAAGTGGCCAAAAATTAACATGGCAGTAGAAATTGGTGGTGAGATTTAAGTACTGTTATGCTCTGATGACTCCATATAGATCCTTGTTAAATAGTGCTGGACTGTAAATGTCATGATCATGAATAATCTCACCACCAATTTCCTTTAACAGGCTGATGCTTTGTAAGCCTAGGGGAGGTTTTTCACCTTTTTCTTTCTGTACTGGTTAATAAATGAGCAGGAATGTATTATCAGGTTTTTAAAACTGCCTCGAATTTTTAAGCCTGATAATACATGACTGTGAGTTTTTTGAACGGCAAGAAAATCTCTGTTATTGATCAACTCATTCTTGCACTAATATTTGGATTTGGGGTTATATATTTGGTCTAAAAAATATTTGGATGCAAAGTTTAGCCATATCTTTATCAGACATAAAGACACTCGTTAAACATTATTTTCTTTTGACTCTTCTTGATGAATTATCAATGAGTTTTTGAAGAATACGCCAATAGCAACCAATCCCACAATTTCGAGTTTTGGTGACATCACATTTCTATAGTCTTTAGAAATCTGCTTATGTTCCAAATTCCAGCTGTGTATTTTCTAACTTGTCACAGGTCTGTCACAAAAGGCTGGGGGCCGGAGATTTTCCCCCAACTACTTTCGTAGGAACCAAAACCCTGTTCTCATATCACATTATTGGAAAATTAGAATAAGTTTATTTTAAATGGTTATACATTTATTTGTAAAAGGTCAAAATTAAATTCAGGGTGTTCTCAATTTCTTTTGTCTTTCCTGCATTGGGGCAAGCAAACAATGGAAATTGAGAATCAACGTAGGTAACGTAATAAATATTTCCTCAAATACGTAATCATTATTGCAGGATCCAGATTATCCAAGACACAACTGGTCAGGGTGATGGAATGCTATCGTTCATTTTATCCATCTAAAACCAGTTCAGGTACACGTATTGTACCACCACAACAGGTCAATAGTGGCAATGAAGAAACCATAACCCAAGAAGCTGGTCAGCAACCTGCTCCACATAACATTATCTATATTGTATTCCCACAAGTGAACAACAGCAGCAATGTACAAACAGTAACACCAGAAGATGCAGGCCAGCGTTCTGATGCAGATATTGTACCACCACGACAGGAAACTAATGACAATCCAGAAATCTTAACACAAGAAGATGGCCAGTCAGAAGTTCTATATGCGCTACAAGGTGCTGTTGGTGCTACTACTTCTATTTTGACCGAGAGGGACTAGAGCGACAAAACTGTTTCCTGCAAAACGAATTGAAAGACGGTGTCGTTTTATCACATGTTATCAGGAATGAAACCTGTCTTGAAATGGCTTAGGTTGTTGCAGAGAGAAGAGAGTACACTAAGACAGTTGTAGTTAGACTGTTTGCAACAAAATATGTACAAAATTTGCAGCAGTCTTGCTTATGGCGTAATTCCCTTCCAGTCAGAAGGCGTTCTTCCCTGGTGAACACTTAAGTGCTCAGAGCAATCCAGTGTTGTAAGCTGGGTGCCAGAAACTTTAGTTCTCCTGTCTTGTCTTGTTTTGTTGAAGTCTACAGCCTTTGGCAAAAGATATGCCAGCCGCAGGTCCACACCGAATCAGCCTTCTGTACGCAAGAAAAAAGCTCTAGTACTCATATTATTTGTCACTTGAATATTTTCTTAGTTCTCTCAAATTTCATCGCAGATCAGGTCATCTCTGGAGAGAGTTAAAATGACTGGGATGTCCAGTCCCTCGCTCCAGTTCAGGGAGGGTTTTCTTTGTGTTATGGCTTGTAATTGCGTTTCATTTGTAAAATCGAAAAATGCGAAATATGTGATGTCACCAACAACTTATTTCACAGCAGTCCTTGTAGTTCATGTATTCATTGTTACCTAATCACTCTCCTTGGTAGCAGTATAGCGTACACCAAATGAACCTTTTTTTAAGGAGGAATCTCATTAACTTGAGGGGATATGCATGAAGTTATAACCTTTAATTGTGAACATATAATGCAATGGAAGATAGTATTACATGCTATTTTAAAATTTTTTGACGGGTTTGACAAGTTTACTGTTTTCTCTACACCACAACCACCAATATAATATTGGTTCACGGGCAAACCGTTTTGGATAAATGGTAAGCAAAATTCGGGACTGATAAATTTCGTCCCGGAGTCGTATTTACCATTTGTGCAAATCAGTTCCATGTACTGAAAAACAGCCGCGAAGGTCTGAAACTGTTATCTAAGATGGCGTTTTGTTTGGAACACAACGTCCGGTAAAACATGACTACCTTTACAGATGTCCCATTGCTCACGGAAATTTTCTGCCGGAATGCCCCAAAAAGTCGAGTTCCATTTACTTTTCAACCAGCTTTTCCGGAAACGTTTTGTGACTGGTAATAAGAAACAACCATTGTTTTCCCTTCATCTCTAACACTACCACAGTAATTTCTATTGTTTTCCTTTCACCACTACAATTCCATTGCTTCGAGATCCTCCTTCACTCCACCTCACATCGGCCTTACTGTGATCCTCAATCGACCATCGATCGATCCTATAGAAGTGAGAGGAAGTTAGGGAAAACAATAGAGTTGTAGTGGCGGTGGTGGAGACTAGTGGAGGAAAAACAGTAGGATTGTGGCGGTGGTGGAAGAAAACGATGGGAATTTGTCTTTTTTTTGGTTGCTTTTGTTTTCACGCTCTGGGGGACACAAAACAAAAGAAACCTACCCCACTAAACCGGGGTCCCCCACTCCATGTAAACAGGGTCTTAGAAAAATAGCACAAAGCTCTTTGTTTTCCCTCAAACATTTTACATAAGCATTGTTTTCAACAGGGGCACCCAACGGCAATTTTCGGGAAAATATCTGTTCGGAAGACGATTTGAGATCTAGAATTTTCGGAGCATTTGTTGTAAAATTTCTTGCCTGCCTGCCTCTCCTAGGATTTTCGAACATCTACAAAATGGTATAATTACCCATTTTTAACGGATTTTGAGCCTAAAAAAGGCCACCTAGATTTTTCGGTAGCCTTTTCTTGGCTGAAATTTTCGAGAAGGTAAGTTTTTATCCCTATAATTTTCGGATCACTAGACTTTCAGCTAGGAAATCCGAAAAGATGAAAAGTTTTTAGGGGATAAAAATATGCCTATATCTACCGTTTGAATACTAAAATACGTTCAACAATGCTATGTTAAGTGGTTTTGAACCATATCCTCATTGGGTGCCCCTGTTTTCAATTTCTTTTGGGACTACTTGCAATCGTCCCAAGAGAATTTTAAAGCACAATTTATGTAACTGAAAGTTTTGGAGGGAAAACAATAAAAAATGACAGAATATTCTCTCTTGAACGAGGAGGCCCATTCATATGTAGGCGATGCTTATCTCAGCTCTCAACCCCGCCCCCTCTATTTTTCCCTTGGTAAGTCACCCGAAGGCATACCCTTATTTGATCGGCAAGGTGACCGACCTTCTCACTCGTCTTTTTCGAACGTACCACTGCTTTTATCCGTGTACCTTCCACTGTTCTGATCGAAGACATAAAATCGTAGCTTAAGCCCCCACAGGCGGCCCAAGCTCAGTGTGTGAGTTTAATCATTAACACATGTAGTTTCATATTGCGTAATTTAAAATGGCCGTGAATATAAAGGATTTGTATGGGAATTCAGGTAAAAGATTCAAATCGATAAATAATCGCTAGAATGTTCAATAAAATACAGCTTACCGTATTTACTTTGCTTGTTTTTGTTTGCTGTGTGGTTATTTTTCCGATCCATTGCGATTTAAGCGATTTCCTTTAACCCCGAGTTTCCACTGTAAGAGAAAGGTCCTTCCTAGCTAGGACGTTTTTATGTTTTCGGTGGCAAAGTGGGTCAAGTGAGCGAGAGACCGGGATGGGGCCATGATGGGGCCTACTACCGGAACCGGAAACGAGAAACGAAGGACTTTGAGAAACTCTAGCTGGAGTCTGAGAGCTAGAGCTTTTGGTAGTTAACTCATGTATGAGCACTTGAAGTGCCGCGGAAGTAAACTGAATCAAGATGGCGGATCTATTGTGGAGTTGCAGAGGTGATTTAGCTGTTGCGTGCGATACTGGGGTTAAAGTGTTGGGTGCAAGGTGAGAAAGAGACAAAACTATGAAATAAGAATTATGCACAGCCCCAAAAATCTATTATTCATGCAGAATTTTCTTACCATTTCACACAATGGTTATGGGCATAAAGTCGAAACATGTGAGCTTATGCATGACAAAATATCAATGCATGAGGCTGTGCAGAAATCTTACCGACGACTGAAGTTTACGTTTAGAAATAGTTTTGGGATCATTTGTAGCACACTGCTTACAGAGTAAACTGCTAAATAGCAGGTGGTGACTCAGACCCAGTTATGGCTTGAAGGCATGGAGTATGGCTTTATGGTTTTGAGGCCACATACACAAAACAAAGTTCCTTGAAACAACGACAACTGCTATTTGAAGAATATCCCCCGGGCTAAAGATCCATTTTTTTCCTGAAATTGTGGAGGAAAAGACAATTTAAAAGTGCAAAGTTACAGTGATAAAGGTAACTGGTATGGTTTAAAGTTTGAAATTATTTTGAATGAATAATAATAAAACAATAATAATTTATTTTTGGACTTGGCTTTTGTGCAATCTTAAGAACCCCACTCAATATGTAATTCTTGAGATCATAATTAGCCTCATATAACAATCAATTCACACCGATAATTCCTAGGTTAATATTGTCATGCCATGTCTGAAGTTAAAATTGCAAATATTTTTATACTGAAATAGCCCCCCGCTCTTGCTAAACCATGCAGCCATGCTACTGACTAGACAAGTCCAGTATATCGATTACAGAGCCTTTTACCAAAGTCATTTGTGTTATCAGTCCCTAATTCTTTAGAGCATTATGGTACTAGTACTATGGTAATATGTATAGGTAATAGCATGATTTGTAGTGAAATGCCAAATATCACGTACAAATCATGCTATTAATTGTTTATACTACTACCCACAAACGGTTTGTAATTTTCGCATGTAGGTATTTCGAATTAAGCTGAAATACCACTGCTCTAAGCCAGTCAAATTGCAGAAATTTCTCATGCAGTGTATAAGACTATGTTATTATCTCTTTTTCTATTAACTTTATTTCAGTGATGGCAGTTGCAAGTTTTCACATGCTGTTACCAATAAGCCACAGGAGATACAACCAGGACAAGAATTTGATACCAGTACACTGGGACATGGTGTTTTGTGCTGTTTTTCAAACTCTGGAAAATTGTTTGCCCTTTGTACTCCCCAAAAAGAGTTGTTAATATGGCACACAAATGACTGGAAATTATTGAGTAAAAGGTAATTTAAGCCATTGCCGGCTGCTGATTGCAGATGTTTTACCAACATTGACAGCAAAGAAAGGAAAGATGAATTTAAAAAGATAGCAGAAGAAATTTTTAGCTTGCTGGGAAAAATTTTTTGTCGCTTTAGGAAGGTAGCTGAATATTATATTGGCAAATTCTCAATTTTGCAAGTGTTAGCTCAACTATATTTTCCATTTCACCCCATGCTCTTCTGTGTCTTATTAACATCTGCCTCTTGACTTATTAACAAATCGACAACAATTTTCCATGGTCTGTCTCTTATTGAGCTTAGAAATGACATCAAAATGTTCAAAACTAGAGTCAAACTACTCGCCTGCAGCTCTTGGTATACTGCATATACTGCAAACTTTTGACATTTTGATGTCATTTTTATGGTCAATAGGATTTACAGACCATGGAAAATTGTCGACTTGCTTTTTACATTACTAGATATTGACAGTTTTGACATTCATTTCTGTTGAAGTTTCTTGGAAAATTGTGCGCGTAAGAAAAAGAAAAACAAAATTACGTCACCATCACTTCATAGAAATTTTCTATGGTGTGTACTCTTATTGAGTATGGTCAAAAAGGAAAGGAAACAATGCATGCAGGATTAATGTCTATCAACTGGTTGCTGTAAAGAACCATTTTGTTGCATGTGTGTAGATATTGTCACTTTGGTTTAACTGGCTCAAGTACATTGTAAGTGAACAGTTAACCTTAGAAGGGACCATGAATTTTAATTTCCAAAAACACATCTGCTTATATGCCATAAAATTGTAATAATTAAGTATAGTTTTAGGATCTTTTAGAAAGGAAACTAATTTTTGACTGTACATGTAGTAATGTTTTGGTTAATTAAGTTACAGTGTACATTTTTATCTCTTAAATTTATTTTGGGGCATTTGATGGTTTTGAATATTATTATGATGTATGTCTGGTTAATTTTACTTACCACCATATCTGATTCGTCTAACTCCTGTGTACTTAGAAAAAACATTTTTGTTCAAACCATTTTCCAGAAGGGTTTTTTTTAACCTTTTTTCAGAGAAGTTGTGAGACGTACCACCGTTATATTATTCACCAACGAAGAGGATTATATCATAGCTGGTAATAAAGGTGGTGAAGTTTACAGGTTTGTGGAACAATATATACAATTATGTCAGATCCTGAGGGAAACAGTTAGGTTTGTTTTCCTGAGAATGTGCTTGTGATCATGTGCTGTAATGTACGTAGCCCGAGCAGGGGACATTGCTTAATGTATCATGATCGGGATACATTTGATTTTAATCAAGGCCACGTGACCAAGAATCAATCAATGGCAGTCCCTGTTTAGTTGAGTGAAAGTCTAGCTAGGGATATAACAAAGCAATTTATTTAATACAATAATAATTTGAACCAGTACATATAATTACGGAAATATAACAATTACTGGTCAACAAGGAGAGGTTCTGCCCACTACATGTAGATACATATTACATACATGTATTCATGAAAATCAGCCCTCATAAACATGACAAACACAACAGTTTGGGCAAATATGTTTACTGAACATGACATGGACCAATTAAGAATTGAAACACACATGATAGAGTAGAACCCATGGAGGGAGGGAAGGAAGGGTGAGAGCTTATGTCTCCACTCTGCATCTTTGAACAAAGATGATGTGCAAGAGCTAAGCACTCCCTTTCTGGAACAATAATACCAATATCTAACTTAACTAGTTAATTAATTATCATTAATGATTGATGTCTCCCTCACTCGTGAATTTACAGAGTAGCATTTCTGCTGATTTCTTTGAGTAGGTTACATATATGTAACTCACACACTGACATCACCTACATGTTGTATTAATATTTATTTTCCTACAAAGGTTTTCCATACTCAATAGTGAGCAAGACAAAGAGCTTCTCTTAGGTCATGTCTCCATGATTTTAGACATGGTATGAAATATTTTTTTAATTTTTTAGTAGTAATATGCATTGTGTAGTTCCAAAAAATACCCATTCCCCCCATAGAGGGCAATGGAAATTCTGAGGGGAGGGGGGTTCTATTATTTTACTGTCAACGGTCTTTTGAAATAAGAATAATTATTGTTTTCATTGGTGATATTTTATTAACGGTCACCAGATTTTTTTTTTGACAAGCACTTCCAGGAATGGAAATTCCAGGGGGGTGGATATTTTCTGGAACTACACATACTGTATTGTTTTGTAATCTAGTCTGCATGCCCTGACATCCCTTGTTTCCTTTGTTGCACACCATAAAAGGGATATGCAACAAAGGAAATGAAACATCTGCATGCAGGCTATTTTAAAAGAACATTTTCCATCTTTTGAAACAGGTTATTACAAAAGATGACAAGTTTTTAATCACATCTGACAGAGATGAGAAGATACGTGTGAGCTGTTATCCAAACTGTTACAACATCCGCTCATTTTGCCTTGGAAGTCTGGAGTAAGTACATGTATGTAGATGGCTAAATGACAACTGAAGATTAACTAAATAATATAATTTTGTAATGGTAATAGGACTGAGTGGAGTCCATTTCGGTCTGTAATCAAAGGAGTGATTAACAAATATCGGATTACTGTGTAGCCAAGTCTGATTTGTTTTATCACTTGTTTGATTACAGACCAAATTGAATGACACAAAGTTCTGTTACCCATTAATCATAACTATAATAATATTTTGATATTTTGAGCTTTTCTAAAATTAAAACACAGGATATTTCAAGAGTTTATTCGCTTGCATGCGCGATGGTGTATACTGTCCAATTACGTAGGCAAGATGCATACTGTCCTATTGCACTTTCCTATTAGTACTGAAATCAGGGCAGTTGATAGCCAATCAGATTTGAATTTGTTATAGTTATGATTAACAGTATAATTCGATGCACTGCATAGGAATGCATTCAGTGCTGATCATTGTATTATTTTCTTGCGTTATGGTTTGCTAGAGAGTATGCCTAAAGAGTAGGATTGCATAGTAATGTACAACTGATTTTGCTTTGCAGTTTTGTAAGCTGTTTAACTCTTCTACCGGCGGGAAATGAAGACATACTGATATCTGGGGGAGGGGTAAGTAAATTAGTTAGTGACAATAACTAATTGCATTGCCTGTTACTGTCCAGGTTTGATTTTTGTTTTTCTAACAATTATGTGGCTCAGGATCAATTTTCCTCTCTTGGGGATTTGTTGTTCTCTAAACTTTGCAATGAAGTGTGAAAATCTCTTCGTGAGAAAAAAAATTGAGAAGGGAAAAGGGTGTTGGCTGTACTTTTTTCAATGTGGGGAGGGTACAGTTGAGAAACAAATCTGTGTTTAAAATGGTGTTATTGCTAAGCTTGTAAACAAGTTGGTGAAGGAAACAGGGGCCAAAAGGCTGTGGGATTTTAAAAAAACTCATTCATCATTAGTTTTGTTCATCCATTATTTTCCTCATGAATTCTTGGTGATTTTTTATGGATCTTTATGATTACAAGGATGGGTTTGTGAGGTTCTGGAACCCTAAATCAGGCGAGGAAATTACATCAATGATGACTGATGACAGAGTGGAGAATGACAAGGAAGAAAATCTGAAGGTATCTGAATAATTTACATACCAGCAATAATTATAATTATGCATTAAATTCTTATATTGAAAAGTGGAAACAGGATAAGATAAGTGTAAGAAACCATTTTATTTCATCATCCTAAAAGTGCCTATGACACCGGAAGTAATACTAACAATTTTTTTTTTCAGGAGAGTTTATTAAATTGCCCAGCTGTATCTCATCTTGCTTGCTGTCACAAAAATTCTGTGGTGTGTGCTGTTAAAGAAAGGTGAGTTTTCATCGTCTGAAGTGATGTGTGCTTTGTTTAATATTGATTTAGAGGAGGATTCCTTAGGTTAATGCCTGGTACTTTCTTGGTTAGCGTTTCTTTTGAGTTCCAACTGAAGTCCTGTTTATTCTTCATTGGGAGATCTGACATCTGGTAAAAAAGCCAAAGAAAATGTACATAATGATGAATCCCAGCTTAAAGTGCCCATCACCTAAAATGTTTTATTTTCTTATCTGAAACTATAACTTATTAAAATAGCTTCCGTGAAAAAATTTTGCAGTTTGAACAAAACGCGATCTTTTTACCAGTTTTTGAAGTGTACATTTTTGTGGTACACCCACGACGCTGGTCACGCAAACTAGCAGGCTCACATATGACGTCAACGTAAATTAAACCTTGCCTTCACCAGCTGTACACTAAAAAGATCAATTACAAGTAAGGATTGAATCACAATGTCTTCGCAAGAACAACGTTTTTTTGAAACAGAAAAACCTACCAGAACTCTTAATGTTTTCCTGTCGATAAAGTCACTTGTTCCTTAAAGTACGTCATATGACATCATACTCTGAGAGAAGACTAAGACGAATGGTGTGCCAAAATGGCGGCAAATTTGGACGTTTTGAAAAAATTCTAAAAAAATCGTCTTTTGTTCAAATTGCAAATTTTTTTAGCAGAAGTTATTTTAATAAGGTGTATTTTCAGATAACAAAATATAAAATTTTATGCTATGGGCACTTTAAATAAAATGGCCATAATTGCGTGGGCCTAAAAAGGTGACCTTACTGGGGAATGAATGAAACATTTTTATTTATTTTTTCTTATTTTATTGTTGTATAGGTGCCAAACTCTTTGTTTGTATCACACAAGTGTAAAGGAGGTAACTTCCCTTCCCTCCTTACAGACCAGTGTTCCCCCCTGGAGTGTAGCATTTGATCCTGAAGGAAGACTTTGGTGCGTTCAGCCCCACCCTGAGGAGCCTGTTTTGGTCTTTGAACCCAGAGGAGCTCTACCAAACCTAACGGTATGCAAAGTTACTTTACTCGCAGTGTGGAATGAAGCAGTGTGCAGAGACAGTATTATCTGATAGCCTGGGGCTAGGGAATTCTGTCCTTAACTTGGGGCCACTACGGCCACTAGTTCATCAGTTTTTACTGTCGTGTGCTACCTTCATCAAATAAAGTTGTTGCTTACTTACTTACGTACCTGCCCGATGGGCAAGTGAATTTTTTTGGGGGGGAATTCAAATTACACTGAAATTACTCAAGACCTGTAATTAATGCTTATCAAAATGCTTTGGGTCTGGTGTAGGCTAGTCTATCTGTCGCTTTTCAGGAAATAACTTCACATGCGCTTCTCCCCCAAACAGTCTCTTATTGTTGAGTGCAAGTTCTATATTTTAATCTCTTTGCTAATTCCTGTTTCGTAGGTATCATTTTAAAAAAATCCTCTACTTTTGTTCATGATTTACAAATGATGAATCCATTCCTTTTTTATTTGTCCAATGTACTGCATTGCCGGCCTGTTTATATGAGGCCAACCTCATATAAACAGGTTACAGGTGGCACCGTACAATGACCATAAGGATGTAATACTCTGGTATGCAACCGATTACCTGCAGGCTTTTTTATTTCTATTATTTTATTACTATTTTATTATTATTATTATTATTATTATTATTAATATTATCCAATCCATTCAGCTCTGAGCTCTGGCTGTTCTCATGCCGACATACATCCCAAGGGAGCGAGTCATAAGAAATAACCAGTGGTCTCCTGGGGGCACTCTCCTGGTACTTAGAAGTCAAGCACCTTCCTTAAAATTCTGGCCGTTCCTGATAGCATAGTTTTTCATAATCCCCAGTTTTTCAATCCATTTTCCAAGTTTCTTGGCAACACTTCCAAGGGCCCCTACAACAACCGGCATTACATCCACGTTTTTTGTGTCCCACATTCTTCTAATCTCCAATTTCAAATCCTGATATTTTTCGATTTTTTTCTAACTCCTTTTCATGTATCCTACTATCTCCACAATTATTGAGGCCCCTGCCAGCTGGGGGTCCCATGTCGCCTGTCTGAATTTTAAAACGTCTCGTGTCGGTGTTTATAAATGCTTGTCGCTTATTGTCGGCTTTGCCGTCACTGTCGCAATTTGGCCGAGGGAGGTTGTCTCTTGTTGCGATTTCATTTTACGCACTGTCACTACTTTTTGGGCCATGTCGCTTGTCGGAATTTACCCTGGCAGGGCCATATTATTCATTTGTTTTCCATCTTGCTCACTACGATGATGTCAGGTCTCCTTGCTTCAACAACGTTATTACATTGGATGTTCATATCCCAAAGTAGCTTTACTTCACCATTCTCCCAGAACACCTTCTTCTACATGTTCATACCACTTTTCCTTTCTTTCAAGCTGGTGTAACTCACACAACTTCCAATGTATAATCCTCGCCACATTATCACGTCGTCTTTTATATTCCTTCTGGGCCAACTTTTTACACTCACTTACTAGATGGCACACACTCTCACCCTTTTCGCACATTCTAAATTTAACGAAGACTTAGCAGTCCGATCAATGTGATGTTTCACGTAAGTAGTCCTGAGAGCCTGTTCCTTTGCTGCACAGATAAGGCCTTCCGTTTGAACCTTCAAGTCAGATGATCTAAGCCAACTCCGAGTCTGTTCTGCATCTGTAGTTTCCGGCATATGCCTCAGGAATTGTCCCTACATTGGTTTATCCTTCCATTTCCTTCAATCCGCTTTAGTCCAACTAAAGTCTAAACTCCATTTTGCTGACAGTTTCTTTAGTTTCATTGACACCAACAGTTTTTGCACCTATTAACAATTGTTCCGTTGCATTGTCAAAGTATCACCCCAAGTTGTTTTTCTCGCTACTTATACAACTCTCACAACTAATCAGACCACGCCCACCTTTCATTCTCGGAACATACAATCTATCGACATCTCCTTTTCGGTGCAGTGCACCGCTCATTGTCATTATTTTTTTGTTCATTATTTTATTATTGTTTTCTTTTTCTTCTTTCGCTGTTTGTACTGTCCAGGGCTCCGAGAAGCAACCAGTTTCCTTGGGAGCGGCTGGGGGGGGGGGGGGGGGGTGTTATTATTTAATTGGTAGACAGCACTTTTCGTAAAATATGGGCTGTATCCAAAAGGCTGATCTTTTGGAGTTCCTCGATATTGATGTTTCCTGGAAGTTTTTCCACGTACTTTCCCAGGCCGTTTTTAACTGGTCCAAGTGCTCCAATAACTACAGACACAGTTTCTGTTTTAAGTCCCCATATCGTTGAGATTTCAATCCCTAAGTCCTTATACTTTGATAGCTTTTCAATCATTTTCACAGATGTATATTATTATTATTATTATTATTGTTATTATTACTGTATTATTATGTATCATTATTATTATCATTATTATTATTTTCACTGAACAACTAATACTTCGGGAGATAGGAAATTACGGTTTGTATATTTATAACCTACACGTAGGCCGTGTTAGGAGCTAAGTGCGGGGCTTATTCGGGGTGGCGCTCTTTCGAGTAAATACAGTATGTGATAGCCGCTTTGTTTCGTTCTTGCAGTATGTGAAACTTTCGTCCGATTTCTCCCCTGTTTTGTTGTCAGCTAGTGATTGGAACTTTCTGAAAGGTAAGTTCTGGCTTGTGTATATTTTCCAAACGTGAAATAGCGGACGGTCGACTATTTTCGTGGAGGTGGGGGACCCCAGGTAGGTGAGGTAAAATATGGCGGGTCACCCCACCAATCATGTAAACGTGATCAAATGAAAATGAGAGATTATATGGACAAACGGGTTACCCCACCTAAGCGGGTCACCTCAGCTACCTGAGGTCGCCCACCTCCATGTAAACAGGCCCTAAGCAAGGGCGACAACGAAGGGGGTGAAAACGTCTCTTAAAACACTATTTTAGACATTTCTGACGTAGTTGGAAACATTCGGCTGTTGGGTGCCTCTGTAATATCCAACAACCTGTAAGTTACTTTTGAGATTTTCCGTAAGTTCGCTTCCCCTTTCAGAGTACGACACTGGATAGATGTAAATTTCCGTTAATCTTGGACCTTGATCTTTATCCTGCCTTTTCCCACAGGTTGTGTAGATAAGGAACGTAAATTAGACACCCTAAGAAAGAAAGAAGTGGACAATATCAGCGAGTACTTTGCGAGAAAAGAGGATCGCATTGGCAAGAAAAAAGGCAAGAGTGCGACTGAGGACAATACACGCACGGAGTCACTACACACCGCTCACGAAGAAATTGCTGAGAGTCATGAAGCTAAAAGGCCAAGATTAGAAACTTAACGTAAATTGGTTACCTCAGACGCTCGGTTAAAACCAATCGTTAAAAAAGAGTTGCAACTATAGAACTTGTTTTGCGGTTTGCTTTTGAGCTCAGTTTACATTTGTTTCGTCTTCCACCTCATGGATGAGATGTTTTATTCAGGGAAAAAATTTGGAATGTGTTGATAAATGTAGGCTTGATAAGACGTTCGTCTGTTTCTTCTTATGGCTACCATCGGCCTGGCGACAAGATTGTTGGGTACACTAGACGTGTCATCAAATAGAGACTTCTCTGAAGAAATTATAAAGATACTGGACAATACCAACACAAAAACACAATATACTATCCATCAAAAGATTCTACAACATCAAGAACCACACAAAGTAATATATAGAGTTAGCCCAGGCTAAAGGCGAGGCTCCTGTTAATGAAAAAAACATTACAATAAAGAAATCCAATTAGATTTGAGCCTGCCATCAGTTGAAAACAAGAAACTTGTCAGCGGTACACTTAAAAAAATACGTATCCTGCTGGTAAGCGGATACCCTGTTTTGACAGCTGTTGCTTGACCAGAACATGAATGTGCAATATCAAATTGCAGGCTCCCACACTAGCTAAAAAGTGTGACATTTCACTTTAGTTTCCCTGTGGCGCGGTCGGGTGGGTGGACGTACGGGCACATGACTACCAAATTTTCTTTGATGGATAGGTTAGGTAACCAAATTTTCTTAGGTATGGAACTCCGCTCGTGCGCGCTTCGCGCGCGTGGCACTCCGCTATGACACCACAGATGCGCAACCTCGACCCCAAACCTTTTCCATTAGAGAATGGGAAAAGTCCTGGGTACAAGGTTGCACAGATTTACTGGTGCTGCTGCTAATCTAGCCTGCCAGCAGGCTCCTCGGAGTGTTCTGGCGGCGGGGCGAAAGACATGACTGCAATCTCTCCTCCGTTTTTCGCCCCGCCACCAGAGTGCCCTGGAGAACTTGTCAGTGCTGAGAGTTTGTATGAGAAATAAAACTTAGATCAACGGAATAAACTAAAAGCAGTAAAAGTTATCAATAAAGTGTAAGTATTGTTACCTGGTGTCGTTGTCTTTCTATATTGGAGTCGTGGATGAATGGAAAACGGACGCGCCCTCTTTACAATATATATTAAAACATGTTAACAGTAAGCTCGGACGTCAATAAGGGTGACTACCAGCCGCTAGCAGTCCATTGATGAGCTTACTGTACCCACCCAACCCATGATGTGAAAGATGTGTGAAGGTTTATATGTTTACGGCTGCGAAGAGCTGATTTACAAATAAATGAGCTAAATGCTGCATAAACTACCTCAGAATGGAGTCTCTAAGCAGTTCACAGCAAAGAACAACAGTGACTGAGCAATCTTTGGCTTAGGATCACAAACACATAGACTGCCTCGGGTCCGAAAATGGAGCTTTATATGAAGAAGAGAGGTGAATTTAAAGACATAAAGAGGTTCTTTGCTGGCCATTTGTTGTTAATTCTAAGTGGCTCGTTGCGATTCGAAAATGACCCCCAGGAGCCTGAATCTAATTCGACGAACTCCCGTCAATGAGACCAGCTGCCAGCCCAAAGCAGGAGCTTTAATGACCTGAAGTGGAGACCTGAAGGTCACAATTTCCTGACCGTTTTTGGCCCCAGGTAAAGATGACTAATGAATTATGGCTTCTTAAATGCAAAATTTAGCACTAAGTATTCTTGTTTGGCAGTTGACTTTTTCTTCGCAGACAATATATACAGTGAGACGATTCAGTCTTTAATCGGTTTTCTCTAGGCTACCATGGCATTCTTGCGGTTGCTGCAGAAAACCGGAAACTACTACCGAAACGTATTCGAGGGATTAATTAATTTGTAAATTTTTTTATGGACTCCTTTAAAACGTGGTTTATAATACATTATAAAGACCCAAAAGAAATTGAAAAAAAAAACTAGGAAAAACTGAAACAGTCTTGCCAGTCGCGTAATTGGTTTGTTTACGCAAACAAACCAACTTAGCGACTGACAAGCCACGCGAACGACTTTAGAAATGCTCAAATTAAAGCCACGCGTCCTTGAGAAAGCTCGCAGGGCAAGACATGGACATAGACATAATTAACTTACCCTCGAAGAGCTATAGCGTAGAATTAAGATACCTAACTTGTTAAAACGCTCTCGTAAAATAAAAAAGAAAAAGGTCGAAAAAATTTAAAGGAAACATATCTACGTTAAAAGGGATAGCTTGAAATATAATATCCAAATGCAAGAATAATTAACATAATTAATTTTTACGTCAGAAAGGACATGTGCAAAAATCATCAGAAAGGTTCAATTTACATAAATGTGTTTGAAAAGTCGCTAGATCCTCACGGCCTGATGAACTTCTGCTGGCTGCGCGATCAGACGTGGCTGTATCCTGAATTACAATATGATTGAAAGAAGGCTGCAGTCATGATGTTGAAAGGCTTTCGTGCTGCCTCTTTGAAGCTAAGCCAGAGCCTTGACGCATTTCAGTATCTCAAGAAAGCCTGTAGGTAGTCCGGGAGGCATCTTTTAGACAACAAGACTAATGATACTGAGAACTCTGCGGTATTCTAGGGATTGTATACCATTAAAACGGCTCGATTTAGGCAAATTAACTAACGTTCTGATTATATAGAAATTTGTGTCTTCCATGCGTTTCCAGTGTCCCTTCCCAATTCCTAAGAGAAGAGGCGCGCAGTACTGGAAATGAGGCAGGATCATGAATACCTTGCCGAGAGCCTTTTCATAATTTCAAATGGGATAAAGCGACTTGATCTTCTTCAGTGCGCCGCTGTCATTCTAGAGCTTGCGTCTTGTCCGGTTTTATTGTAAGATAGTCTAGATTGAACCAGTCCGGCCCGTTAAGAATGGTAACGTTGATTACAAATTCTAATTAAAAAGACAGCCGCAGAGCAGGCCGCAGAGGTATCAGCAGTATACATGGTGGTGTCATCTGGGTATAGTCTTAGCGAAGTGTTTGGGGCGATTTGGTTTAAATCATTCATAAAGAGGGGAGGGGGGAAAGGGAGCCATGAGGAACGCCAGTATTAACGTCTCTCCTGATTGAAAATGTTGTCTATCCTTGATGTAGGAGGTTACCAAGCCCAGAGCACTATCCGTACGCGTTATAAGCTTGGCCAAAAGCAAATCGGAGAGCCAGACAAATTCAGTGAGAAGTGTGGTCGAATGTAGTCATGACTAGTGAACATAGATAACTTTCTCAGCCTTTCTCATAGCCACAAATGCAAGTACGGAAACGGGCCTGTGGATTTTTTACTATTGCATCATCGACAGAAGAGACAGTCAAGGCAGGCAAAAGAGTGATAACAATACCAAGTAAATGCACTGAAGCACATGTACCAACCGCCACGGTTAACCACCACGGTATGGCCAGTACCTTACGCATGCGCACAACCATATCACCCGGGCAGTGGCAGCCATGGAGAGTTATTTCGTCCTTATTGGGGCTCATCAGCTTGGCATAGCCGTCGGGCCAAAGAACGGGGAAAAACCCCGTGTATGAAAGACCCTTCACTGCCGAGGCGAGTGCAAAGCACTCCTTGGAGTAAGCAAGTGGTAGCTGTTGGTACGTGTGCTTCAATGCAGTTACTTGGTATTGTTTCAAAAGATTAATGATGTATACGGTCCGGTCGCGCTTGCCCTGTTGAAGAAAACTGACTCAGCTCAGAGAGAAACAAAAAAAGAACACAAACAGCGGTGATAAACATTGTGAACTTTTGCATTTTTATAGAAACTTGAGGTTTCGTATGTCGAGTCAAAATTCATTTTCAAAAGTGTCAAAAGTGACTGATTCAGGTGGTTCTAAAGTCCAGTCGCTCCTTAGAAAGCTAGTGTATCTGGTTTGTGATGCGTGGGTGAGACTGTGAACGAGGTGACCAACCTGCTGAATCTTGGACCTTGTATTGGGATGGACAAGAATTTGGACATTGGCCCTGGACGAATTAATTTTTGTAAAATCACAGACTCTCATCATTTTTTGTTGTTTGTTGTCATTAAAGTTTTTTGACAAATTAACGTCCTAGAAATGAATAGTTGAGCCTTCCCCCGGGGGGGGGAGTTACAAACCAGGGAGTTTTTGATTTTTCATGTAGTATTTCATATCGGTTGAAATACAAAATACAACTGCAATAGACTAATCCGCGTAAGGATCAGTTTGCCGTTTTATACTCTACAAGTTATTATTACACTGATCCAGGTCTACTACTGGGAGAGCCGGCACCACTCAACGGTTTGTCATGGTGGCTGTGGACTTTTTTGGTAATCTCCCGCCCAACCTGGCTAAAAAATTTTGGACAAATTTTGAAATTTTAATATCGCTTCATCGCTTCGTCGTTGCGACAAGTGACCTTTTGAGGCGTGGCGTGCCTTGAAGGTCTCCTGGGCCCCGGGGGGTAATTGTCGAGGAGGAAGGAGGGGAAGGAGGAGACTTTCGCTCAGCCTCCCCGGAGAGCTTGCTCGCTTGCTCGCTTGCTCGCAGTGTGCATGGCGTTCTTTTATCCACCAGTCCAATCTTTGCTCTCCTGCAACTATATAATTTCTACTCAACACGTAAGATCTTGAGAAGCTTTTCTCAGGGGAAGCGGAAAGTTCTTCCATCGACAAGAAATTGATTCAAGGAAAAAGTTATAAGTGATGTCATCCTCTTGTCATCCTCACGTGCTAACCGCTCCTGAAGCAGTCACTATGACAACATTATTTTGAGTGACAAATTTATCACGTGGCCAAACATGACGTTCTTGTTTTGAAGGATGAGAGTGAGGCGGAGTAGAGCGAGATGTCCTCGATCGAGTTCCTGCAAAGTAACATGAAAATTTCCGACTTTTTACAAACGTGATGCGTCTTTTTTAAGATGCGGAGACGCCACAAGCAAGGTAAATCTTGTCCCTTCAGTGTCTTCTTGCTTATCCTACAAGTGTTTGTTGTTTTGCTGTTTTATCACGCGATTGTGCTCGGTTGTGACTAATTGTGTGCTGTCATCGCGTGAACTCAAATTTCAACTTGTCACACGCTGTAGATTTCAGCCCGCGAGGTTTGCAGATAAATTTTCGTTAAAATTCTGCAAATTAGCGGCTGTAGCTTTGTTCTTTTAATTTTCTAGGTGTTTTGTCGGCGCATGGAATGCGCTCGATGTGGGAATTTGTTTTTGTTTCCCAGTTCCTGCGGGTATTCCAGGGGAAGTTTGGATTCGTCAGCTTCACTGCCGAGGTGCGCGTTTTAATGTAAAAACGATAGTTTTAGCAATAAAATCATCTAGGTTTGGACGCCCGCTTAAGTTGTCATTTTGTTTTGCAGTTTTCCATGAACGAGAAATTTTAAACGAGATTTGTTTTTTATATTTGTTGATTAAACGTTCGCTCAATTATACAAGTTGACCGTTTGCTGTATTTTTGAACGGTCGGGTTGTAATCCTGCTGTTGAATTGTGTTGACGGGTCGTCTTACTTTAACAGGAATTAGAAAATGCCTTCTTGGACTCTGAGAGCTTGACCCTGTTTGGAATATTCACAGAATTGCTTCGAATCCTACTTCCCAAACGGGATGTAAAGTGGGTGAAGTATAAACTTGATATATTTGTGTGTTTTTCTTTAATGACGGAAGCGTGTTACTATTATGGCGTTATGAAAAACTCAGCTGATTGGACTTGTTCGTATTGTTCGTTTCTTGTTGAAGCAGTAAATCATTTTAATTATGCCACTCTTTTCTGCTTCGAAGGACAACGACCTGGCAAGAAGTCTTCAAAGAAGAACTCCAAAATAGATCGTCAGAACGGAGTCCCTTTGATGAAGGAAAAAGCTACGATGCATTTAGGCCCGAGGAGAGAGTGAGTGACTTACTAACTTCCATGTTGGGTTGTTGCGTCAACCAGCGATGTGGTTGTCTAGTTTGGTGGCCTTTGGAGGTTTTGATATTGATAAGCTAAATACTGTTAACAGATTTAAACCAATCATTTTCGCAAATTGTGCTACAAAATATCGCTGAGTACCAGTATTTTCTAAATTATTCCGCTTTTGAAGCGTTTCGCAAATGGCGTTCGTGTCAAGGATCCGAAACAGTTTACATCCGCTTCTGCTATCACTCTTAATTCTTTGAGATTATTTTCAGCTGTAATTCTCATTTTAAGTTGGCAGTAACTTTTGCACAAGTCAGAGCTGTCCCTTGCGCTAAGGTCAAGTGGAATGGAGAAAGATAATCCATAAACTTCTTGCAATTGGATCCAAACGTATGCGAATGAAATAAGCTCTAGCTTTGACTATAGGTGGCCTTGATGGCTAAACGATAGCCTTTCGCGCTTTTAATTTGTTATTAATTTCATCCCACTCGTTGTCTGTTATCCCACTCTGTCGTTATGCCATTGTTAACGTATTGTCAGGACTGTTTTTAATCTCATTACAACTTTGGACTATTGAAACAACTGTACTGTACAAAAATCTGCTTGTTTGATTTATAGGGAGGAAATTGTAAAAGAAAGGCGTTACCTACGTGATATTTTTCTGTAACAGTTAAGCTTAATTGTTGTAATTGTGATTATAGATAGCATCTTCATGCACTTACATCCACTTGCTGTAAGTTACTAAGACTGGATTGTACATTGATTTTATTGATAGTTGTGATCTGGTGACATCCCCTTTATACCAGGCTAAAAACGTTTTCAACGTAGATGTAGCTAAATTGGCTTTAAAATTTAGTAACTGGCATAATAAGCGGACAGGGAACTCATTTTTTACATGCTGTTTCAGTTTCGTTATAAACTTATTACAAATTCATGTGGATGCCATCCATGTGAAATGTTTCTGAAGAAGTTGTGATCACAAATTTAGACTTTCCTCTGTCAGAAATTTCAGTTACAAAGAATGTGAAAGCACTGTAGTAGATATCTTAATCCTACAGAATCCAGGCTGGTATTTACGTAAGTTACAGTATGACGCTTTGCATTTTTGTATTTCACTATTTATAAAGTGCACTTCAATAACTGCCATTCCCTTTAGCTTGGTAGCCTGGCTGTAAATTTTGATCAAATCATTAATTAAATGCAAATGATAGACCTAGGGCACTTCCATTCAACCAAAACGTCTGGTTTGAATTTTTGTCAACTTGAATGGAACAGCATTTTTTAAAATTTCCAAAAAAGAAGACAACCTTTGCAAGGTATACCCAAATTTTCGAAAATTTTTACCCCGAAGTTTTCTTTCCATTCAACTTTGCTCCTGGAATTACTAGAATTTTCTTTGATGCTGTTTCCAAATTTTCGAAAGTTTTGGTGGAATATATGGAAAGCGCCACTGGAGTGCTTACCATTTGTATGGAAAAGCCAGTAATTCTGGGGAGAACTCAGATGGAATGGTTCATCCTGGCGGACGAAAAATTTCAGTACTATTTGTCCACAACTACCAGTGCCAGGCTAATTCTGGGAAGACTGCAATGTCCAAGATGGACAGTTCAGGTGATGAAACATTGCAGGTCCAAAACCATTATTTTATGATGTGGCAGCTGTTCTATTCTTGTTGCCATTGTTAACAAACTTCTTGCAACTCATCTGTACATGTAGCACTCTAGATGAGAAAGATGTAAGGTTTTGGTCCTTGGTATTTGTGTTTCATTTTTTCATTCATGATTCCTGTTGTTGAGCTTAATGACACAGGAAATCAGCTGCATCTGAAACTTTTGATCAAATGATAACTTTGAATTTGTTCCATGTTTCTTGGTGAGAAAAAGTGCAGTTCCGTTTGTCCAAAAATGCACCATAAAGTCCATTCAAATGGTAGGCACTCCTCTTTGGCTTGTTGTTTTGTTTTCCCAATGTGTGATTTTACACTGGAGAATTGTTTCTCTGATTCTTTTTTCTCATTCAAGTGCACTGTTCCAAAAATTGTTAAAACGACAAAGGGGTCAAATTCCACTTAGAACTTCACAAGATGTATATTATATTAGGAAAACAAAATAATATGCAACCTTAAAATAAGAGGTCTATTTTGTGCTGCAAATCACATAGGCATTCTCTGACAAATATAATCTTAACTAAACTGATTGTATTAATGGAGGGGGGTGAATAGGGGTATGCAAATCGGCCAATCCATTATGATTTATTATCCAAATCCGCCATTAAAATTTCAGCCTTAATCTGAAATCTGGACAACAATATATGTTAATATTTTTATTACACGTAAAGTCAAAAATCTAGGCCCAAAAAACGGATGAATCCACAATCTCTGCAGGATCCAGAAATCTGTGAAAATCTCGCTTTAAATCTGAAATCTAGGCAAAATATTTTCAAAATCCGCCGATCCATTGGCCTATTCACCCCCTCCTAATGCAATGAATTTACCATAACAGACAGCAGCCAATATTGCTTACATATATTATTGACAAATTATTTAAGACTAAGTATATGTGGTCAAGATAGCTGGATATTGGCCAAGCTCTTTATTGCATTTAATTTCTGTGAACCAAGACAAAGTGGAGTTTCATGACATGGCCAATATACAGCTGCCATCTTAAAAAAGATGGCTAGTTAAACCTGTTGAGGTAGCCAGTCAGAACACAGGATTTGCTTCATCTTGGACCTTGCACGTCGACCTAGTCACATAATAAAAGAAGTAAAAAGAGAAAACCCCACTTCTAATAATGTTGATTTTGCTCGTATTATGCAAATACTTGTAAAGGTCAAACACTTTGCTCAAATTCGTCATTTCTCGATGTACCCTAAACTTCAATAACAGGCATGTAAATTATTTCTTTCAGGAGCTAGAAAATAGACATAAAGAAGTAATCATTTATCTTTGTTTCCCCATATCATTTGTGCTAATCTTATAAAAAGCTGATTTTTTGGCTCCAGTGATATTTTTTATGCACTGTTCAGGGTTCTCAATAGATTTTTAAGTAGGAGGTGATCACTGATAAAGTAGGAGGCTCTTCAGCAAAGCCAGAGGTGTCAAAACAAAGCAAAGAAAAGCGACCTAAACACAAAGTAAGCGGCTATAAATCCCAAAGTAAGCGGCGATCAATCGCCGGGTGCCGCCTTCTATTGAGAACCCTGCACTGTTGCCCTTTATGCTGATAAGAGGCCTATTTTGGTACTGCATGCTCCTCACTTGTGGTTTGTCTGAAGACTTAATTGCAATCCCTTTTGTATCATCTTAGTATTATTTATTGCTATGTTTTCCTCTTTGCAGAGGTTTCAGTAAGCACCAACAACCGACAAAATGTTTGGTTACTTTATGCTTAGAGAAGTGGGCTACTTTCCTTCCTTAAAATTGAATCTGGGAATGAATTAAAAAAGAAGATTCTGTCAAAGCGTAAATTACAATTCAATTTGATGGATGTATTGAATGCACTTTTACCTTAATTTAAAAAAAATGTCAAAAGATTAGGTTTTATTGCACCTTAAGTATTCATTCTGATCAGTGGCTCATTGGATTGACTCAGTCTCACTCCTATAAACTGCTCCACAGTTATTTTGGATTTAGTCACATGGTAACTGTGAGAAAATGTCTGGTTGCAGAGAGCATAAAAGATTGTCGCTCTTACTCTAGACTAGCTCATGCTACTTTTGCATTCTACTAAACTTATATTCAGAGTATTTAACTTTGAGAGATGTAATATTCAAAATCCCCACCGTGAATTTTTGGGAAATCAAAATCTACCAAGATATTTGCAAAGAAATACATGCTATAGATATTTGCCTATTGGAGGTGATTTTTTTGGTGTACTGACAAACAAAAATAAAGCAAGCAAAGGTTTAAGAAGGTTGTACAATGTAAGTGGTTTTGAATTGCAGACACTTGTGTCTTGTCTTCGATAGGATCATAATAAAACTTACTGCCGCCAGTAATAATGTAATAGATGCTTAAAAGGAAGCTTTATTTAGCAGCTCATAAAAAACAGGTGATTTAATTGAAGTGTCATTATTTCCTTTCAACAGATTTTGCTTTTAAAGCAGTTGATTGATTATCTGGCCGAAGGAGAAGATAAGGAGTTGAAAGAGTTTGTTAAGGACTTCTTAAATCCTAATTCATCGGTAAGTTCAGCGACAAGAAAGGAATGTAGATATTAGAGTTTCTAGCTACAGACGAGAAAAGACAAGATGTTGCATCATTTTACTGGCTCAGAGATAGTAGTAGTAGCAGTAGTAGTAGTGAACTGTTATTATTAATGTGTCAAGAATCTCTAGCTCATAGCACTAATTGGTGACACGAGATTTCGGAAAGTAGCTTAATAATTTGTACACTGTACACTTTCAAGTGTCATAATTGAACATTTCAGAAGCTTTATCAAACTTTATACCACGGATGGCTTTTCAGAATTCCAAGGGCAAGGAGGGGGTTGCGGAGGTTCTTTGTCTTGGAAATCTGAAGGCATGAGGGGATTCGCAATTGGAATTCTGCAGGCATGGGGGATTTTAGATCTGGAAATATTTCCACCTGGGACAGACAAGAGTGTATAATATTCCTTGAAAATGCTTATTTTGTGGACGTAATCAGTTCAGATTTGTGTGTTTCAAGGTTTGTTGCTTTTAAACTTCAGAGTTCGGGACATGTGTTTTTGAAAAGCGCAGTTAGTTTTACCTCAGCTCTAAGTTTTTTATCTTTTTTACAATTATTAAAACATGGCAAGTGAAATTGTTCCTATAGAGCTTCCAAATCCAGAAGAAACACAGATATGGGAGGGTGGCTGTTCCCTCCAACATTTACTTTTGCAACTTCTGCTCGTTATTGCTGCCTTTATTTGACAAACACCATGGATGCTATGGTAATGGTTTGATTGACATCACAGCAAAACCCAAAATGTTGAAATGTTTTTGACTGTAATGACAACGCAGGTTGAGGGTTCGCACAGTCTTGAAAAGTCCTTGGATTCCATTTTCCTTTGAAAAGTCCTTAAATTTAAGTGCAAGTCCTTGAAAAGTGCTTGAATTTTCTTCAACTTTGAATGTAGTGGCGTGGAAAGTGTTTTTTGATGCTTCAGGTTGTCCAAGACAGAATATAAATCATAGCTCAGAGAATTTAAAGGTTATTTACATAAAATGCTCAATGTTTCATGCAATAATTAAATAGCAAGAATTTAAGACAAGAAAACTGAAAAATGTAGAGAAGTTGGTGAAGCAAACAGTTCAAGTGTTAAAGCCTTATTAGAATAGACTGGGAATGTGCATTTTTGTACAATCTGTGAAATTATATTCCTATAGTAGGTGGTCCTTGAAAATCTAATGTGGTCCTTGAAAAGTCCTTGAAAAATGGTTGCAATTTTTGTATGAACCCTGAGGTTGTGTGTTATCCGAAACAGCTGTAACCTCTCTACAAATATTAAGTCCATAAGAGCCACTAAGTTGCGTTCAAACTGTCAAAGAAACTTCTCCACAATGACATACTAACTGTACTTACTTACCTTGTTTTCTCAACATTTTTGCTTTAGATTTTCGTCTTCTCCTTTGTGGCATATTTTGGCTTTTTCATTTAGGTTAATTAACTAAAAAAAATTTTTAATTAATAAAAATGCTTTGTACCCTTTGTCCAAAAAATTGGGTTCACCCTGCTGGCTCTGCCTTCGGATAAGGGTTAGCTCTCTGTGTTTATCCCTTGTATCAGAGATGCTTGACTCTATTTTGAATAGTCAAGGTCAGCCTTAACATTTTCTTTTTCTTTCTTCAGAGAGTAAAACCTGTTGGTCGTGATGCCAGTAATAACATTTATTGGTATTTTAATGGTAAGTGGTGTCATTTTCCAAACAATTTAGGGCTTTGGTAAGTTTTTGGTACTCCCCCCTTTTAAAAGACCCAGGTTTAGGGACCTGTCATTGAAAGGTTTAATGGTTTTTATTAAATATTATTGCTTTACTATTAATAGAACTGGTTATTGTACATAATGTATTTTAATGATATTATTGTATTGCATAAAATCTGCAAAGTTGTAATAAACACTTTTATTATGTAATTACTACATGTATATACCTGAGAAATTTACTACACCTAAAAGCATGCAAAAGACAAGGGCGAAAGAGCCGCCTGGTTACCGACTCTCACCAAACTATTTCCAAAAATTCAAGCAGATGCCTACTCCTGTTTGGGCACAAAAAATGCTTTGTATTATTGTGCCCAATTGGCGAACAGTTTCTCCTGAGTTCTTTTCGTGAGTTCGTACACAACAGCTATTGTCTCATAACACTTTCCCGGTGTGTTCACCAAGCTTGTGCGAGCAAGGGAAACTTTTACTTTCTACTTTCCTAACCAGAAGCAAAGGAACTACTGATGAGTCGGAAAAACGTTTGGGATGCTATCAGCAAGAGCAATCAATTTGCCCCTAGAATATTCTGTTTTTGACAGATCACAATGTATTGTGAAGTTAAGATGCAGCGGCGATGAGTAATCAAATAAGCACTAGCTTGATAAGGCAAAACAAGAACTTGCACGTGCATCACGCTTTTTTGTACATTTCTTTGCCATCAATTTCACGTTCTGTGAAGGACGTAAACAAGCAATGACAAAATTCATTCTCTTCATGAACTTGGATAATTTGGTTGACAGAAAGTCAGCTCCAGATCAAGAGTTTGCTTGCATTTGACAAAGAAAGCGAGTTGGAATAATCACGATAGAAACTGAAAAAAGGTGAATTCACTTTTCCATGCAACGTTTTCATGGCTGTCAGCCATCGTGGTATCTTTTAAAAACTCCCTAATATTTACGCAAGATGTGACTGATGCAAGCATGAATGCCTGTTGTAAGCTGAAGCTTGTATTTTTGGGAAAGTGTCTTTAGTTTTCGGGCAGACTATTTTGAAATCAGATGGGGATTTTATATCAAACTGAAAGTTTCCTGACTGTGTGCATTTCTTTAGTGCGTGAGCAAGACAAGCCGTGAGCGAGACAATAGCTTGCCGTCGAGTATGAACACACGAAAAGAACTCAGGAGATGTGTTCGTCGATTGGGCACAATAATACAAAGCATTTTTTGTGCCCAATCAGGAGCCAGCATCCGCTTGATTTTTTGGAAATGGTCTGGTGAGAGTCGGTACCCAGGGGCTATTCCGTCCTTTCTTGAAAACTTTTGTCCCGCCTTTCCTCCTGACCTGACTGACTGTCCCTTGGACTCCGAGGATGATATGTCATCTTTCGCGTCAGGAAGCCTTATTCTTTGTTGGGTCATTGACCCGAGACCTGCTCTCATCTGGAACACCATCTGTTGAGGTTTTAGCTTGGTAATAGGAGTAGTCTAGGTTTCCAGAAACAAAAAAAACTGAACACAACGTGTGAATCACATTGCAAAAAAGGTATGAGTTCTACATTCAAAGACGAGGTGATGACGTGTCTGCGATGACACATTATGACATCAGAATAAATTAACAGCAGTGCATAAATAAACAGTTCAGTAACAAAGTCATTTTCAAGACTGTCATGCACTGGGAGAGTACCAACTGATTAACAGCATTTCAGTTGAATATTCAATGAAACCAGTAGCAAGTTGTTCCTTACAGCAAACTTTTCTTAGTTTAAAACACTGTAGATCTATGTGAAACCTTTTTGTTCTAAATGTATGTAATTTGTTTACAAAATGATTTGTCTCTGCAAATTGCAACTATTTTGAATTTGTAGAATTTAATCATCAAACGTGAGTTCTCCTTATGTAGTATAAGTGTATTTTTTTTCTCCTGGAGCTGAATTACTTTTTCCTCATACCTGTCATAGATTCTGGGAATAAATAAAGTTGTTTTAATTTGATTTTAATGTGTTTATTTTCTTTCTTATTAAAGTGGGATCATAGTTCACACAGAACTTTTATAGAGTCTGAAATATTTTACAATCTTAAAATGAAGTGGAACATTTTGCATGCTTCATTTAGTTTGCTTGCAAAAATGCAGGGTTATATTTCTCTAAAAAATAGTGCACTCAGACACTGTGTTGGAGTGTTAAAATCCTGATTCAAATTACAAAAGCAGAACTATTGAGTCTTTTTGTTAGCAGTCAATCCTTCTTTTCTTGTTTTTTGTGTTTTTTTCTTCTGCTTTTCTTGTTATTTGTTCAGAGATATTTTTTAAGCCATTGTTTGCTCTTGCCAAACACTCTGTGAACAGGCTTTTGTCATGGAAATTTGTCATGCATTTGAGCAATCCAATTTGCATACAGTTGGGCCTTTGGGAGGCTTTGTTGATATTGTAGCTTCCAATGAAAGGAAGCGCATCCCTATAGCAGGTGACGGGCCAGTGGATGATCCAATCACTGAACTTGTTCCTCAAGAGTAGTCAGTGTTTACACACTATTTTTTGCTCTGTTCCAATAGTATCAAAGCAGCCACATTGTTCTTTGGGGTTGTTGACAAGATTCAAATTAAAAGTCCATTGTATGAGTACAAGGAGAATACAATTAGGCTAAGTCACATGTCAGAACAAACAACAGAAAGGAATAAATGTTTCATGTGGCTTGCATGTTTTGCATATGTTTTAAAAAGTCGTTTTAAGGGAAGAATTGAAGCTCATGGCTTTTTCAGTTGGACTATTTCCAAAGTGGTTTATGGTTGCACTCTAAAATGTAGGTATTGTTATCTTCTTCAAAAATGAAAGTTCTTTTACTATATGTGTGGGTTAGATTTGATAGCTGATTCTTGTTAAGCTTGTATTTTGCTCTGCTGGCTTTGTAGTAGAATATATATTTTTAATTTAGCATAATCTAAACTTAACTTGATTTAGTAAGTTTGAGGACTTTTAGGCTCTGTGACTTGGCTGTCAGAAGGGACATGCAAAATGTGCTTGTAACATGTGTGAATGAGGACTGACATGCTTTGTCTCAGCATCAAAGGTCTTTCAGAATTACATCCTGGAAGAAGTTTGAATATTTATAAAAGCCCCAGTAGTTTTGTGACCAGCCAAGCATGAATTGTTTACATTGCTAGAACTTGCTCACTGATGAAATTCTTTCTGAGGATTGTGTAGCAGAGAGTCATGGTTGTTACGTTGGAAATGCCTTGAGAAGCAAACTTAGTCTTTTTTGTTTACTGTTAAACTTATTCTTTATGGCATTTACAGGCATTCTGGTCTGAGTGCCTTTGTAGTGGAATATCTCTTGTTAAAAGTGGATCATCTTGTAATTACTTAAATACTCAAAGATGTGACAGCAGTTTTGCTCTGCAATATATAATAATCCTGTTTAATAGTTCAAGAGGGTATTTCCGGAACTTAGACATCACAGCTCACAGATAAACATATCAGACCAGTTTAATATGAAGTTGATATCCGTTTTTGTTAGTGTAGAGAAGTGAAGTTTCTCACCATCCTAGACCAGCATTATCATAATCATAAATATGCATAAAACTCACAAATTCTTAAGGATGTGTTCTGTTGTTCAAGTTCTTTTTAGTTTCTGCTTACATTATTTTATAAGGTCATTTAGAGTAGTCAAAGTGAGACTATTTCTGGAATAATCTTACCACCATTGAAAGTGTTCTTGATTACTCGCTTGTAAGAATTAAAGTTAAATCCTAGTCATAAACTTAACAACAATAAACATATTGATTTACAAACATTTGTAAAAAGTTTATATCTGTATAGTGCAGTTATGGTAGATTAAAGTGCGACTTTTCTTGGATTCTTATCACTGGCTTTGTTTGGTACAATTTTGTAAATAATTTTTCTTGCCAAAAAGCCTAATACCACTCAGGGGAAATCTCTGATATACTGGAAACACTGTGTCTCTAGTAATCTCTCCATAACGTTAACATACATGTTTGTCATCATGTAATATAGCGGGGGATGGAATACATTATAATGTAACATTACCCAGCTTAATGCATTAAACGATATTTTTATCAATCCTTACCCTGTAGTTAATGATGGCCAATGAAAAGGAAGATAATACAATTTCCAAATTTCTTTCTGTTAATCCAAAGAAATGAATAATGCCCTGCAAAAGTTCACTGTCAAGGAGTTTTCATTTAAGGCAGTGACAACTTAGGATTTTGTCCATAGATTCAAAAGTAAGCTGATGAGGTGATCCATTAAAAAATATATATCAAAAAGGGTCAAACTTTTTTCAGAAAAAAACCCCAGAGATTTGTGGTATATAACCCTTCTTCAGTGTATTTAATGAAAACTGCTTCCTGACACTGAAGAAGGGTTATGCACCTGAAAAGTCTGTTCATCAGCTTACTAAGTACACTTCATGCTTACCATCTACCATTCATTTTAAAGTAAGCGTAATGAATCATCCAGCAGTGAAGGGTTTAAGCTGACCATTCATTGAAGAAAGCATAATTTTGTTTAGCAAATGTTTATGGTCTTTTTGTTCATAACACCTGAAAATCTTATTTTTCCAGATTTAAGACTTTACCGTGAAGTTTTAGGAAAGAAGGGACGCCGAACAGGGTGAGTATTTATCTTTGTAAAATATCAACTTAATCAAGACATCAAGCTAGATCTGGATGAGGGATCAATATAATCCAAAATCAGCCTGATCTATCTGTCTTTAGTTAGGAGTGGTTTTCATGGAATGGTTGTAAAAGTAAAACAAATCAGTTGCAGAAACCACTCACTTAGTTTAAATGCCAATGTATTAAGCACAACAGTACTAGTCTTGAGGACACCATTTTAGCATCTCTTACTGGAGATGTGGAGATGACCATCTTGTGTATACGTAGTCATCCAAGCCACATTGAGGACACTATTTTAGCATCTCTTACTGGAGATGTGCAGATGACCATCTTGTGTAGTCATCCGAGCCACACAAGGTCTAGTCATTTGCAGGGCAAAGGCAAAATCTTCATTTCTCAGTTTTTTTTTTTTCAGACCCTGAATATTGGTCCGGTCCCAGGGATCTTACCTGTGACCTCCTGCTGTCAAATGCTTTAAATCATTTCTGCAAAGCAAAGTGAAACTTTATGTAAACAAGTTGGCCCATTGATTCAGTATTTTATTATCAGGTATCTATAAGGGCCCTGCATCTATAATTTACATTTAAAGGATGAAATTAAGTTCTTTAAAAGCTCAAGATTACAATAGGAAACCTAAAACTAATGAACTAATAATTATCAGTGTTTAAGTTCAAGAAGAGGGGTATCGAGAGTGCTTGGGGGGTGGGGGAAGGGGCGGGGGGGCAAACACTGTCCTATCCCAAAGAAAAATCAGGTAATACAGTACTGGAATAATGAAAGTATTGACCAAAGGGCAAAAATGCCACATTCTGCAATATCATGATTTGTGATTAAAATAACGGAAATCAAGCATTAAATAATAATCTAACTTTACAGGGCTGCAAACGCTCCTAGATGCCCCTTGTTACTGTCATACACAAACGATCACTGTTGGGCAAAAACCTGGCAAAATGTTAAAATGGTCAGTGTAAGATGTAGCCTGTAGCTCATCGCCACTGATGTCCCTCAGTGGTGATGAGCAAGGAGAAACCAGGGGTGGCACTTGGGTATTTTTTGGGTGGGTATGTGCCGCCTGGGACTCCAAATTGGCACCCCGTTCTAAAAAAATTTCCCCTAAAATTAATACCCCATGCTAGAAAATTATGGGCCAATTTTTTATACCCCATTCTAGAATTCACCCGAAAACTGATACCCCGTTCTTGAAATGGGCCAATTTTTTATACTCTGTTCTAGAAAGTTTGTAAATTGAAATAGCCCTGTTTTTATATATATTTTTATAAGATATTTCTTTATTTGTTCGACTTATACATCAATTAAATGCTTCTTCATAATCGTCCGGAGTACATTTCCTGTTCATGTGGATACAATGCGGTTAATTATGACGCAAAATCTCTCACCATGCAAAGAACCACGCTTGTAAGCTAACAATTTCCCTTCTCCTCCCCCGTCCCTTTCTTTTGAGCCTGTCTCCATCTCCCTCGGGTACATTATGGACTCGTTTCAGACTTGCGCGCCCCTATTTATCCAAGATGGCAGAGTCAGCGCTCGCGGCTTGCGCCAAAATACGCCCGCCCTGCATGTTAAAACACAGGGTGCAACAAGAGTACAACGGTTTGCTTGCTAACACATTGAACCATATTTTTAAAAGCAATCTGTCCTTGAATAATTTCAAATGGCTGCTTTATACAAAACTGGAGCTTTTGTACGCTCGAAATATTATACCCTGTTCTAGAAAACGCCTCTGAAATGGATACCCCATTCTAAATCAGGAGCTTCAAAATCAAAACCCTATTGGGCGGCACATACCTGTATAGATAATGGATGGGAGTACCCCTTCCCCCCCCCCCGGGGGGGAGAAATGTCTGACATTTGCATTTGTAAAATGTATCTACCTCTTAGAAAGCCTTCCTGTACAAACATTTAGAGGAAAGATCTTGTTCTTATGCCTACTATCAAAGTGAAAACTATACTGGTTTGTTCCTGGGGACTGGAGCAATACTCAAGTTCTCCAAATAACTGAGGAATGAAGGAGTACTGCCTTTGACCCGCAAATGGCTCGGCCTTCCCATGACTTGAATGAGCACATAGAATGGCCGCTCCATCTCCTGTAGGAGATGTAAATCGTCCATTATTAGTAACTGTGCGCTAAATTCTTTAACACTCAAATTAAGTGCGCTTTTTACTGAAAAGTATATGAAGTTTGATGAAGACGATGATTTGTGTAAAGGCTGCAAGTTATTTCAATACATTCACTTTATTTTGGACTACCTAAATCCGATTTTTGTATGGTAAACAAATATTACTTACTTTTCATGTAATTTTTGTCATGAAGGAAAAATATTTAAGTTTTTTGGGGTGTGTCAAGTCTTAAAACCTTTTGGTCAAACATTTTGTTCTCTTATTTGAAAATTCAAACTCCAGCTGCAGTTTCCAGATCAGCAATGTATACGATATTATTATCTACCCAAAGTCATAAATGGATAATTATTTATATTTCTCTAGCTGTGCATGATAATTGCAAACATGCTGTTTGAACAAATTAAAGGCAGTATAAATATACATTAGAATGTGAATGTACATATCCACCATATTATTTTGATCTTTTAAAACTCTTATTCATTTAAGAAGCTACTGATGCTCATAAGCTTGTAGGAAGGAAAAAACTATGATCTGGAAAACAATTGTGTTGTAAAGAGAAAAATATGGAATATTAGCAGTATAGTAGTTACTTCTCCGAATTTTATTTTAACACTTTACTATGCAAACAAACAATGATGATGTTTATGTTTGATGGGAATAGCTGTACCATATATGGCAGGTTGTGTATTAAATTTCCATTATTGTGATTTGCCAAGAAAGAGAAATTAAATAAACCATGAAGCTGTTATGTTAATCAGCCTTTTCAACCAGCTGGTGGCTCCACAAATACTAAGTGTAGTGCTGCCATGTGAAGCATATTTAATGAAGGTGTATAACCTGAACACTGTTAAGTCCTCTCTTGTCTTTGGCACCTTTTGTTCAGAGGCTTAAATTCAATGATCAAGACACCTCACCAGCAATGGGTATCAAAAATGGTGTCTTCTTGAACTCATAAAGTTTTGTTTTGGGTGAAATTTTTCAGACGAAAAGTGGTTGCTGGGAGTTCTGAGTAGCTGATGTGGTATTTTACATATGTTTTGTTTTTCAGCTGGGAGACTGTGTGTATAAATTGCACCGACTGGGAAAACCTTCTGAGGTAAGAAATTGTGAGGGTTTTTAAAGAGTTCTTGTTTAGCTGTTATCGAGAACTGGTGAGGTTGTAAAAGTTCAAGCGAAGATTATTTTAAAATGTATCAGTAAATGTAGTTAATTGTTCGGTGTGCAAGTCAGTTTATTCATAACTGCTCATGGTGTTCATTCTTTCACTCACATGTGTAGAGTATGATCACCCTCACTGTGTGAATTTGTACTTTGAGTTGAAATTGGGATTTTTTTAAAGTCAAAAGTGTGATGCATCCAAGGCTGCATTAATGGTAGACTCTCTTCTCAAAGTAGATCCCTGCCAATCATTTACCTCTTTTTGGACAGTATTCAGAAAAGTTTATTTTCACTGTGAAATGTTGACTTGTAAGAGGATTTATATTTGCTCTTAAATGAAGAAATTTGTTTTGTTTGCAACGTGCTGAAAAAGGATGCTTTTTTGTCAGCGGTGGGTGCATGTAGTTTTCTTGCTGTTCTTTAAGTATGATAGGTTGTCAAAAGCTAATTTATTCACCTCACAAGACCAAATGGGAATGTATTTTATAGCTGTCTTTAAGTACGATGGCTTCAAATAATTTTTCTTTGGTTGAAAAATTTAGCAGCCAGATGAGTTTTTGTTTTCTTTTATGGTCCTGAGATTCGATCATTATAATCCAAACTGGAGATAAAGGAAAACATAAATTTGCGTTCAACTATGTTGGACATTTTTAAGCTAACCAATGATTTAATTAACATTTTCACCTTCTTTGCACCTAATCTGCCTATAATTGTCATGAATGTGTTTGCAAGCAGTTAACATTTAAACAAAATCTACTGGAATTTGTGATATTTACTTTAACTCAGTGTAATTGTGTACATGTTAATACAATAAAAGAAGGACATGGTATTTTTTTTTAACTGCAGAAGGCATGACCTACTTAGTAGTGTATTGCTGCTATTCAATGAGTTAGCATATTTTACAATACATGACACCTGATCCACTGTGATTGAATTGAAAAATGATCAACAAATACTCAACGCTCCCATTCATACTAATATTTTTTTTAAAAGACATGGTATTTTCTCTGCAAATTTTTGAGGTTTTAGCTAGCGAAGCAGAAATTCAAGTGTGTTTGTTAAAGATTTTAAAAAGAGAAATTAATTGACTATGATGAAACGTACGTCATTGATATTAAAAAAAGTTGAATTAGCAAATAAGTAATAACCAATTCTATGAATAGATGTGCCATTAAATTCTCTATAACTATCAATTTCAATTTTATTGTCATTAGATGTAATAATATATTGTTAGAGTGGTTTTCGTTTGAGTGTCGTAAAACCAAAACCAAAGTAATTACTCTGGCCAATCACATAGGACACAGACAATACATTGAACCAATCAAAACTCGAAGTAATTACATGTGGCTGACGCAAAGCGTGGGAAAATGCATGCGAGCGCGTCACAATTGGCTTTGGTTTTACTTCTGATTGGATGAAAAGGTGGCGCAAATCTTTTAAGCCAATCGCATCGTGTAGAAAGTGCAAAACCAATTACTTTTCGACACTCAAATGAAAACCGCTCTATAATGAAACTATTTACTAACATTAGAATTATTAGAGGCAAACTTCCATTTATACTACTTCTGTAATTAAGCAGCAGCCGCCTCTTATAAGCAACCACCCATCCAGAGCACCAAAATTTCCCAGTCAGCGCCTTGTATTTGGGATCCATGGTTTGGTTGATTTTTATGCAATTAGCAATTCCAGCTGTGCCCATCCCATGCCCCCCTCCCTTGGATGGCAAATTCTTGAGGGTGGGGACACTTGAGCTGCCAGTGGTGGGGACAAAGAAAGAGGGCGAAAGCCCTGTCCTTAACAACACTGCAGCAGTTTTAAGCGATCAGTCAGTTGATTAGTGCCACTTGAAGCAAACAAAAAGATATAACAAAGAAATCTGACTAATTTCATAGCCATTACATGTTATTTAGTGTGGTGGCAAAATTCCATGAAAGCAGTTGCAGCTGTAGTCAGGTTGAGATCAAGTTAACTTTATAAAAAATACTAATCTAATGTTGTTCCTTATGAACATTTGGAGTGTATTAGTACATGTGCAGGTTTCTTTTGTTTATCAATTACCTGTTAGCACTTTTAGTGTTATGTATATATTTGTGTATGTTATATTTGACTGACCATATTTAAGATGTTAGTAAGCACTTGGTGCAGCAGAAATGTAAACAGCTCATTTTCTTATGGGCTGCTGTCTACACACACATTTTTCTCATTTTCTACCAATGGTCATTTTAATAACAATATGTATCTATATGTATGTGTATGTCAGCTCTTCCTCTATCTCCTTTAAAAAGCACTTAAGGCATTTATTAGTAATAACTATTAGTATATTAGGTAACAGCATGATTTGTAGTGATATTTGGCATAAATACCTTGACTGATATTTCGAAATTGTTATGCGTAATTTCACGAGCTGTTAGGTGAGTGAAATTTGGGACAATGTCGAAATATCACAAGTGGTATTGATGCCAAATATCATGTAAAAATCATGGTATTATTTGTTTATACTACTACCCGCAGAGGTTTTGTAATTTTCACATGTAGGTATTTCAAATTAAGCTGAAATACCACTGCTTTAAGGCAATCATTTCTCATGTAGTAGTATGATAACAAAAATCTGGAAGAAACTGTGTAATATTTATTGTAATATTTTTTTATATTTTTTTAAATTTCTTTATTGTACTTTCCTTTTGTTAAATAATTGTCTCCATTGTCATAATATTTATGTCATCTGCGGGGTGCAAAAAAAATCAGTTTTACAGCTTGCCATTTGGGTGAGCTGTCGCTTAAGCATGTACCAGCCTGAAAAAAATTAATGAGCAGCAGGATTGATTGCAGTTGCATGGTCTTGATAACTTAAAATCCCCAAAAAACTTCACTTGCCCATATGCATAATTTGGGCAAGTTAAGAACAGAATTCACTAGCCTGATTGAATAATCCACTAGCCAGGGGGTATCCACCACAGTTACATGTACTTTCTTCGCATGCTGCATCTAAGAAAAATTGTAACTAAGGAGGCCTTATTAAAATAAGCTATATAATTATATAGTTTGCTTTAGGCCTCCTCACCATTATTTCTCTACACTAATTTTGTGTCTTTGTTCTTGTTATCATTTATCTGAGTGGCAAATTAACAAAATACAAATATGTAGAAATGCAGGGTTGCCACAGTCAGGGAAAAGTCAGGGAGAATATTTGATATCTTCAAAGTCAGTGAAATGTCACGGAATTATAATATTTTCATTGCGCATTAAATCGGGTGAAAAGCATAAAGAGTGTGAAAGTGAAGGCAGGTCGTATTGATGGTCTACCAAGAAAGTTGGAGCAAACGTAATTATTTTACAGAGGTCAGTGAAAAGTCAGAGAATATTTTAGTTTCTGATGAGTTGCAACCCTGAAATTTCAGTTAATTTTAATGTCTAATTAATGCAGCAAGGTAAGGAAATGAACATAATTTAACTGTGTTTCACGGGTATTTTATTGATGATTTATTTGTTTCAACAGTACCTTTCAGAAGAGTAGTAACAGTAATGAGAAAAAGTTGTACAAATACTTGAAGAATGAGCTCTACCCATCTGTGATGCCAACAGTTAAGGTCAGCTATAATGAGTTTGTTTAAACAGCCATTTTTTGTAGTTACGGGTTATGCCTCTTTAATCCAAAAGTAACTTCCCTGGCAGTTGCTGAAACAATGGATAGCGCTATCCACCGTATAAATCAATATCCAGTGGATAAGTATTAGGAAAACCAATTGCGCAATCCAGTGGATAGAGATTTATCCAATGGGTAGTGTTACCCACCTTTTGAACAATTACTGGGGCCAGGTAAATTACTAATCCAGTGGTCGACAAGTATAAGCCAAACCAATGGTGTTATCCACTGGAGAGAGATTTATCCAGTGGTAGCACTATCTACCTTTTGAGCTGTTCCCGTATGGCAAACATACCTGAATTTCTGGCGTCTAAAATTGAGAGCATTCAAAAACGGGCTATGCGTATCATTTTTGCTACGTGTAGTTGTGATGAGGCATTATCTGGACTTTCTCTCACTACATTAAATGAGAGAAGAGTCCACTTGTGTCAGGTCTACATTGCAAGATTACAGAATGAAAACCACCCGTTACACTTTATTCTCCCTAAGCTTCTCCATGAGCCCCCACGCCAATGGAACTAGGCACCTGTCACACTGATTTATCAGTGTGACAGGTGCCTAGTTCCTTTGGAAAAATGAAGCGCGGGAGGGATGGGGGTAAAAGAATGATCCAAAGACTAAACAAAGAGAGTGCCCGCCAGGAAAACGTTGTACTAAGTACATTGAGGTAATGAAGCAAGGCCAACTGCACTTGAGCCAAATGACTGACTGTTGACCACGCCCTCGCTCCTCATTTTTAACTGTGTTAAATAAATTTAACTTCATTATAATTATTACAGTGGTATCACAGGAAATTAATGGCTTATCACGCTCATGGCCTGAAAGTTCTATATCCACTACTTGAAAAAATGTTGAGGAGATGTGCACCCAGGATAGCCACCTCTTCATTCCCCTATAATTTTACTTCTATTTAGAAGTATAGCTGTTATCTAGTAGTTCTAAATGTGCTTTGTGAATACTTGAATTTTCAGGAAAATGAGAAAGAAAAGAAACTGGAGACTGTAACGAAGGAGAGCCCCATAAAGGCTCATCACAAGGTATAAATTATTTACAGGACTCAGCTAACACTGCTATTTGATAGCTGCCTTATTATGTCCTTGTTCAGTTATGCTATTGAAGTCTGGGCCTCAGGGTGCAAAGAAAATCATTTTTGCAGCTTGCCATTTGGGCAAGCTGAAGCTAGCATTTACTAGCCCAAACGTCATTTCAACTAGCCCAAACGCTTTGTGACGAGCAAAATTGATTTCACAGTTCTTCTATTTGAATTCCTCCCAAAAAACATCACTTGCCCATTGGGCAAGTTAAGAACCGAATTCACTAGCCTGATGGCAAAATCCACTAGCCCTGGGCTATGGGACACTACTTTCTTTGCATGCTGGGGCCTGTACTTATGATTGTAAATACCTTTCTCAGATACATAGGTTTTTGAAGTGTGCAGTCAAATATGGCTATACTGTTAAGTTCACTCCTATAACTGATTAAATACTAGAAAGAGATTTGGAGTTATGGAAGAAGGTGACCATTGACAATCACTGTTTAAATGATCTTCCCCCCATGAAGCGTATGCGGAATCTACGAGACAGGGTCATGATTAAGTTTTGTCACTTGTTAGGACTGAAAGGTTCAAGCGATCACTGAGTGTGTATATGCTAATTTAGTATATATTATTATGCGATTATTGTGAAGTATATGAAATAATTCATTTTTGAACTTTGGTTGTAGATGAAAGTGAAGAATGATCATCGCAGTAAATTTTCCAATTTAAGCAATTGGAAAGAAGAAGCCTGAAAAAAAATCAGGGCTTCAACGGGATTCGAACCCGTGACCTCCGCGTTGCTGGTGCGTTGCTCTACCAACTGAGCTATGAAGCCACACATTGGGAGCGAGGTCAATTTATTGAGTTCATATCTCCCATGAGGAGTGAAATGATGTGAAGTATATGAAATAATTCATTTTTGAACTGCGGTTGTAGATGAAAGTGAAGAATGATCATCGCAGTAAATTTTCCAATTTAAGCAATTGGAAAGAAGAAGCCTGATTTTTTTTTCAGGCTTCTTCTTTCCAATTGCTTAAATTGGAAAATTTACTGCGATGATCATTCTTCACTTTTATGCGATTATTGTTAACTCACATGTACGCTTGTGGGTGTTATTTTCAATATTATTTTCATCATCATCATTATATTGAACAGAAATACTGCTTATCTTAAGTTATTTAAGTATGATTATTTAACAATTATTCCTCGAGCCTGAATGGGCTCTGAGTCAATAGCGGAGGAATGGGCTATAAACTCAGAGGCCATGAGGGCGAGAGGAATAATTGTTCAAGTAAAATCCGACTAGCTGGTCAAAAATATTGAGACAAAACATAACTGCTGGTTGGTTAAAGCTAGACTTAAATCCTTTTTTTGGCACCAAAAAGCCGGCACTTTTGCTACTAGTGGACTATAACATATAGCCTAGTAGTAGCTCAACCAATCAATCTTATCTCAGACTTTTTAATAAACAACTTTAGGGAGCCAGGACGTTTCGAACCTGTGAAACCTAAGGTGTCCAAAATCTTAAGTTTTGTAACCTGTAAGTAATAGGATAGGCCGCTGGATACTGCGAATATACAGTCCAGATAAACATGAAGTTCAAACACATCCCTCCTCCAACCTGCTGGGCTTGAAAGACATTTGTACTATTGACAAAGTCAGATGAAATTAATTTACGGTCTTTCCATGAGGCCGAGGCTATCAGGCAACACTTTTTTGGTGCCCTGTATTGGAACTAAATAATCTTACGTCTTATCCTGCTAGTGTACAGTTGTACTAAATCATGATCAACCTATTTTTGTGTCACTTTTCCAGATCTCTTCAGTTCTGTATATACCTGTAACTGCTGTATTTATTTATTATTTATTATTTGTGTATTTATTACAGGTAGCTTCCAAACGTAAAACAGATAAAAATGCTGTTTTGAAAAAAGAGGAAGAGAAGAAGGAAACAAAGGTATATTCTGTAGCTGAAAAATACCAGTACATGTGTGCAAATTTATTTATTGAGGAAGCAGTGTGGGGACATGGCTAGGGCTAGGGTTGTCCACATTTTGCCAGCATAATTTTGAGCATAATAGTGAGGCAAAAGAATTGAGCATTGTTGTGGAATAAATTTGTAACTTGTCAAAACGTTGCCAAACAGTAAGATTTCCATGTGAGATACCAGCTTGTGTAACAATTTTAAGACCAGGCCTGGTTAGAAATTTTTTAAAAGCAAGTTCCAATTCTGCAACATTTGTCAGCGGACTCCTTAGATGAGTCATCTGACAATCGAGCAGGGAAAATCATGCAAAGAGTAGTCTTACATTAATTATTATAATGGAGCATAAAAAGCGAAGACATTTTTTGGTCTAGATGAAAGAATTAGCATTATTGTGTGAAACATTGAACATCATTTGGACAGCCCTACTTAAGGCTCTGTACATTCATACGAAAGGTCCTAAGTTTAAATCAGGTCTGATTAATGGCTAGCCTGTAGAGCAGACATATACTGTGGTAAAGCACTCGTTAACTTCTCTCTTTCCCTCCCTCCCTGTGTGTATGGTATCCATCTCTGATTTTGACAGGAGTTGAAGGTTGTGGATAGAGTTGAAATAGCGATTTGTAGTGGGGGTAGGGGGTAGGGGATATGATGCTTCTATGTTTGACTTATCCCCTACTTAAAATAACCCCAGTTGGTGTGGTAATATATGAAAACTGAACCACGTACACAGTTTATGTTCAGTACAAAGGCTGGGGCGATTGTATGGGAGGGGGTTTGCAGGGGGGATGTAGCTTCCACCACCTTCCCTTACCTTCATCATTCATTGGAGTGCTGCCTTTTCTTCTCTTGCACCCTTGTCACAGTTTCTTACATTGATGGTACAGGTTTTGTGAGAACTCTTTGTTACGTCTATTAAAGCTCTTTTCTGCTCTTTTCACTTATGCAACAAGATTGCAGCAACAGAAGATAAGAAAAGTGCACCGTCAGAACAAGACGAGGAGGACACGACAGAAGAAGACCAAGAGCAGGAGGAGGAGATCTCAGACGCTGACGAAGACTTTGACCCAGAAGACGAGGAAGATAGCCCACCTCAAAGAAAGAAGAGGAAGCTTCCAGCAGCGGCTCTGCAGCCAGGGCAGCAGCAACAGCAGCAGCAGCAGCCAAGGAGGAGGGGCCGACCACCCGCGAGTAAAGGAGCAGTTACAGATTCCCAAAAAGTAGTGGAAAAAATCGAGAGAAGAAGGAAAAAAAGTGAGCAGGAACAGGAACAACTGGAAAAAGATATTCAGGTGGTTAAAACAAATAACAAACTTAATGACATGTGTCATGTTAACTGTTGTATGCTTGTAAATCTCTTGGCAATGAAGATTAACCAGCACATTGCACAAGGCGAAACTAGGAGGTTGGTTGCATTGATGATTATAGAGTAGCTGTTCAAATGTATGTGTAAAAGACATAACTGCAGCTACGTGAAATTCAAAAATGACATGCAGTGCAGATATGGACTTGTACCTTAGCAGTACGAAAAATGACACAGCATGACTGGTTTCTAGTTAATTTAATATTTTTTCTTCGGTAAGAATGTTTCATATAAAACCAAATGAGAAAACTGGGCTTGAGGTTTGTTAATAGTATTACATGCTATTTGAGGTAGGGGTCTACTCGAACCGCTTTTGTTTTCTTTAGGAGAGAAAGGAACTGGAACAACGTGTGGACGAAGAAATGCAAAAGCAAGAATCAATAATAAGCGTAGTTGGTGGTGAATCAAGAGCGAAAAGGCGCTGTGTTATCAGGCGTGAGCAAATGAGCAAGAAAAAAGAATGGTGGGAAGAAGAGGAGCTTGGGTTCGAGTCAGATGAAGACAATGAAAGAGATATAGGTACAAATATCACATCTCAACAACTTGTTCGTTGCAACTGGGGCCCTTTTCTTGAAAGGCCCGGAAACTTTTCAGGCCCAAAGGCAAATTTTAAAATCAAAACCTGTTGAATAGAAGCACAGTTTCTAGCTCACGAACCAGTCAATTTTGCTTCGTTAACTAATAGTTTTATTCTCTCATTTTCAATATTATTGAAACTTTGATCTTGAATGCAAACACGGCATACATAAAACAGCTTTCCGGGTCCGAAAGTGACCGGGACTTTCGAGAAACGGATCCCTGCTCGTAAGGTGTCACCAATTATTTCCATTGTTTTACGGTTAGAGTAGCAGACCAATTGGCTTTTGAAATGGTAATTTTCTTTGTTTGTGTTGTCCCGGTGTGTATCACGTGACTGATCAACAGCAAAAGGTTAATGACTATCGGCCAATGAGAATAGAGACAATAAAATCCCACAATTGTGTAGATATACACTATCTGATTGTACTATTGATGTGTGTACATATTCATATTTATGAATATCCTTATTTACCGCTCTGAGAGACCCTGACAGTGTTTTTTTTTCTTTATTTTAAGATTCAGATAACTCAGATGGACCCAGACGTCGAAAGAAACTAAAATTTCCAAAGCCAGCTGAAATGCCTGAGCCACCCAATAGGATTTACGTGTTTTCAACGGGTCTTGCCAACCGAGCAGCGGAGGCTGTGCAAATTGGTAGAGTGGAAAGTATCACTTCGTTTCACAGGGCGCAGCCATCCAGCTCGCCATTTCTTAAAGTTGAACAAACGAACGTTTTTGGCAAACAAAAGCCTTTCTACCCACAGCAGTACTCTATGAGGAGTTCTGTTGGTCGTATGGGGGGACAAATGGCAAGTTTCTCATCAGGGATGACAGGTGGTATGCAGTCAAATGCTGTCAGGCCTGGTTACGGAACTTCTCAGTGGGATCAGATGCAGGCTCAACAGTCCATGTACAAAGACAGGCAGCGGCAGACACAGTCGCAAGCTATGGAAGACATTCATCAGCTCTTGTTTGGAAACCCGCACAGCAGCAACAGTCAGGCTACATCAGGAGTGAATGGAATGTACTCTAGAAGTGGTTATAACCAGCAGGGAGGGGTGGGAGTGGAACAGTCTGGTTCTTTCACTGGATATCCTCGAAGTGGGGCTCCCCAACAATCAGCACCTTATATGGAAAGACGGACGTCTGACATGCGCGGCCAGACTACACAGCAGTCGCATTTTCCCGCTTTCAGTCAACAGGCAAGTCAACAGCAGCAAGGATACTTTCACAGACCGAGACATCTTGGAGGCCATCCGGCCCAAGGAAATTCAAATTCACCGTCTTCGGATCCCTTAGGGGCTGGAGTGCGCTCCCCACCGCCTCCCTACCCTGGCGCTCGACCACCCGACTCGAGACATACAAAGAACAGTCCCGTACCATCGCCAACAAATACAGGATCACCACACACTCCACAAACGCCACTAACACCACAAACACCACGATTCCCTGGCCCGTCACCCAGCGAACCTAGTAAACCAACATTCTCGCCTTCACATCCACAAGGAAGCATGGGTGGTCCGTCGATGGCCAACTACCCTGTGCAAGGAGCACAGGCTGGGCAGCCTGGGCTTAAAGCTGAAGAAAGACCTATTAACTCTCAACCTCGTCCCGGGTTTATAGACCTATCTAGCAAAACACTGTCACATGGGATACAAAATCCATATTCATCAGTGATGGGCAATTACAATCAAGCTCATTCGCCTTTAGATCGTAGACCAGAGGAAAACAAATCGCCGGCATTTGGAACACATAATAATCACGAAAGTCCGCTGCATTCGCCTACCGACCGTTCACCAGCTTCTCATTTCGCCGCCGCTTGTGGACCACCCAACAAGAGTCCATTCATGCGGCCGCCAGGTGGTCAACCCAACCTTAATAACAGTACAGTATTTGCCACAACAGGTTCTACTATACAAGTACCAAAGTCGTTCTCGGTAGAGAGCTTGACCGCACCCAGCCAGCCACACTTGGACAGGAGTAGCATTCCACCTTCACAGTTATCTGAACAGCCAATGCCTCAGTACAGCAGTCTTTATTTTCCTTCAAATAAATACCCTCCCGTGTTTGGACAGCCACAATACCAGTATCCTGGTCACATGCAACACCCTGGAGCGTTTTACAACTCTCAACTGACGCCCAATATGTACCTGGGAAGGGCTTCGCTTCCTGTGTACCCCCCAACCAGGGACGCTGGTCTTTAGTCCAAGGCGTGGTTAAGTCAGCTAATTCTTCGCTGGTGAAACAGTGGTAATTATCATAATATAAAAAAGCTGCCCTTTGCGGGTTTCTAACGACAAGAGCAATCCAAGATAGAGATTGGATATTACAGCTCAACGTTGGAGAAAATAATTGTTCGATAAACTGAGATATCCGCGAATAGTTTGGATTACCATTTTGACCAAGGCAGACAATACAGTAGAATACATTAATCTGACATTACAGAGCATATACAAGGATCGTTGACAATAAAATACGTGTCTCGCAAGGAAGGTAGTTATTGGTGATGAGCAAATTTTGAAGGTTTTCCTGTGCATCTTTCTTCCCATACGACTGACTTTGCAGAGTCTCCGCGGCATCACGACAGAGAAAACTGAGTAAGCCACTTCCTAGCACGTAAAACTGTCATGTAAACAACTTGTGCATGTTTATTGAGTTGTAACTCATGTTGTGTTACCATACAGCGAGTATAGCAACCCAATAACAGCTTGTAGTAGTAAAGTGGTTGTCTACCACAGTTACCATAATCATGTTCATCAAACCCGGACCAGTAGCTCAGTATCTGCAAGGAGCAGCTATAACGTACCGCACCAGCATTCGGTCACTCCCTCTGTAAAGAGGGAATGCAAGTTAAGTTGTCCTTTTATAAAGCAGTAGTTAAAAGTATAGATTGAGTTATGAACTAAACTGACCAGGCTGCGACCTCTTCCTCATTTTTGACGTACACGAGCAAAAAAGGAAGAACAAGAGTAGCACTTTTATTCAACACTCCACGGGAAACTTCGAAAAAGGAAGAGATCGCAGTCTTTTGCCTAAATCAGTTTTATAAATTTTATTTCATTTTGTTGCGTTTTATAACTGATTCACAGTGCACTTTGCCAGTAGGAACGGTAAACCTTACATGTTTATAGTCATTTATTTTTAACGCCCATTTCAGCGAGTGTTATTAAAAATTCGGTGAGCTGTAGATCATTCACAGAGGGGAAAGTAACTGCAAAAAGCATGCAGGCGTCGTTGTGTGATATTTTCTGAGTAACACCTTTGCTTTGCCATTCACTCCCGAAATGTTTTTGGTGTGCTCGTCCCTTAAAGGAAAATTATAGAGTTGATTCCTTTAATCACGTTTCCAGATAAATTGCAGTGTAGTGAATTCAGTTGAGCGTATACAAAAACTCGCGCACTTTCTCCACCAATCAAAGGTAAAAGGAAAACTAGGCGTTGGCCGAGTGCGGCATCTTTTTTGATTGGCAAAAGGGCTGCAACACTCTGTGGAAAAGAACCGACATGTGATACCGCCCTGAGTTGAACTCCTCGTGCTGTGGTGTTTCCTCTCTTTTTATTTTTCTGTTAAAGTAACGAAAAAGAAGAATAAGGATCATTCATAAGTGTCTGCAGTTTAAATGTATGAAGATTTTGTAAACAATGTTGGAGGGTGTTTTCATGTTCCTCGATAAGCTATTTCTGTTTTGGCATGAAAATGAACACCTTTTTAGGCCTTCTCCAGGACCTCTTACGGGTTCTGAACTATAGAATCTATTCAGGCAGATTGTGTTAACGAAGGGGTTCTTTTAACGCGCAAGTTCCTTTAGTAGATAACTCTGTTAGCTGAAAACGCTACTCCTGAGAATAATTTAAAAACGTCAAGTAACAAGCTTTCACTCTCGGAAACTTCAGAGGCAGGAGATGATTACTAAATCTTAGCAGTTTCGTTTTACGCGTATTTTTCCGCGTATGTTGTAGCTTTGAAGTGTGCCAAAAAACGTTCTTTAGAACATCGGAAGCACTCAGACACCAACGGAAATTTTATGATTTCCGTTGGTTTTCTCTTGTCTTTCAGGATTCCGACCGTGAGCGTCCTTGTTAACGGGATTAAAATATATGAATTATGATTAGATTAGTTTAAAGTGTTAAATGCTAGGCAGCCTCGTTTCCAGATTTTCCATATGATAGCTATGATCCTACACGACATCAGTATTTTGGCCGCGAGGGAAATACTCTGGAAACGAGGCTGCAACGGTAGATTACGTTTGTTTACCATTTACAAATAGTTCCAGAAAGTCCGATTGGAAAGTAAATTTAAGACGACTTTCTGGGTCGTTCCAGCGGAAAATTTCCAGAAACAACGGAAGATCAGAAAAGGTAGTCCTGTATTTCCAGACGGACTGTTCCAAACGTAACCGTCTTTGATACCAGTCTCAAGCCTTCGCGGCCGTTTTACGATAACTGAAACTGATTTGCAGATATGGTAAACGTGATTCCCGGACGAAATTTTGCTTACCATTCGCCCAAATCGTGTTTGTCCATGTAAATGGTAAACAACCCGACTTCGACTGTTTGGTCAAATATTGTAGTGTTTTATCCTTGGCAAACGATGTTTGCAAACTAAGCAAATGAATGAAATAACCACGCATGCGATCCCTCGTTCTTACAATCCAGAATTTGACCTAGTTACCACATTATTCTCTATTTCCATAAAATGTTACAAGATTTTATAACTTCAAAGTAATGATTGTTGTCCCACGTGAATCACACTCGCATTAGAGTAACGGTCTTGGGTTTTATCATAACGGAGTAAAATTCCTAAAGTTTATAATGTGTCTCTTTATCAAAGTGTTTTTTCAAGTCAACCCACTGTGGTGTATATATTTTTAAACAAACTGTTTGATATTTTACGATAAATTTCACCGGCATCATTTTGTCGACTATGCAGTTAATAGCCTGGTGACCAGTCCGCATGATCTTGTATTATTTTCAAAGCAATGCTGCAAGTTGGTGTATAAGTACAGAGGAATAAAATGATAGTACCTAATAATCTCTATGAATGCTGACAATCTTGCTCTCCCATTTCCGATAACAGGGGGGGGAAGGGGGGGAGTGCCAGCCCATAGACCCGTCGCCTGCGTAGCAAGCGTTTCTGTGCGGTTTAGGAGCAAAGAACGAGGAACAAGAGTCAAAGACCGCGCGAAAAATGGCGCCAGTATCTCGTTTAATTTCTCGCGCGATCAAAAGCGAAAACCCCCTTCCACGGTCTCTTTTTGCTACAAAACCAAACGGAAACGCTTGCTACGCAGGCTAATAGACCTATGATACCGGGCCTACAAACTTTGGGTTTGATCACTCTACCGCTTGTAATAAATTATGCGTTGTTGCGGTGAGCTAAAAAGCTTAAGAGCTCAAAGGGTTGGTGAGATTAGTGCGTACTAATCATGCGTGCAATTTTCAGATATGTGGAAATGAAAGTCAGCCAGGCCTACATCTAGTGGAAAAGCTGGGTGCGCCCCTGGGTCATAACTTAAAGTAGACCAAAAAATACAACTTATGCCCCGTTTAGAAGGAGTAAACTTCTCCCGGGTGGAAGCGTCACTCATTTACTCGACTGATCAACCCTGGGCGAGCCAACGTTTCCTATATTTCCTTACAAAACGTGCGAACCGTTTACGTGATTGAGGAAAAAAAGTTGGCTCGGCTAAAAGCGGGTCACCCTTTTCCTATGGTAGGGCCAACCTCCTCAGTAGCCGGGCCAACTTTTCTCCATATAAAAACTTTGACTCCCCGGGGACTTCCCCAACCAGGTAAAATCGGCCAAGGCGAAACAATCAGAGCATGCGCGAAAGCTGTTGGCTATGGCGTCAAATGGCGTCAACTTTTTCCTCGTATATAGGCGCTGTAATATAAACGGGTCCTTAGGCCCAGACGAAGTTTCAGAAAACATGTTTGGGGTTGAATATAAACACGTTCATTCAGTTTAGGACCGATTTTTACTGTGTAGTTGTTTTGCAATCAACCTCCCCCCTCCCCGTACGTCCGCCAAATTCGCGCCTTTTTCCCGGCAACCGTGAAACAAAAGAGGACAACTCTGTCGAGCCGTTGATAGTTGACTTTTTAAGGTCAGTAGCCACAAACTAGTGTCAAGCATTTTACACTAAGTACATGCAAACTTCCTGCCTTGTGTATGTTAGTTGCTGGTATTTATTTGCGATAGAAGTGCTGCTTTTTGCTTCTACATCTATCTACATCTACATTTATTAATTGACAACGCTTTCGCATCAAGTCAATAATTTGTATGAAATCGGTTTGTTCCTTTGTTTGACACGTTCTTAACATATTTCGTATCCTTCGCTGTGCACCTTGGTACTCACTTTCTAATTAGCGTCCAGCTACCTCCTCGCGTTCTACGTTTGTCATGGTTCGTACAATCTCGAAAAGGTCTTAAATTTTACAAGTCGTCTTGAAAAGTCCTTCAATTTGGTTTAGGTCCTCCCTTAAAAAGTTCTTGATTTCGTTCTTAGGTCTTGAAAAGTCCGTGAAATTCACAACCTTGTCTACGCCAGGGGCCATTTTCTGTAAAATTATTTTGCCGAGGAAAATTTGGCTCATCCTAGGTGTAAGGACCTGTAAAACTCAGGGTAACGTAAAACTATTTTTGTGCATGACTGAAAAATATTTTATTGCTGTTTCTTTACTTCCAATATTTCTTTACCTCAGATGCAACTGCAAGTCATACCCAGTCATTTTGCAAAGCCTTGTTGCGGAAAGTACTGTAGTGTAAAATAATATGATTAAAACGACGGCCAAAGAAGTAAAAATTGTAAAAGACTCCACTTTGTGATCCTAGGGGGTTAAAGAAAGCCAATTTGTTCGATAAATCTTAGTCCTTGAAAACTGTAATTTGTCCTTGAAAAATCCTTGAGAAGTCCTTGAAATTTGTTTGTCTGAAGCTGTACGAACCATGTTTTTGCCTGCACACTTGTATGTAATCGGTCTCTTACTTTGACAAGAGGTCGAATTCTCAAAGTCCACCAAGACCCTTCAAAGCTATATCGAACGCAACGTTTCTTTTGTAACAACAGTCTCGTTTTTAATAAGAAAATATTTACGATATAGCGTCGCCTTGGAAGGGTTCGACAATAAGACCCAAGGATCCTTTCTGCTACACGATGTGAGGGCAAGTGAAATATGGGGTGCGTTCCTTTGGGATAATCCGGATCAGGTGGTGACCCAAGATCTATTGGATCATCCACCCTGGGAAAGGATTCATCGGGTCGTTTCATGTTGAACCATTCATCCGAGTGATCTCGTATTACTGATCTTGATTCGGATCATCCCGCAGATTAGGGACCTTACAATCCGACTACGGCGACTAAAGTAAACGTTACTGAAAAATCGAAAGCTTCTTCGTGATGCGTTTATAGTTGAGATATAAATTTAGGACGAAAAAGATCATTGCTCATACCGCGTCCAAGCCAATATTAGCCGAATTAATATTACAGACGGAAAACCGTCTTGGACGGGAAACTTGTATATCGTATTTATTCGATTAAACGCCGCTGTGTTTAATTTAAAAATTTCTAGCGTTTCCAATGCGGCGTTTATTCAAGGGCGGCGTTTATTTCGAAATCACTTTTTTTAAATCTCTGACAACAGTTATTGTAAATCGTTTGTAAATACCGGTATTATGTAATTTAAAGGTTTCAATGTCTCTCTTATTTTGCTGAGATAGAATCATAAATGTCTGGATGGTGTAAATTACCAATTTGTACCGAGATTTTTCTTATTATCCCCGAGTAGAAGCCGCATTCTTCTGATGATCTCTGATGAGGTGCGGCGTTTTTTCGAGGACGGCGGTTGTTGGTAATTTTGGTTCCATCTGCGGCGTTTGTTGGAGAGCGGCGTTTAATCGAATAACTACGGTTAACGAAAAACTCCGGTTCAGCCTAGTTCCCAGTCATCCTCGGCCATTTCGGATGAGCTTATCAAGCTTGTCCGGAAAATTCGCCGAAGAACGCCTCGCGCTATCGCGCTCGGTTCCAAGCCTACTCTGGTCACTCGGATTGTGCGAGCTGTCCTGGGTCATTGAGGACGCGTTTCCCGCCTCAAATTTATCTGTCTAATTTTCCGTCTAAACCGACAGGAAAAATACGACCGGTTTACCGTAGTTAAATTCATATCAATCGGTATTTTCTCCGAGGGAATTCCGTCTGTGACGAGTTTCCCGTCTTCTGACATGAATTCGGCCATTTTATCCATGAAGTACTCAAGAAAACTTAAAATTTTGATTATCCACACCGTCGTTGTTAAGAGAGTGCAAAGAAATCTTAGAAAAGCCTGATGCGTGTTCAGAATTGTTGCGTTACTTAGAAAAATTTTATTGGTTCCCGTCGCCGTTGTAGTACTGAGCCCTTTTAATTCGAGGACGACGGCAGGGACAAAGACCAAACTTGACTTTTTCTTCGCTAGACAAACCCGGAAAGCTTCGTTTCACTTTTTTCACCAGAAAGCTAGCACGGTTATTTTAAATGAAGGAGGTTAAACCCTCTCCTGATTCCAAGATGGTTAAACTTTTAAGATAGAATGCATCAAGAAATGGAGTAATTTTCAGTGAACAAAAAACTTGTACCAGAATAATTTAAACAATGTCGCATTTTTTACATTTTTCAAGGGCTATAGATATAATTAGTTATCTGTAGTAACCCCAAAGACTATTTCTCATAGGGGCCTGAGAAAATATACGTCAATCTTCACAAGAATTGTGAAAACACAGGTAAAATCAAAAAAATTCATGTGTAAGGTGTCATTTTGTTAAATTTGACATTTATTTTCTCGGGCTCTCATGAGAAACTTTCTTTGGTGTTATCACAGAGTAGTAATTACATCTATAGCTCTTTAAAAAAAAGAATGCGATATTGTTTAAATTATTCTGGTACAATGTTTTTGTCCACTGAAAATTAAAATTACTCAATTTCCTGATGGATTCCTTCTTAACATTCGATAACTTTTTTCCCCCACTACCGGTCCTCTAATACGACATTCTCGCTAAAACCCGCGACAACGGTTTTTGCGTTTTCCCGCCAAAATGACGCTGGTTCACGCGTGTGGTTCATTTCCTCCCTGTACTGAGTTGTCCTTGTTTTGGATCTGAAGGTCTCTCGTTTCGTTAGTCGCCGGTAGATAAACCACCATTTGAATGACGCAGCGAGATAGTACTATGTTGTCATGTTTTTATGATACAGAGGCTTTATTACAGAAAAAAACCCTTACGTTACAAGTGATCCACTGATGACGGAGAGACTAATATACATATCAAACGATAAAGCAGCGTGTCTATATCAGCAGTTAGCCGACGCTGCGAGGAGGAAGCGAGTGAGGGGAGTACACGCGTGTACTTGATTACTCCCTGAGCGCTAGACAAAAGTTAGCGCGGTAGTGCGCGTAAATATTCCCAAAACGGTCGAGGCCGCAACGGATAAAAGATTCGATGAACGTTTACCGACAAAGATTTAGTTTTTGCTTTTGCGTTTTTATCTTTCTGGATATTTTATGAAGGAAGCAAACCCATGTAAGGGCCTGCAAGAGTAAAAATTTTTGTCAAGAAATGAAGGCTTCATTCTTGTGTTTTGTATAAATGCTTTGGAGTGAATACGATGTGGAGTAGATTCCTCTTATTCCAGCACGTACTGAACCAGAGGTGACGTCAAGTGTGTTTCGTGTTCTCACTTTCTTTTTGGAGGGATGAGTATTTTTTCCGGCAGAGGAACGGGTCTCTCCTGTGAATCAACCAGGTAAAGGAGATCGGATAAACTCTGTTCTACAGCAAATTCCATGGCTTTGAAGCTCATCTGTGGGACAAAATAAACTTTGCATAAATCAAGGGTGCAAAACTTTACAGCAACCTAAACCATCATCGATGGAGGATTGAATACACTGGAACGAAAAATATTTTGAAACAAAACTCCTACCGGTTGGAAGTCTTCGTCTGTCGGAGGATATTTGAAATCAGGTCCAAAATTTAGCGTGACCTGAAAGAAAAAAAAAACACAATAAGGTGCATGAATTCGTGGTGATTTTTGAGCAACTTTTAATGCTACACTCAAAAGGTGCAGTGCAACAACAGCTTAGCTTCAAGAAGACAGAAAGTTTGTAAGATTTAACGTAAGGATTGGACAGAGATAGATTAAGAGTCACGTTTACGTCAAACAGCAAACGTCAGATTCAAGTTGCGAATTTCTAAGAAGAAATAGAATAGAAACTAAGCAAATAAAAACCGTCCAGAACAATTCTTATGGATGAAACTGGCGTGAAACTACTTACTTTTGAGAAGAAGTAATAAACAGTAAACGACAATTAAGGGGAAACTTAGTCACGTGGTACAAATTCACGTTTGCCGTTTGGCTTAAACGTGATTCTTAAATCTCTCTAATATTTATCTAAATTATCGATCCTCTATCAGTTAGATTCACGTTTAATACTCCAGCGCATGGCGATACAAAGAAAGTCTGCTTACCGTTGCATTTTTAAACACTGATACCGCTGGGTAATACGTTCCCTCGTGAATATCTTGCCAAGCGACGCCCTAAAAAAACAAACATTTTCTTTCAAGCATAACCTGAGCATAACACCACAGAAACGTAATTGTTAGTTAGCCTGTTGGTGTTCCTTTTTTCGCGCGATGCCGATGAAATAACGAAACAAGAGCAGCTCACTCCTTGCAAATCAAGAACTTACCTTTTCCATTCGACACTGCCTGTGCATGCTTACAAAAGATCAATGTATCGTAAATTCTGGATATCCCTTTTTGAAACCTAATTGTATCGCACTCACCTGACAAACGCCATTCTTAAAAAATTTTATCTGCAAAAAATTTGACAGTGAGAAACGTGCATAAGTATCACTAATAGACCTCTTTAATTTGTATGTGTTGTTTTCCCAATACAGGTCATGTGATAATACTATAGAGAACTGTTTCTTTCAAATTTCGTTTTATTCAAGTGCATATGTACGCATAATTCATGAAAAGACAAAGGGTAAAGTTCCCTGGGACCTCTATTGGGAAAACAAAACATTACAAGCTTTATACTACTACATGAGAAATTTCTGCAAATTGATTGGCTTAGAGCTGTGGTATTTCAGCTTAATTTGAAATACCTACATGTGAAAATTACAAAACTATTGCGGGTAGTAGTATAAACAAATAATAGCATGATTTGTACGTGATATTTGGCATAAACACCACTCGTGATATTTCAAAATTGTCTCAAATTTTACTCCCATAAAAGCTCGTGAAATTACGTATAACACTCGTGGTAAGCATCTCACTCGTGGTATTTATGCCAAATATCACTACAAATCATGATATCACCTATACAAAGAGGTCTATTACGTCAGCGTTTTAAATTTTTATGTAGAAGCCTTGGAGCTACCGTAAAGATTCGTATCATATGAACGGATCAATAGCAAATAAACTCAAAAGTATCTTAAATGTTGTGTGTTACTTTCTTTTTGTCTAAGAAATGACAATTGGAGCGTTTTTGACTCCTGTTTATTTCAGAACAGGATTAAATGGATTTTTTTTATTACGTTCTTTAAGACAAGCACACACAAAAATACACGAGATTGGTCAGATTAGAAGCTGGAACCGTGGCCAGTCAGCAGCGTGAGGACAACCTGGGTAAGTTTAAAGATACTAAAGATGTAGCTTACCTGACTTCCAAGTAAAGGCTTCAAATTCTGAAAACGCAACAAAAAAAATCATTTAGACAATAATAGTAGGGATAACCATAAAGAGAAGAACAAGAAGGAGAAGCTGAAAGCCTTACCTTTTCTGCCTTGTCTACCAGATCTTTTTCCTCGAAATAAAGGTGATTTTTAAACTTTATTAAAGCCTGAAAAACAGAATGAAGCAGTGTGTGATCCAGAACCCGTTAATTTTTGTCTTCATGGAAGCCAGTATGAAGGCGAACGAAATGGTAAGTTGATACCGGAGCGATCGAGTAGAGAGAACGTGATGCCCGAAAGGGAAGGCAGGGTCCTCCAACTAAGGAAATGAAGTAAATTTGTTTTTATTAACTGCTGTTGTGCTAAATGAGGACGCCTTGTGTTGGTTACGAGTTCATTATTTAGGCCACTTATAGAAGGCGTGTATATTACGTCTTTATCTGCGTATGGTCTTTTTCTTGTGTGAACTCGCCCGTTTTTAATTATCTTAGTAAAAATTTCCAGTATTTCACAACTGCAAGAAATTTTTCAAGTTTTATAGAAACGCTCGTAAAAAGTAACATAAAAAAACGGAAAAAAACGTTAACATAAGCTTACCTTATCTTTAAACGTCGGCGGGAGAAATTCCGCTACAAATATAGAACAGGGTATGTTTTAACGAGATGCTTATCCACTAAGCAGCTAAGGGAGGTATTAAATCTAAGAAATCCACATCACGTTTAGCTCAGAGTTAAAACAATGCGCAATTTTTCTGAATCAAGAAGGAGTAAAACCAAAACCATTCGTGACATGCTCGTGTTTTCCAGCGCAAGCATGCTGCTTATTACTTGATCAGACACGTATTCTTTTTCATTTCTTAGTGCAGTTCTAGGGAACAAGTGGCTCAGTTTAAAATAGCTAAACTCTTAACTGATGTTAAGCTGTTCCTTGGCTCAAATCTTGCTTCAAATTAGAAAGAACACAGTTCAAGACTACAAAAATGTTCACGAGGAAATTCGTACCCATGCTCTTTTCCGTTCTTGGTTGCAAGTTTTATTTAATAGAAGACTGCTGCTGAGTGACGTCTTTTAAAAACAACACCATGAAAATCAATATTTCTTACAATGGGGCATGAATTACAAAAGATGCAGTATTCTACATACCCAACATGGGATACAAAAGAACACGTTGTTACCTGGACGTCTATTGTTTAATGGGAGACTAATAAAAAATCCTATCACATCGCCGCTTGAGTACCCATCACTAGAAACAAGAAAAAAAAATCGAGGTTAGTAATCGAAAAAAGGGATAGTGCCTACATTATCCTTCAGTGTCCAATATCATTTATAATAACTCAGAAAATTACATTCCGAATTGGACGTACTTGTTATTTTGGTATAGGGGTCATTACTAGCGCTTTAATGTAAGGTTTGAACATTATTTGCACTACCGTATTTATTCGATTAACCGCCCTGAGCGCTTATTAATTTTTGGACCTTAAGAGTGGGCGCTTATTGGAGGCTGGGCGCTTATTAAATTTTCACCAGTTTCAGCAAGTGAAGTATGTTTATTTTGCAACAAAACAATAAATGCTAATAACAAAACGCGAGGAAGTAACAAAGCAAGGTTTCTGTAAAATACTCTGAAGAAAACTCCGTCCTCGGGAAAGTCTCTTATTAAAATTTATTCACTCAAGTGGGTGGGGTGGGGATGAGCGCTTATTTGAGTTTGATTGGGAGGAGGAGGGGGTGGGCGCTTATTCGAGGCTGGGCGCTTATTCGAGGTTGGGCGCTAATTCGAATAACTACGGTATTTTTTTTCCAGTGTGCATACCTGTAATGTTTTCCTTTACTCTCATGGAATCTTGTTCCCTTTTTACTTCGCCAAGAGTAGCTAAATTTATCATAACCTAAAGGAGCTTGAAGATTTCCTAAAGAGGATGAAAAAGATTTTGATAAAAACCAACCATCAGTGCACTTATGTTTCATGAGGAAACAAACGATAAATCTACCTGTCTCTATTAGCTCGCTAGTTATTTGCGGTTAACGTTAAACAATTAATGTAAACTTAAAATAAATAAAAAAAGTTGTTGTTTTTCTGTTACCATTTATCTAAGTATGTATGAAGCTCTATTCTAAATTTTCACTCACCATAAAGCTGTGACCAGCCAATTCTAGTTGCTGAGTCCGGTGGTAGGTCTACAGTTGCCTAAAATAACACATTAAAAGTCCGTTCAGAATGTCGCTGCGCGCTTAGTGACATCTTCTTCAAAATTCGATCACGTAACTCCTCTATTGATGCAATTGCATTGGCTCCCCATTGCCGAACGCATTTAATTTAAAGCTGTTCTTTTAACCTTCAAATGTCTTCATGACCTATCGCCTTCATACATCAAAGAACTCTTAACTCCGTATTGTCCCGAACGCATGCTTCGATCATCATCTACCTTACTTTTAGCCCGGACTGATTATAACATGAAGACTTATGGTGCAAGGGCGTTCGCCATCTCCGCCCCTGGACTTTGGAATCATCTACCTGATGACATCAAATCTATTGACAATTTCACAACTTTTAATCAAAGCTTAAGACCTATTTTTTTATCGCTTTCAAAAATTAATTTTTATGTAAATTTCATTTTATTTATTTATTTTTTTTTTACTACCGTGCGTATATTGTGTAAAGCGCATAGAACTGCTGTATATCTGCTATATAAATGTTTATTACTATTATTATTATTATTATATTTACATTATTATTAACAGTTTTCTTGAGAAGTTGTTGTTTCCCCCTGCAAAATTCTCAAGACAAAGATGAGAAAAGCATCGAACGATCACTCTTTCTCAGCACCAAATTATAACTTTTTTCCGAACAATATGGCCCCGCAAGGAAACAGCCCGTGAACTCCATGTAGTCTATTTATAGATTATCATATTAAATTTTAAAAACAAGAATCCTTACCTCAAAATACCAATTTCCCTTCAATACACCTGAAGACAGTAATAACTACATGTGAGTGAAACTAAGTCAGGATGTGCCGCAAATACTAAATTAGAATGGATTACTGCATCTCATTTTACTTCATGACTTAAACCTTGTTTGGTTGCGCGGTGAGGGACATATTTACTTTTGTCTTTCAGGAGTACCAAACTTCTTCGACACGAAGTTGAAAGACACATCAAGACTTGAGGGAAACAAAACTTTACCAGCTGTATAATGCTAAGTGATTTGTAATATAGCCACAAGAAATGGAGTAAACAAGAACACGCTTTTTGTCCCCTCGGTGGAGGACATTTTCGGAGCGTTTGCGTGTTTATCAAGCTCTACCATTGTACCCCACGTAAGGTAATCCTAGACAGTCTTGGATTCTGGATTTCACTCTGTTGATTCCGGATAGATTCCTTGTAAGTGGAACTTGGATTCCGGATTCCTTAAGCTGCATTCTAGATTCCAGAGCTTAGGATTCCAGATTTACCTCACATAGGGCAATTCATTCCAAACGAAACCCAGAAAAGTGCACTCGCAGTCCACAAGTTTTCTGAAGATAATGAACTTATCCTACATAGTATCACATACCATGTGTGGCTCTCAACATACAGTAGCCTTTTTCTCCGGTAACTGACAATCTGTCATCAGATAACTTGAGTTGAGGAGCTGAAATTATTTATTAATTCCAATGTTAGAATTCTAAAGAGCGCAAGCTACGGGAAAACGAGGTTTTGAAACTAAAAGAAAAATAGATTATTCTGCCGAATCAAACCAGTCGCAGAAATTCCAATTAACTGATAAAAACTCAACGCCGGAAAATATACGCACGAGGCGCCAGGAGAGCACGTGTCAGTTTGTTATAAATTTCAAGCCCTGATTGGTTAAGAAAGTGACGCGAGATCTTCTAGCCAATCACAAAGCCAGCTGCCGTTTGCGCTAAAACGAAACTGTTGTAAGAGGGCTGATAAGCAAAGGAGACTGCGGGCGCTTAACACGCTTTCCATTCTGCCCAAAATTCCGGTTAGAAAGCAAATGGATCGGACCGTTGCCCCCAGTATCGCTCTTCTGTATCCTGCTGACAAGTACAATAACCAAACGCGCGGTGACTTGGATCGGTGCTGTGCAACCGGAATGTACCCTTCCAATGGACATGTGGAATTTCCGAAACTTCAAACAAAATAGGAACAAGAGTGTCGCTCGAAAGTTATTCCGACAAGGAGACCTTTTTACGACCAGCAGTTTTATCTCGTTTCCAAAGAAAATTTAGACACCTTTAGATTGTAGACGAGGACGACTACAAGGCAACATTTAACTTTTTCACGTATTCTCAAAAATATCCATCCCGGAAGTGACATTTTCGGAAGCCATTATTGTTTACAAACCTCTGTCATTCATAGAAAGAAGAACTTCTTTGTGGAGTTTGACCCTGTAGAGATCTCCAGGGATTGGTTTGCCAGCCCAAAACTCCATGTCCATGTTTGCCAAAGGGGCATTAGAGTCTTGTTCCGCTAAAATATATCTATAACCATCCTAAAAAAAGGACAAGAATAAAATCGCGTTAAGGGCAAACTGCGCTCTCTTCAACCCCCAACTAACCCCCAGGATCACGACTCGGACGGACCCCTGGCATTTCTTCAATGTTTAATAAGGTTTTGTTTTTATTTTACTAATATCGAAAAAAAATGGCACTTACAGACATCATAATAAAACTACTTAACCATATACATTATTTCGCTATTAAGGTACGCATTACTTTATTTATCATTCGAAGCAAATTTTTCTTTCTTTTCATTGGTCGATACCCCACCACGTGACCTGCAAATAATATTCTGCTCATGCGTAAAGCAAACCGTGCTTTCCTCCTTCTTGCAATTGCTCTTACGTGAAAATGGCAGATCGCTTCGCTTCTCAAGGATATTCATTAAAAAAACAAACTCAGTGATCGAATGGTAAAACAATTATTGAACTCGGTTAACGCAAAATATCGTAATTTGTCAGTGTCCCGCAGATCAATTATTTGCCGAAGCCCAAGTAATTGATCTGCCCGCCAACAGACAAATCACGATATTTTTCTCAACCTCGTCCAATAATTGTTAAATATTTGCATAAAATAATTTGCTAACTGCAACGAGTTGTTAAAGATAGGAGCAACTTTTTATGAACGTTATTGCATGGCTGTTATTTTGAGAGTTTTAATTTTTATGAATGAGAGAGGATAGAATAAGCATAATATGATAGCATAATATGTAACGCATTTCGCAGAATCCTAGTCTGTAGACGTTGTTCAGCAACGTAATCGTTGAGACGATCATCGTTTGAAATAGTGAAAACCGGGACCTTACAAAACGGCTTATTGTCGAACTTAAGCAAAACTGACAGCAAACAGATTGACTGGACAAACCAAAATATTGAATAACGATAACGACCTTTATTAATAAGACAAAAGATGGATCGAAACGCACCACTCATGATCAGTCTTCATAGGCAATAGTGTTACGGCTCAACTGACAGTCGACCATCAGCAACGCGAGTTTGTAGCTGACTAATCAGGGTCAATACACCATCAACTGACGGTACACAAATCACTTTGATAGTCTGACAGTCATTGTCAATAACGGTCCTTTTTAGGACTACAGTCACCCAGACGATCATATTCCACTTATTTCACTCACATATTCTACTTGTTATACCCATGCATATTTTACTTACTTATAAACAAATAGTCATTGAAAACTACAACATCTAAAACTAGCTACGACGCGCAAAAAAGGAGGAAATAATGTAATTAAAAATCTAAACGCAGTTAGATATGATTACAATATTTCAGTTATGTGCATTTTTATTGGCTACGGGAACGCTTCTAATTAGAGCTGCTATTAGATTAATCACTTTTGTATAAAATACTGAATCTTTGTGCGTGTAAAAACGACTTCATTTTGCAAAAAAACTGCTTTCGTTAACGTAGAAGTGGCGTTGCAATTTTGTAAACAACAGCTCTTACTCACGTAGAAGTGATTTTGCCTAATTTCAAACCGAAGAGGGCTGGATACGAGTCCGTTTATTATGGGATAAACAACACGAGAGCCACATAGTCCGAAAATTAGGAAACACCTCACGATTGGTGTCGATCAGCCAATATTGAACAAGATACAGTTTTTTAAATTTGAAAATATATAAGAGATCTATGGATCGCCGGACCGTCGTAAATTTTGGAGTTTTTGAATGGCTCTATCTCGTTCAGAATAGGAATCAAACTTGAAAATTTTCCTAACCTGAATGTGCTCTTTCTGACTATGTGGGTTTCTTGTTGATTACCCCATAGTAAACAGACTCATACCAAGCCCCTCTCGGTTTGAAATTAGGCAATTTGCAGACATTAAAGAGATTTAGAGCCACGTTTACGGCAAACCGCAAACGGCAAACGTCAGATTCAAGCTGAAAATTTTTCAAAATAGCAAATAAGCAAATAAAAAAGTTCTGAACAATTCGAATGTATAAAAATGGCGTGAATTTACTAATTTTTGTGTGAAAAACATGAACAGTAAACAACAACTTGGTCACGTGGTGCAAATCCGCGTTTGCCGTTTGCCGTAAATGTGATTCTATTTTCTCTTTTAGCTTTTCTGCACGTAGAAACGATGTAATTCTGAGAAAAAAGTTTTAATATATGTAGAGGCGACAGCAATTTCCAAATAATGGCTTTTGTACATGCAAAACTGACGTCATTAGGTAAACGCTAGTGCTCAAACCCACAATAGAGCCTTTTCGCAGTAGCAGACAAATTTGGAATTATGTTTGAAAGATCTACACCAAAAATTGTATGGTGACAATTTTTGTTTTGAAAAAAATTGTCCGCACTGGAAACTATTTACTCATAACAGACCGTCACATTAAAACCATCACTTTTTCAACATGTCTCTCCGTTGGTCAAAATTAGGTGATCATTTTCACACTAATAACATGGTGTCACCATTGCTTTGAGCTGTTGCTACATTAATTTCTTGCATTGTTTCTGCACAATTCGCCTGATTTGTAGCTTTGTTTTGATTTCCGTTCTCCATTGATACTCTAGCCTGGTTACGCTGGGGCATCGCATAAAACAATTTTTGCCAGAACCACTTGTCACTGATTCCCACGTAAGTGTTACTGCGCATGTACAGTTTAATTTCGTCATCCAGCTCAGCCACGTCAACGTCATCGAACAGAATAATTATTAGATAATTCATGCGATCTTCTAACACTTTACGATGTGCAGCACGAAACTCCAGCAAGCACCACTCACTCCTTGCAAAGCTGGGAGACAAAACCATCAGCATGCGTTTGCTTTGATCGACGCTTTTTAAAATATTTTCGTCAATCGCTGCTCCACCAATGAAATCGCGGTCTTGAAAGCATATTTTGTAAAAAGGATCTTGCCCTTCCAGTCCCTTGAGTAGAGTGTCGACGACCCACGGTAAATCATCTTTGTGGTAAGATATAAATGCGTCATATATTTTGCTTGGATCGGAATCATCGATTCGATCAAACGGGTGCCAGTTAAAATGAGTGAACATAAAAACCTTAACGTCCCTATGGTACTTGTACAACAATGTCACGAAGATTAGAGTGACAAAGAGAAGCCCTCCAAAAACAGAACAAGTTATGGTTTGAGCGAACTTACTTTGTTCTCGAGGTTTAGTCATTTTAGGACTTTTATTCGAATGATGACAAGTGAAATTTTCAATCGGCAAACTGTATATTGGTTGACCAAGAGCGTTTTCTGACTTGCAAAGCACCTTTTCGACGTCTCTTATCCGAAGTTTGTTGTTCAGAAGCCACTGTTTCATCCATTTGGTTGTACAGTTGCATTTAAACAAGTTTTGATCCAGTGCCAATTCCGTAAAATTCATTGATTCAATTTCCCTGGGTAAACTTGTTAGCTTATTAGAATCAATCAGCAATACTTCCATGATTTGTAGTTTCTGCAGTACGGATGCTTGAAGCTGATCAATTTTGTTATTTGTCAGTTTTAAAACAGTCACATTTGTTAAAAAGGAATACGCTGGAATGTCCTTAATTTCATTGTTTATTAAGTTGAGTTCGATTATACCTTGTGGCATTAAGCTGGGAAATTTTGTGAGATTCCTTTCCTCACAATCAACAATAACAATACCATCCGAACAACGTTCCTGACAGAAGCATTTTGGTGGACAATTTTGCGGAGGACTTTTTCTTGGCATCCACTGATTTTCTCCTAACTCAAGAATCGATTTACCTTTAACTCTATAAGGCCAGTCACATATCCAGGTGTTGAAGCGTGACTTGATTTTAGGATTTGTTTCTAAAGTCTTTCTAACTTCCCTCGCGACAGCCCACATAATGCAATCACAAGCTAATGGATTTCCGCTCAACTTGATATCGTAGGCTTTCCAAAGATAAGCAACCCTGGCTTGACGCGCAGGAGGAATCAATCTGTCCGCTCTTATTTGTTCTAAACCAGCGGAATCTATTAGCGTTCTGATGTTATTGTTGCTCAAATTAAGAACTATGGGTGTTTTTTCAAGTGGATCACTATATATTGGTTGATCAAAATCTTCTAATGCCTTCTCAAGATCTTGAAATGTCAGTTCATTAAATGAAAGATCAATTACTTCAATTTTTATTAACCCAAAAATCCAGGAAGGAAAGGAAGAAAGCTTGTTATTTCCGAGATTAAGCTTGCGTAAACCGGAGTGTTTGGGGAATGGGTTTTGCTCAATTTTTGTGATCTTGTTAGCGTCTAAACGCACAACTTCCAGACTGCGTAGAGAACGAAACAATCCATCAGGAAGAGAAGCGAGATTGTTGTGTTCTAGATGAATTTGCTTGATATTTTCCAATCCTTCAAACAGATTTTGTTCAAGGAATGATAAGTTGTTTTTTCCAACATAAATATTTAACAGGGAACTTAATCCCCGAAATAGATTTTTAGGCAGGGAAGTTAATTTGTTTCTGCCCAGATCAATCGTTTGGATTCCTCTCAAATTAGAAAAACACGTTGGTCCAACGCTTTTTAAGCCATTTCCTTCAACACGTATTATATGCAGGAACCCGCGAAACTCATGAGAGGATAGATCTTCGATTTTATTGTAACTCAAGTCTAAGCCACGGACATATATGTTTTTTGCAACATGGACGTCTTGTTCAATGGAATATTCCGTTTTTCTTAACGCACGAAAGATTTCAAGAGTGGAGTTATTCCAAGGGAACTGCGGTGGCTGAGTCAAGTTGTTATTTTTCAGGTAGAGGTATTGCAACCGAGGCATGGTAGACTTCCATTGTTCCGGAATCCTGCTAATTGACATATTGCTCAAAGTCAGCTCTTCCATACTTAGGAACACATTCTCTGTGTGAGTGAACATGCTGGGTAAATTTTCGGAATGGCTGTTATAAACACGGATCAAAGAAATTTCCTTAAAGACTTTTGCAAAAGTTAGATTTGTAGAGCTGGTCAAGTTTGCCCTACCTGACCAGTCTATCTCACGGAAATCAGTGGCCTCGGCCCAGGCAACAAGACTTGAGGTTATGACTTTGCACTCGCCGGTGAATGCCAGACTTAGTATAATATTCTTGTTAACAACGTTCTGTGGATTTATGAAATAAAGTTGCATCGGAGAAAGGCAACCAAACCCAAAAGAAACAATAATTAATGTGTTGTTCTTGGCGTTCACGTAAGTATTCAAAGCCAAGCCGATGTCAAATGGATACATGACTCCACGTACCTCGCTTTTCAGCCAACAGCCCACTATTCTATCTTTAACAGCAATTCCTTGTTCAGTTTCGAACGTGGGTGCTGCTTTAGCGATAATATGAAACCAGCACGGATTAGTTGCGTTGGTGCCAGTGCAAGTCGTTGCAAAGCAGAGCAAAGTAACAATTAACACAAGGCAGTGTTCAGCCATTTTCTTATCTGGTAAATGCGCCATTGATTTTGCAATCGTTACCTCAATCTAATTATTTTGTAACTAGTAGTTGGGTTCAAAACAAGCGAGCTACTGTGTCGTGTTCTTTCACCGAAGGCACCTTTAACATCAAGAGGTAGAAAAACACGACTGACGAGCCAGCTTTTCTGATACGCGATGCGATGTCTCACCAATAAATAATCACGCGTCCGAACGAGGGTCGAACGTAAAAACTACTGAAGCGCAGTTTGCTTCGATGGCTTATAATGGTGGAAAGAGCCGAGACACGTTAATAATAGACTGTTACGACATTGACAGGCTGCAAAAAGCGCTGAAGTAATTGTTGCGTCTATGAATTAGTTGAATGGTTCACAAAAAGACGACTATAACGAAAACAATACCGCAATAACAGGAATTTATTCCGATAGGTCAGAATTTTATCTCCCCAGAAAGTTATGACTACATATATCTATTCTTAATCCTAGAAATCAACTCATGTGTAATAGTTCGCTGACCTGTGACAAATGTTTTACTTTCCAAAAGGAAGTTGAATCCGTTCAGGAAACTGCTTTCGTTCGGATTGTTTCACAACAGTTCCTTTATTTAGTTTAGTTTTGCTGATTTTTCGCTTTGATTTAAAACTGGGCGTTAGTGAAGAAATTGCTTCTTCATGACAAAATGATAACTTCATGAAACTGGACGGCTGACAGATCCGTTATTATCTTCCTCGATTTTGCCCATCCCTAGCCTTCTTCTTCCTTTGTCGTTCTTATTTTTTTTAGTTCCTCTACTATTTAGGCGAGTAAAACCAACGACCTAGCGACCGCTATACGCCCATGCTGCGAATGAATGTATCCGTAATGCCTACTAATCGAACGACCGAACAGGTGATTTCTCGCTCTACAAGGAGAGGGGTGAATAGGGGTATGCAAATCCGCCGATCCGTTATGATTTAAAATCCGCCGTTAAAATTTTGCCTGAATCCGAAATCCGGGCAAAAATACTTTTATTACGCAAAGTCCAATATCCGGGCCCCCAAAAAGGAAGAATCCGCAATCCGCTGCAACTGCAGGATCCGGAAACCCGTTAAAATCTCGCTTTGAATCCGAAATCCGGGCAAAAATATTTTCAAAATCCGCCGATCCGTTCGCCTATTCACCCCCCTCTACAAGCGACCAGCGCTGTTCCAAGCTAACGCCGCCTTTAATAGCTTGCTTACACCGACAAAATACTGTGTGTCACCGCCGATCTTAAACCAAACTGAATCAAAACTTGGACGGAAGTTATTTTGTTCGTTACCATAACTTGATATACAGTTTTAAATTGTAATACAGAATAACTGACAAACTGCAGTGTTGCCAAGATTATTAGTTCATGAACTTGCACAAAGAATTAAGGTGGCTCCGTCGGTACTGTTTTTCACGATCTATCGAGCGGTTTATAAATTCTTCGCTTACTTGTTAAAGTAGACCAAAATAATGTTTACAAAACCGCTAACAAGCGCGCCCCGAGAAACACTAATCAAATCCTTCTTACTAGCAATCGGCTGGAGCTCTTTCCATGATCTTTCACACACGTTTTTAAAAAGATTGAAACTACTGTGAGGTGAAATTGCAAGTCAAAAGAGCTTCGTTTTCTACAGATCACTACTCTGGTCCCAGAGGTTTTTCTTGATTTTTCTTCGCGAAAGAGATCAAGAGCAAGCCGTGAAGCGGCGACAACGAGTCGCGAAAGCGACGAGGAGAGAGAGAAAAACCTCTGGTTACCTTGGCCTCGAATCTCAATTTCATGCAGACGACAGGGTCAGGATCTGACCCTCGGGCGTTGATTGGTTGATATTTTTTCAAACACGCAAACCAGTTTGATTAGCTTGTTTAATTGTAACTACCGAGGGGACGCTGAGGATTTTCACACCTCATTTCTGAAGGTAAATTTTGCCTCTCTCTACCAGGGAAGAAAATTGTTTGTATACCGCACTCGCAATAACATCTGCACGGGACCAAGGCACGTAAAGGCACGCCATGTTTCACGACTTGGATGTTGTTCCTGAAAGAATATTCGAAGAAATTTTGACCTCGGTTTTGATGAGCGCTTTCCTGAGTCTCACTGAGCAACAAAAGAAAGCTTTGTTCGCCGCCTTGAGTCGAAAGGATGTGTTAACCGGACATGGAAAGTGTATAATATTTCAGTTGTTATACCAGCTGTTTGCAATCTTTCGCCATGCAATAATTTTGGTTGTCTGTCCTCTCAAGTCTCTTGTGGACTCGCATTATCCGCGAACTGCGAAACCGTGGCGTCTCAGCAACCAGTTTAAGCAGTACAGACGTTGACGACCAGAATCTCGTGACTCGATGTATTTACCATTTTCTGTTACAATACTGTCATTCCATTAAATAAACTGACTTTGTTTAGGGCAGCAAAATATAAATCTCCGAATACGGAATGAAAGTTTTCTTGTAGGAAAAAAAAAAATACAACTTTGTACAAGTAGGTAATCATTTTCGGTGCAGCTTTCATTTTCCTGCGACGCTCAATATTTATCATTAAAGATCTAACCAACGTTATTTTTGGCATTGGGTCAACAGAACAGAACAGAACAGATGACAATGTTTGTGAAAAATCCTTGTTATTATTCCCAAAAACGTTGATTTTAGATAGGCAATTTATTTTTACATAAATTCTGCAAATCCTGCAGCAGTCGTTTGGAACAATGTTGGTTTCTTTATAAAGTGGTGTTCTAATTCCTGGACTCTTGTCGCCCATTGTTAACACATGCTTTTAGCTTGACCCCGATTAACAAATCACTCTTTAGCACCCAAATGGAGATGGTTTGTTCATAACATAATTTCCCCAGGTCTACCCCCGGTTAAAAAAATAGCGGCTGATAAGCACGTGTTTGCTAAATTGCCATTGGTCACTCTTTTTATTAGCAATTAGACGCGTTTGACAGCTGTTGTCTGCATGAAAGTGAGATTCGAGGCCAAGGTAACCAGAGGTTTTTCGCTTTCTCCTCGTCGCTTTCGCGACTCGTTGTCGCCGCTTCACGGCTTGCTCTTGATCTCTTTCGCGAAGAAAAATCATGAAAAACCTCTGGGACCAGGGTAACAGATAACGACCGAACATCAAGATTGTCCATTTTTTACCGTATTTCTAACCATAGAAACTTCATCCCAAAATATGTTGATAACGTTCTACCAGATTTCGCTTAAACTTCACGAACATCGAGGCGGCTATTGGAGGAAAAAGGTCCAGTGAACGATTTTGGAAGAACAGTTCCCAGTGCCGAAAAATACTGCTGCAAGTAAAATTAGTAATGGCGTCACTTCGTTGCTACGCCAACTTTGATGTCATCATCTAATAAAATTGTGGTGGCAATTTATCCGAATCTTTGTTTATGGCGACGTAGTTTATGCTCAAACTTGGGAGGTATTGATCCTTAAAAACTGTATCGAGCAACCTTAAAAGTTTTGCTGACAAAAGTTTGCGGTTATTCATCAAAGTACATGCAATAATAATAATAGACTAGCTGTTTCACGATGAACTCACTAGAGATGCAAATCAAGTTTAGCAGAATTTTTCGTTTTTTTAATCATTATACAAAAGTAAATTTATTCATATCACTTGGAAACAAAAGATGAAGAGACAAGAGACCAGCGACACTCAGGTTGCTGTCTTGAGGATAAGGCAGTGTATGACGTAATTGAAATACCCTGGATATGAGATCGTGAGTTGAAATACCGCCAGTAAACATAATGCATTCTCTCTCCGTCACATAAAATTACAGCTTCCAATGTGACTATCTTTTTTGCAACAGTAATATGGTGTCACCATTGCTCTGATCTATCTGGGATTGTATTTCCGGAGTCCTCATAGTTCGTAGCTTGGTTCTGATTTCTGTTCTCCAGTGATTCTCTAGCCTGGTTACGCTGGGGCATCGCGTAATACAATTTTTGCCAGAAATTCTTATCACCGACTCTTACGTATTGTTTAGTGCGCATGTACAGTTTAATTTCGTCATCCAGGTCGGCTACGTCAACGTCATCGAACAGAATAATTATTAGATAATTCATGCGATCTTCTAACACTTTACGATGTGCAGCCCGAAACTCCAGCAAGCACCACTCACTCCTTGCAAAGCTGGGAGACAAAACCATCAGCATGCGTTTGCTTTGATCGACGCTTTTCAAAATGTTTTCTTCAATCGCTGCTCCAACAAGGAAGTCGCGGTGGTGAAAGCATATTTTGTAAGGAGGATCTTGAGTTTCCAGGCCCTTGAGTAGAGTGTCGACGACCCACGGTAAATCATCTTTGCTGTACGATAATAAGGCGTCATATATTTTGCTTGGATCGGAATCATCGATGCGATCAAAAGGGTGCCAGTTAAAATGAGTGAACATAAAAACCTTAACTTCCCTGTGGTACTTGTACAAGAGAGCCACCAATATTAAGATCGTTAAGAGGAGACCGCCAAGAAATGAAGCCATAATGGTTTCTGGAAACTCATTTTCTTCTTCAGAAATGGGCCTTTCGGTAGTCATGTAACAAATGAAATTGTTATTTGGCAAACTGTATATTGCTTGACCAAAAGTGTTTCCTGAGTTGCAAAGCACCTTTTCAATGTTTCGTACGTGATCTCTGTTGTTCAGAAGCCACTGTTTCATCCATTTGGTTGTACAGTCGCATTTAAACAAGTTTTGATCCAGTGACAATTCCGTAAAATTCATTGATTCAATTTCCCGGGGTAAACTTGTTAGCTTATTAGAATCAATCCGCAATACGTTAATAATTCGTAGTTTCTGCAGTACGGATGCTTGAAGATGATCAATTCTGTTATTTGTCAGTTTTAAAACAGTCACATTTGTTAAAAAGGAATACGCTGGAATGTCCTTAATTTCATTGTTTATTAAGTTGAGTTCGATTATACCTTGTGGCATTATACTGGGAAATTTTGTGAGATTCCTTTCCTCACAATCGACGACAACAATACCATCCGAACAACGTTCCTGACAGAAGCATTTTGGTGGACAATTTTGCGGAGGACTTTTTCTTGGCATCCACTGATTTTCTCCTAACTCAAGAATCGATTTACCTTTAACTCTATAAGGCCAGTCACATATCCAGGTGTCGAAACGTGGCCTGATTTTAGGATTTGTTTCTAAAATCTTTCTAACTTCCCTCGCGACAGCCCACATAATGCAATCACAAGCTAATGGATTTCCGGTCAACTTGATAACGTAGGCTTTCCAAAGATAGACAAACTTGGATTGGCGCAAAGGAGGAATCAATCTGTCCACTTTTATTTGTTCTAAACCAGCGGAATCTATTAGCGTGCTGATGTTATTGTTGCTCAAATTAAGAACTGTGGGTGTTTTTTTAAGTGGATCACTATATATTGGTTGATCAAAATCTTCTAATGCCTTCTCAAGATCTTGAAATGTCAGTTCATTAAATGAAAGATCAATTACTTCAATTTTTATTAGCCCAAAAATCCAGGAAGGAAAGGAAGAAAGCTTGTTATTTCCGAGATTAAGCTGGCGTAAACCGGAGTGTTTGAGGAATGGGTTTTGCTCAATTTTTGTGATCTTGTTAGCATCTAAACGCACAACTTCCAGACTGCGAAGAGAACGAAACAATCCATCAGGAAGAGAAGCGAGATTGTTGTGTTCTAGATGAATTCGCTTGATATTTTCCAATCCTTCAAACAGATTTTGTTCAAGGAATGATAAGTGGTTTTTTCCAACATAAATATTTAACAGGGAACTTAATCCCTGAAATAGATTTTTAGGCAGGGAAGTTAATTTGTTTCTGCCCAGATCAATCGTTTGGATTCCTCTCAAATTAGAAAAACACGTTGGTCCAACGCTTTTTAAGCCATTTCCTTCAACACGTATTATATGCAGGAACCCGCGAAACTCATGAGAGGATAGATCTTCGATTTTATTGTAACTCAAGTCTAAGCCACGGACATATATGTTTTTTGCAACATGGACGTCTTGTTCAATGGAATATTCCGTTTTTCTTAACGCACGAAAGATTTCAAGAGTGGAGTTATTCCAAGGGAACTGCGGTGGCTGAGTCAAGTTGTTATTTTTCAGGTAGAGGTATTGCAACCGAGGCATGGTAGACTTCCATTGTTCCGGAACCCTGGAAATTGACATATGGTATAACGCAATTCGTTGCATCTCAGGAAAGATATTCCTTGTATCCGTAAACATGCCTGGTAAATTTTCAACATGGTTGTCAACAGTGATAGCAGAAATTTCTTTAAAGTATTTTGCAACAGTTAAATTGGTTGAGCGAGTGACGCTTAATTTCTTCCCTTGAAAACCTAATACACGTAAATCGGTAAACTTGGCCCACACAACAAGATTTTCCATTAACACTTTGCACTCGCCCTTGAATGACAGACTTAGTATAATATTCTTTTTAACAATGCTCTGAGACAGCGGATTAAAAAATTCAAGTTCCATTGGAGACAAGCAGCTGAACCAGACTGAAGTGTTAATTATAGTCTTGCTCTCAGCATCTATGAAGGTATTTAAAACCCAGCTGATGTCAAAACGATACCTGATTCCACGAACTTGGCTGTTTAGTTTACAAGTTACCACAAAATCCTTTGTGTTAGTTCCTTCTCTAGTCTCGAAACTGGGTGCTTCTTTTTCTATCCGACAAAGATTCGTTCCGTTGACGCAAGAAAACAACGTCGTAAAGCAAAGCAAAGTGGTCATTATCAGCATAACAGTACGTCCTGCCATCACCTTAGAAGTCAGTAAACTCGTCACACAAATTGGTTTTTGCTGTAGCTTTATAAGCTGTGCTCAGGCGAAGTAAGAAGCCCAAATAGCCTTGAATTTTTCTAGCTACACCGAATGTACAGATAACGAGGTAATTATTCCAGTTCGTCGTCACAGTCTCATGAACAATGAACACAGAAAAAAATAACGCGATCTGGCGAGACAAGGACCGCAGAAATTATCTGGTTGCTTTGATAGAAGAGAGTCAAAATAGGCAAACCTTCATGATTCAGACTACACAAGGGGGTAAAAAAAAATGATTGCTTCGTTAAATGAAGCCATTTTAATGATAATAACATCTCCAGGACAGGAAGTTTTCCCGCTTCAATGAAATTTCTAAATTTCTTTACCTCACTTAAAAATAGAACAAAAGTATTTTCAAATCCTTTCAAATCCTTTTAAATTCACTGAAACGTGACAACTATTTTACAATTTGCTTTCCAAACGGAAGTTTTACTCGTTTAGAAAATTTCGTTTGGAAGGTAATTAAATTAACAACTAGTAACAACCAAAGGTTAAGGAGTGCGGGCGACAACGATCGAAGGTAAAAACGCTTTTGATCCATTGCTGTGCTTTGCATAAGTTTCACGTGAGAGTCAAAACACGCGTGATCAAATAACGCGTGATAAAAGGTCAAAACGCGCGTGATCAAATTGCGTGTAAGTCCAAACGAATGCTGGCTACATACAGTACACTGTACATGCGACGCATGCGTAATAACAACCTGGAGATTAGGATTGCGGGCTCCTCTTGTCGCCCCCAATAATAATAATAATAATAAATAATAATAATAATAATAAAATGTCTAAAGATCAAAGACTCAAAAAGATGGTCTGACCCTCAGAACACCTGAGTAGGAGGCTCCAAGAACACCAAAACACAATGAAAACGGTTGAACAACACGAGCAACAAGGCTATGACATAAAATCTACCAACCAGTTAGTGCCAGTCACGATTTGGGGCATGGTAATTTTCATACCATAGTATGGCTTTAAAATCATTAACAAAGGTATGGACTGACCTTGTTAAAAGGATGTTCTAGGGGGTAACCATGTGGAGGAAGCTTCTGAGATGGCGGTAGATCACTAGTGAAGAAGAAAAAATTTTATAGCATCTAATATCAATGTTATAGTCATTCAAACTAGGAATTGTGATGTGAATGTGAGTTAAAGGGAAAAAGAAGGTTAAGAGTCCTTATTTTATGTCAGTAGCTCAAAATAGTCATCTGACTAACAAACCTGTGTCAGACGGTACACTCATTTTACCAACCCCCCTCCCCCCCTCCCCCCTTGCCCTGCCTCACTCCATCAGGCTCCATTTTATGGGTATTTTAAGTTACGTAAAGCTACATGGAAAGGAAGGAAGTCAAAAGAAGGATTTGTGGTCACACCTGGGAATTGAACTTGGGACCTGCCACACAGACAGCCCCGCACTAACCAACTGTGCTATTTATCTTAGCTGCTGCTAGCATTGAAACTGGAAGGTGTTACTAGCAATAAAAGCTACAAATAAACTTGTATGAAGCATGACATGACTGGAAATTGGAGTGCAATAATACCACAATGAAAACATAGAAAAACTTTGATGGTGATTCAAAATAATACCCTGCCATACATTTGGTAAAGTGTAATTTAGGCAAAGTTAAATTGCACGCCAATGCAGTCAGCAGGCTCCTCCTCAGGCATAGGTGATCTGTAGAGTGACCGCAGAAGCCTTTTGCTTATCTTGTGTCTTACGTTGCATCTCATGCTGGCATTTTTGAGCTGATCTTTGCGGACCTGTTGCTTAAGCAAATCTTTGCGAATTCTGGCTCCCAGCCCATCCCTCCCCTTCTGTGCCTTGGTAAGTATGGGGGTCAGGTGAGTATTTTCCACTGAACTCTTTCAGTGTGACGGTGCCAGTTGACGGATGTATGCAGGGGTGGTTCCCGCTCGCAGGGTTGCCGTGGATAACTCCTTGCTATGCCCGAGGTGTTCAGGCTCCTGTCCAACCTCTAAGGCACCAGTTCCCAAGTTCATCTATTGGCAATGAGTTTAATAAATATTTGGTTGGGGCTTTCTATGCATTGCAGTAAGCAGAAACTAATATAAATTCCTTTTTTCTTCAAGAATATAGGAAAGAAGATGAGAATTTTTATAAAATTTAAACTAAAGGATAAACTGAACCACAACATACATGTAGCCACATTTTTCAGTAATGCAGTCCAGAGTTAGTAACCTCTCTAGACAAATGAGAATGGCTTGACTAGCTTCAAAAGGCATTTTCCCGCAAAATTGCCAGGAGTGAATGCGTTAAGATAAAATTAATACTGATCACTATTTGTCTTAATGCTTCTATGATTACAAGATTTATATTTCAACCTCAAACTCATCCTCTTTCCACTTGTTTTTGGCAAGTAATATTACACTTGTTTCCACTCACTGTGCTAGTAAATTTAAAAAGTAAATCTCAAGACCTGCTGGTACTGTATAGCATGCAAATGTAAGCCTAATCATCACAGCCAACATTGTACTAAGTGATTCTTTTATCGGTGAAGAGAACGATAACTCACCCCTTTGATTTCTTAGATGACGACAACTGTTGACTGCTGTCCAGTTTCCGTTTTCCTCGGGCAGATTTTCTCGGCACTGTGCCTGAAGATTCCTTTCCTTTACCAAGTAAACCACTGGTATTCAGACTGCTATTCAAACTGCTTAAGCTGCTACTCAAACTGGAGGTCAGATCATGTTTACCTATGTGTCCGTTACCAGGTAACATGTCTTTGTTCTCAGACACCTGAGCTAAGGCAATCAACAGATCATTGTCTGTCAGACTTCTATCGACTCTCATCTCTGGCTCACTCTCCAAGGCATCATACCCATCCATCTGCAGATAATATACACAAACTAAGATAAGTCCCAAATGAATGCACCTACCTTCAAACTGTTTTAATACTGCACTCTACTTTTATCGTAAACAAAAGAGATGGGATGAGCATGTAGTACAAAAATTATAAATTTTGTTGAGTTTTTATTTTTCTTTCTTCTGAACTTCATGCCCTACTTCGATTACACGTAGCTAACAGTGGGTTGCCTGAAATATTTCCCTTTACCGGTTCATTCTTTTATTTAATCCTTGTAATCTGTTTGATGTGCAATAAACTTGTTGTTGTTGTTATTGTTGTTTACACGCCCACATATACGAAAATACGAGACTGGGGTTCAGGCTGATCAAGTTCTTACTTACCGCGTGCTTAGTGAGAAATCATGAGCATGAAAATGATCTTAAATGTTCTTAAAACTTGTTTCAGAAATGCTATACATTGTACATTCATTCTAGAGGGTTAATTAACATGTAATGTTTTATTACTTACACTAAAAGTAAATTTCAAATAAGAATAAGTAAATATTATCAATAATAATAACAATAAAAATAATAATAATATAATTTTACATTAACTTTTAATTATCAAAAACTCAACATCAAGTTATAAAGGACTTTCAGGGCTGTCAACCCCCAATGTCTTTATTGAGAATTTACAGGGACGGAATGATAAATGACCTGGTATTGCACGGCATATTTGTGCAAAAAATACTCAGACATTGACCTCCATCGACATATATACAATATAAACAGATCATATTTAGCCACATTATTGCCTAAATTACAATGGCATACTGAAGTTTATGAGGAAAAGCTCCATGTTAACAGTAAAATAGCTCAAACAATGCATGCAAAATATTTCAAATTTACAGTCAGAAATTTCAGTGCACAAGAATTAGCAAACTTTGGTGATTATCAGGGAGATTTCAGACTCTGATCTAGAAACAGGAAGATACGGTTTAAAATCTGGAGTCTCCCGGATTATCCAGGAGAGTTGGCAGCACTGTAGTTTTCACATTTCATAACTTTTCTTAGTTCTGCAGACCAGCAACCGATGCCTCACCCCTAGGTTCTAATCCTAGCATCCTCTTTCAATTTGCAAGTTGTTGGTGTTTTTTGGTGTTGCAGAAATCATAGTTGGTTTGCAAGTTGTTGTATTATGTAAATGTTTTAGTTGAAATGACATTAGATCAAGCGTGCTACTTTTATGTGAACATTAGAAATATTGTCTTTTAAAACAAAGAAAACGTATCAGGGATAATAAAAGGTGTGTCTGCAGATGTGGACAGTGATTTTTAGGCAATTATAAACAGTCAGTAATTTCTAAATGCTACAAATTTAGTCCACTAAAAGAAAAATAGGAAATTCCAGGGGGGGTGGGGGTGTTATATAAGACCCCTCTGGAACGGAAACTCCGAGGTGGAAGGTAGGGGGGGGGTTCTAATCTGAAAGACCATTCTTGGGGGGTATGAGTATTTTGTGGAATCACACAATGTCTTCAGTCGTTTCAATAATGTGTTAGATTAGTTCCCTAAAACTATCTAATTAGCCATTTTTCAGACAAGTTTCACTCATGGTTTACGACCAACAAGTATGATCAACATGTGTTATAAAATTTGTTACATACTCAGTTTATATAAAAGTTACTTGACAACAAATTGAACAGTTAAGCTTTTTGACAAACCAAAAGAAAACTTTTTGCTTGGTACCTGATCAAAAATTATAGTACAGCACTTTTCTCTAAGCATCCCAATAAACAACACACAAAAGTCTGCAGTCAATCTCTTGTGTTTACTTGCGAAACAGTCAAACCCTGTTAATACGATGAGGTGTCCTTATCACGCGGGTAAAGCGGGGTCTGATTGTACTTGCAATAGTATTTTCAGTAAGTGAATGAATTTCATGTTATTAAATGCGATGACTTCCACAGATAAAACAGAAGCGAAATTTCATTGTTTATTCTCAACGACGACGGCGTGAAAAAAACATCGTGCATATCGAGTAAAAATCTTACTCCACAGAGGAAATTTTGTTCATCTTAACTAACTTACGAGATGGGCGTTTATAGCGAAACGATCATTTTAACGTTAGCAAAGAGGAGATGTAAGCAAGACGTCTTATATAACGGTAGTAAACTAAGTTAACACTTCAACTCGTTGGCGAGATCACCGACGGACGATCACCGTCGGACCATACAGAAAGAAACGAATTAGAAACTTTAGAATACCCTACTCTTCAAAAATCCTTTTTAAGTAGAACCGCTTTAAAGACGTTTACCTTTTCATTTTCATCGTCTGCTGCGAAATCACTCGCCGATTCGGCTCGTTCTTCGGAAAAGTTCTCCATTTCTACGTCTTCGTCCGCCATGTTTGATTCTTTGTTTCCACGCAAAGGAGCCTGGGTAGAAACCTGTTCCTAGGGCCTTCGCGTTCGCGGCTTCCCAGAAAAACGGTGGGGTTAACGGTGGGGACAACATGGCTGTTGCGCGTGCATGTTGGGAAACATTCGTACCTCTCCGCAACTAGACTGCTTGCATTTCGCCTTTTCTCTGAAAATCCATCTAGTTCTTATCCCTGCCAGCGCGATTGCAAACCACGACGCTATGTTAGAAGGAATTGGGACCAGACGGGAAAAGACGCCCTCGCTTATCGCGCGCCGCTGGCGTGCTTGGGTTTCGCGTGCAGTAACTTTGCAAAGAAAAATAAGACACTGCTCGCAGTCTACTCCGCAACAGCCACCTTGGGGTGGAGAGGTGGCCATGTGAGAGTGTAACATGACAAATTCTTTTTAGGGAGCACACCCGGGGGAGGACTCCGCATATGAAAGGGGTGGGGATGCTCGTCGGAAATTTTGAATTAAACCCCTAAAGGAGACCGATCAGGGCGTGGCCCAAGCTTTTTTTGATCCCTGAGAGAGACCATGTTAAAACACAGACAAATGAGAAAACTTGGATTATATGAATGGAGTAAATAAAACGAATTAAAAATATATATTTTTATATTTTTTCGCGTGCAACCCTAAACGAGACCTCCACGGCTAAATATGATGGCGTTTTGCCCAGAACACCCTAAATGAGACCAAAATCCGAAATTTACACCCCTAAGAGAGACGACGAGCATCCCCACCACTTTCATATGCGGAGTCTCCCCCCCGGGGGAGCACAACATATCATGTTTATTCATTTATTGTGCCCAGTTCATGCCTACTGGGGCCATAATAGGAATCCAATCATAAACGATAGAAAGAGATAGAAGACACAAAAAACTTAAATAATGTTTTGAATCAAAATTTTAACATGACCAAACGATCAAGGCTCGCAACATTTGTTATAAGTATTGTAGACAATTTATGCTTACTGCAGCAGAATAAATGGAACGCCAATCAAATCATCAATATGGATCAAATTTCGCGACCATTCCCGACTTTTTCGTCAGTCGCTGAAAAAACTGGCTGTTGTCGAGAGGTCATTTTAGTAGTTAGGGATGCACAAAAACGCTGTAGTGGCCGTTGCCGTTGCAGCAAGGTGCAGGTTTAAACAAGAATCAATGTATGGACTTAGCTTTTCCTAGCCCTTGATGACGACTAGTTTTGTCAAGTCGAAATATTGGGCAAATAAATTTGTAAATTACACCCCAACCCTTAGCTGTACGATCAGCCTTGCCTTTAATTTTAAATGTATGAAATGCCCGCCGGGAAGAGAATAAGTGGCCGTTGTAGGGAGGTAGCCGTTAGTGGAGTTTCGAGTGTACTTTTAAAAAGGCCTTTATCTATTTTTTTCTGTTCAAATGTATTGCTTGATACATTACCGTTCCGCTGTTGAGTAACTGAACTTTTTGAACATCTTTTAATAACGTTCAACGAAAATAAGCTTACCATTTCGCGAATTGAAAATAGAAAACAGTGACACTGATGCGTCTCGATACATTAACGGACCGTCCAATCAGCGCTTATGACCACATTCCGAACAGATATTACGTCATCAGTATGAAATGTCTGTCGCTGAGTCGCTTGCCTGTTCCAGGCTCCGAGATAGTCGGGCCCGCTGGATTGAGAAAATAAAACGAGAGGAAGCTGCCCCACCAACTTTTCGCGTGCCTTTTACTGTCGCGTCTTCCCCACTATCTGAGAACCTGGAACAGGCTACTGAGTCGCAGACGTTCCTCCTCGCGAAACGCGCCTCAGAGGCGATGAGCGAGGAGGAACGTCTGTTTTCGCAGTAATACTCTTTGTATTAGTCTTTCCTTTATGGTTCCTGAATGGACAATGTCGAGAAGATTCCAAAATATATAAAATTTCAGCAAGTCCACAGCAACAAACCGTGTGGTGCCGGACCTCCCAGTTGTAGACCTGGATCAGTACAATTAAACTTGTAGAAAAATATGAAACGGCAAACTGATCCTTACGGCAAGGCGATGAAGAAGTAAACAAAAGAATAAAACAAAAAAAATATTTTTTGGGCAATTTGTTTAAAAATATATATTTTTTGTTTTATTCTTTTGTTTCTTCATCGCCTTGTCGGGGATCAGTTTGCCGTTCATATTTTTCTACAATATCGAGAAGCCTGGAATGAGAAAGGTAGGTAACTCATATATGATTATTATAGTGTGCCGAGATATATTGCCTTTAAGGTAGAGTGTCTTGGCCTTCTTTAGTTACTTGGCGTGCTTGAGTTACTTAGCTAAAGAAAATATATGTCGGTACACTGTAATAATCATATATGAATTACAAACCATAAGAAATTGTGAAGCTGCTGGTAGGCCCCTAGGAATAACGCGGGCGCCATTCCGCGCAAAGGAAAACATTTTTGTACGGGGCTGGGTGCTTGAAGGTGTGGACGTTTCCGAATAGTTCTGCTAGTTCCTGTTCTGTATTTTACGTTGTTTCTGCCACCTACGAAGAGTAATACTCCTGTAGGGACATTCAAAATGCCTGTTTTCCACACTAAAATTATCGAAACGATCTTGGAGCCCGTAGCCCAACAGGTAGGAGGTGATTTAACAGACAGACGAGTATCCTACGTTCAGATATTAACTGTGTCTAATTATTCTAACTGTTATTTGTGCAGTATTTTATACAGATGCTCGTTTGTTTTAGCACCATTGTCTGTTTTCCTTAGCTTTTTCGCGCAGCTGTCTGATACCAAAGCTTTCAACCTGGGGTCTTGAGTTTAAATTTTTAGTGGACAGATTTTGTAAACACTGTCTAGATCTTAAATTCCAGAACATGACTGAAGAGTGAAAAAAAAATCCCACATTGATTTTACGATGTTTGTGGACGATCGATCTCAAAGGAGGGTTTACTTTTTTATATGAGGCACTACTGGTTGTAGTTCCGCTGAAAGCTTCGAGAGGCTTTCAATATTTTTTTTCCAGTTTACGAGTTTTGCATACAGGCTCTTGTAGAGTCTTTTGTTATGTAAAATAAACAATATGAAAGGGCAGTTGACTGTTCTTTTACTCCTGACTAAAAAGTAAACATTAATTTTTTACTCTGGAAAGGGATAATCGCTGCACATAGTTAACAGTTTTGAAGTAAGAACCTTGAAAATTTATATTTACTTCCCTGCTTCTGTTAAATATTTTGTTAAAATAAGCTTGCATGTTTTGAAATTCAAGTTAGCTGAGTGATATTTTTAGTTACAGTCGTTAGTGTCTGTGCATAGTGGAAAAATGTCAAGGAGCTAGACAGGAAAAAATATGGGATGTATTTTTTTTTAAAAAATTGAAATAAGTTTTTTTAAATAACATTTATTCAGCAAATATAGGTGGATGGGTGGGTTTAAGTAATGCAAGTCTTATTACAGGCTTTAAGTTACTTTTATATTGGTCAATGAGTTATCAGTTTTATATGTGAGGAGTTTAATAGTGTCCAAGTCTTGTTTTCATGTATATTCCCATACTTTGATATGCACGGAATACCCCATGGAAAATCGATGATCAGAAAACCTGATACTTCCAAGGAGGTGTCAAATTAATGCAGTTTAACTTTTTGGGAAATTGGTCAGTATTTCAGTTGGCAGTCAATGGTGCAGTGGAGATCTGCAAAATTGTTTGTTTTTGAGAAATAGATGAATTTTTAACGGAGAAATCACCCCACATAATAAACTGATTATTGGGGTCCCTGTATCCCCATCTTGACCCCTGTCCGGTTACACTGTTTTGCATGAAAGCATCATTGTTTTTGCTTCCACTATTATATGAGGTTATGTTTGCATCAGTTGTCTACCTGATTGCAAGTAGAGTTTTGTTTGCATATGTTACAGGTCAAAATTATATTCACTAGGTTGATTCTCAATTTCCTTGATATCCTTGCCTTAATTCATGAATAATCAAGGCTAGGAGACAAGGGAAATTGAGAATCAACCTAGGTTAAAACATTTTAGCCCGAATTTAATTTTGACCTGTGATAATACTATGTGACTGTGTCGTGCCATGATTATTTTTCTAATGTCTGCACTGCTTGGTTATTCTTAAGGTTTCCACACTAGTTATCCTTCATGAAGAAGCTGAAGATGGCAAAGCAATGCCTGATTTGGCATTACCAGTGCAAGCTGTTGGCACAGCTGTTCAGAATCTTGTCAAGGTTTGTATTGATGTAAATCGTCCCTTAAAAATGAGATTTCAAAAGTAGCAACTCTTCTTCGATGAATGCACCGTTGACATAATTCGAGGAAGGTGATTATTTCACTGGAAGTCGTTCCCTAAACATTTTGTTTTATTTTCCAATTAAATAAAAAATGATAACATCAAATGAACTGAACATGGGCTTTTTAAGTGTTCCAACAAATCAGTTTTCAGAGTTTGAATTGTGACTGATCAGTTTTGCTGGATCACATTGCACCTCAATTTGACAGGGAGGCGGTAAAAGACGGCGAGAGGGGCGGTGGGTGGGTGGTGGGTCGATTATTCCTATGCTATTAATAGAGGTACATGAAGAACTGTTAGTGTTAGACAACATGGAGCATAATATCTCTTAACTTAGAAATTGCATTCAGTTACATCTCTTTTAAACCTCTCCTGGGTAAGGACCTGCTGTGGTTTGATTCTTAGCCCCTGTAAGCGACTCACTGAAACTCCTCTAGCCTGCGAGCAAGCTCTCCTATTTGGGCGAGCGGCCGGCGAATGCAACCATCCCTTACAAATTTTCATTTGTACTTCGCCCAGACGAAGGGAAATACCATTGGCTGAAAAATGATGTTCCGGAAATCAAAGTTGATTAATAACAGGCCAAGCTGGCACCTGCTTCGTCTGTGTGTCAAATTGGTTCTCAGGGGGATCAGATTGGTACCGAGAACTTGTTTCAGCCCTCAATGCAGATGGGGTCGTTTGATGTCATTCTCGCAAAGAGAATATTGCGTGCTGAGGATAAGTCGGACCGAGTTTGTAGTTCTTGTGGAAGGACAATAAAAACACTTCATCAGTTGTATTCATTTGTGTCGAGCACCTTTTTTTAGTTCTGAAAACCAGGAGAGTGAAAGTGAAGAGTGATTAAAGCGCTGTATTCCAACATCGGTTTCTTCGCCCGATTGAATTCTGCTGGGTAGAAAAATTCAGAAACATGTACTTGACAGAGTAGCTGTGTAGCTTGACCGTAAAGAAGGAAAAGAGAAAGAGGTGGAAGCAACTGGAGTAAACCTTAAGAGGACCAAGTGCAGGAAAACGCTATTCTCCAGTTCCAGACGGACAAATATGTGAATTTTGCGATGGGGAGTAGTCTTCTACACTGCAGTATGGACGACTTTTCAAAAGTAAATGAAACGAGAATCAAAGTAGTGAGTTCTTATCCGAGCGGACACATTGAAGTTCGATGTCCCCATTAAAAAAAAACATATCAGTGATTAAAAACATTGCCTTGATGCTGTGCGAAAGCGATCTATAAAAAAATAATTCTACGCACCCTCGGCTGTCTAAACTTACTTGACAGGCGGTTGTCACTTTTCTAATCTGCAGCATGCTTGTGGTGACAGTTTTCACGCTTTGCGGAGTCCCGGGGTTTCTGGGGTGGAAATGAAAATTTATAAGAGATCATTGCAAGCTCTCCTTTCCTCGGCCCCTCGCTCACGCGTTTGCAAGGCTCGCTTCGCTTGCCCAAATAGGAGAGCTTGCTCGCAGGCTAAAACTCCTCATTTTGGGTGGTCGCTTACGTGAGGTTCACCTTTATTTGTTTCAACATTGTAATCTCCTTTTTCTCTCCAGGTGGGTAAAGAAACAGCAGCATCCAGTAAAGATGAAATTCTCAAACAAGAAATGCCGCTTGCTTTTAAAAGAGTGGAAGAGTCCTCTATTCTTTTAGTGGAAGCATCTCAAATTTTACGACAAGATCCTTACTCATCCACTGCTCGTAAGAAGTTAATTGATGGTGCTCGCGGTAAGTGATCCTACATATAAGTTACTGGTACTTTCTATTTCAATAATGGACTCCACCAGTCTCCCACAGATCACAAAAAGCCCAGAAAATTGTTGTTGAAAATTTTTTTCCCTTATCAGTCTGTTGAGCTTCATGGTTTATGATTGAGTCTAGTTATTGTTCCTCTGTAAGGATCAACTTTTATATGTTATTTATGTTGATGGACATTATAGAAATTAACTACATTTTAAAACTGCTGTAGTTGTAAATTCTTGTCCCCTTGATGTTCATCCTTATTATTTCAGGCATTCTTTCGGGAACATCAGCATTGCTGCTGACATTTGATGAAGCAGAGGTGAGAAAAATTCTAAAAGTTTGCCGAGGAGTTCTAGAATACTTATCTGTTGCTGAAATTGTGGAAAGTATGGAGGAACTTGTCACATTTGTGAAGAATCTAACACCAGGAATAACTGAAATGGCAAAAAAGGTTGAAGCTAGAATTGATGAGCTGACACATCAGGTACATGCTGAAATGCTGAAGAAATCCATCACTACTGTAAAGGCAATGACAACTCAGCTGATCACTTCAATCAAGACTTATGTTCTGACTGTGCAAAGAGGTAAATTTAAAGTCTTTTTAATTTAATAATTAAACTACAAATAAAAAAAATTAAATTGAATTAAATACCTGTTGTCAATCAGGTCATATTTACCATACTGTGTACTTGAACAATTATTCTTTTGTTGAAAAACCTTGAGTTGGTGCTGAATATCTCAACAGGACAGTGTTTCATTACTTTTAAAGTATTCAGGGTGCTATGTTGATCTTCAGTACAATGGTGAATAGTGCTTTTAAAATTCAATTTCACTGATTTCGCCTGGTAGTTTCCAATTTTATTTCCAGACAAGCCCTCTGATGTATTTTAGGGCAATACCCATTTATGAGCCCCCAGTGGCTTTTACTTACGTGGTCGCTTAAGAAGATGGTTTGTGTTGCATTTCTAATTATTCGGCAGGGCTTAGAAATGTATAATGTGTCACTTTATGGTGTTAGCTTTTGGGTGAGTGTGTGAAATAAAAAATCAAGTCGTGACTAGCTGAATTTTAAAAATAGATCATCACATCTCTGAAAGAAGTTCCCTATTTTTTTAAGTTTTATGTCATTTTTAGTGATGACTGCCTGCCATTAAATTTTGTTCCATAATGTGCAGTGGCTTTCAACATGGGATAAACATAAAGTGTTGAAAATGACATCCTGGCAGTGGGTATCACTGAATAGATGCAATAAAAAAATGTTCTTTACTGCAGGAGGGCAAAACATTGCAGAGGCACAAGAATACAGGAATTTTGTTGTTGGCAAGATGTGTTTTGAGATCAGTGAAATTATCCGAGTATTGCAGTACACCACATATGAAGAGGAAGGTGGAGATGATCCTTTGAATGATATGAAAAAAGCTGCATCTCTTTTTGACAGCAACTTGGGTCCTGCCATGAAATGGGTTACCACACCCACTGAATCAGCTGGTGGATTAGGTAGGTCCAAAAATGTTGATTAACATCATTGCAAAAGTTAATGGTAAAAATCTGTTTTCCCTGATAGATATCCCTCTTGTTATAAACATTTTATCTTTGCATTATTTTATATACTGTGCTTTGCTTTCTTTTCAGCATTGTGTAAAATTTATTGAATGTTATGTTTATTGCCACATTGCCATTTTTTATTCAGATGTTAAAGTAACTAATATTGCAAAAAAACCAGTGGTTTCCTCGTGACTAGATTTTACTATTTACTTGCGAAAAATGTGAAACTGATAAATTTGCTTTAATTGTTTTAAATGACACTGTACTCTCTGTGAGAGTAGTACCTATCCACAATCAGATGTAATTGTCATAAAACAAACTCAGGTACAGTGTACTCAAGGTAAGGTGTAGCTAGGAAGAGACAAGATAGGGGCTTTGCCTTGTCTAGATTTAACCTTAAAAAAATAAAATAACCATTCATTTGGAAAAAATTACTTTGCTTTTTCTCAAGAAATACCTGAAAAAAGCTGGAAATAGCATTCAGAGCTTTTAGATTTCAAAATTTGTTGGGGGACTTACCTCCAGTTTTTCCTAGTGGTTGGCACATTATTTTGGTGATAACAGATCTTGCCTAATCAGTATGCAAAAAGTCTGCATGGCTATAACCTTGGTCATTACTGCTTTTCTAGTTTTCTTGAATCTTGACACAAGTGCCATGTAATTTTGAACTTAGGTGAGAAGGCTGTGAGGGAGTGTATTGCACAAGGTCGAAAATTTGCTGATGCATGTCAAGGACCTGACAAAGGAAGAATAAGGAAAGTGTGCGATGATCTTGATAGACTGATGGGTGATTTGGCACAGCTTAGAAAGCTGGGCAAGGTTTGTAGAAAGTCATATAAATTTATCTCAACGGACAGTTATCTGGAAACAATGCTTACAAGAAATCTTCATATTATGTGTGGTTATTAAGGTCTACTGTAAGGCAAATTTGCCTGCTGCAAATGCACTGAAATATGAGATGTACTGTACTTTTGATAAACCTATAATGATTCATGTTATTATATAGGTACATCAAACCTCTTAGCTGTTTACAAGATAGAGATGCGGGTATAATTAGCATGATTTAGTTACTGTAATTTTAACTTATAGAAGCTCGTGAAGGGCCCAGACATGTACAACTTGATTACAATGCGACTGAACTTGGTGTCACCTCAAGTAACCAAGGAAATGTCATGTTTTTCATCCAAAGGGTACAACTCCTGAAGGCCAAAGACTAAACAAAGAGGTAGCTCAGCGGTTGGAAGATTTGAATTCTCAAATGCAGGATGCAATACTGGTTCAAGAACAGTCAGGTGTGCGTAGACCAGCAAACACATTTGCTGGAAAAATGGATCAGGTGCATCAGTGGATGAACAACCCCTCCTCAGACCCTTCTGGCTTAGGTAGGTGTCCAATTCAATGTGTGTGTCAGTGTGTGGGTATCCCGCCCTCTTTATACTATTGTATCTAGATCTGTGTGATGGATGCCTGTTCTCCCTTATGTTTGAAGGGTTATTGCTGGGCTGCATCAGACCCTTCTGGCTTAAGTGGGTGTCCAAGTCAATGTGTGTTAGTGGGTGGGTGTCCCTCCCTCTTTCTGACATTTAGTGTGTTTGATGGGCACCTGTCCTCCTTGATGTTAGAGATCTTATGGCTGGGATGTGCCAGGATTTGCCAGGCTTGGGGGCTGGTGAGATGAGGGGTTAGTCTCAATCTAGGAGCTGGTTGCCATGTCGCATAAAACCATTGATCTGCCATTTAGCAATGCAGTTGTTAACAATGACCATGTTTATTAGTATCTTAAATGTTTATGCATTCAACAAGAATTCATTACTGGAATTTTATATGCAATACCGTTTTTTTCACTTGGGAATTGGATGTGTTATTCTTTGGCAGGTGAAAGGGCCATACGTGAATGCATTGACCAGGGGCGAGCAATCGCGGACAAGTGCTCCGGGCCAGAGAGGAGTGCCATTCTGCAACTTTGTGATGAACTTGATGACCTAACTAATGAAATTGCTGAAATGATGAGAAGAGGAATGGTAAGAATAAATTATATGCATAGTTGGAATATGAAATGTCAATTCATAACCTGTGATAATTAGCTTGACAATTTTCTCTTCTAGCTTCTCAGTAATTGTTAAATACTTGTTACATAATCTATGCATAGTATGAAGAAACTTGGAATGTTAAAATACCCTTCACAGAAAATGGAAGATACACATCCAAAAAGTCCTGGAGGAAGTCCTCAGTTGCTACAGATGTAGGTTGCTGTAGCTTCATTGAAAATTCTGCAGGCAAACCTCTTATTTGAGTTGATCTTGAACAGACTGAAACTTTGAACATCCACCCCAACTGTAAAGCAATGATGTAGAGTGCTATGGAACACAGCTGTGCCCTAAGGAAAATTCTTGCAAGCTCAAATCAATGCTCTGAACCTGAAAAGTCCAGGCGTATGATTTTTATTTAAACTCATCACCAATAGATGAGCTTGGGCGTTGGTGCCTTCAAAGTTGGTGGAGCCGGGCAATCCTCTAGCATGAGAAGGAGGTATCCATGGCAGCCCCTCTGAGCAGCCCCCACCAGGCACCATCACACTGAACAATTCAGTGGAATACTTACCGACCCAATACTTACCTAGCCCACACCAAGAGGGAGTGAGGGATGGGAAAAACCAAAGCACAAACTGGCACGCAAACAGCAAGCAATTGCAACAACACTTTGCAAAGAACTGCAAGCAAGCAACTGCGTATATAAGTCACGAGGTGCCCCTGCTAGAGGCATCGGGCCACCCCTACTATAGCTGGGGAAACAGCTGACCAGCAATGCTTCGAGGTTAACTTTGCCTAAATTATATTTAGCCAAATGCAAAAACTGAGCACTGAAAAGTAAGATGCTATTGGCCACAGTCACTGTAATAGAGCACAGCCTTATGAAAGGCCATAACCAAAAGCCACAGAAAAAAAAAATGTTACATTCATTAGTAAGGTAAACTTTTCATTGTCATCATAATTATTATCACCATCATCGGTCAACTGTGTTACTGTTGGTTACAGGCTTTTGCTTTTGCTTTTGCTTTGAATCGAAACCCACCAACCATGAGCGAGGTTCGTGATACACTAATCACTAACAACCACGGTGGTACAAATAATCTGACTCAGGAAGTTGACACTATCACCTGATTAAAACCTGCAGTGTACGGTCAAAACGTTGCAATCAATATCAAAGTGACAATCATGAGACAAATGATAAACTAAACCCTTTATGTTTCTGTTGTGTCATATGGACACCAGACCTTTTCTGGCAATGGTGGGAGAGCTTCATTGAACAACCACAAAAGATCAGCTTTGATGCTCCACTGTGGCAAAACGAGACCTTCAAGCTAGTATAATAACACCTTACCAGAATTTTTCTTTGTTTCTTTGTAGGGTAACTCTCCACAAGCAGCTGCCATTGCACAAAAGATTGAAAAGAAGTTAGAAGAACTGAATAACAAACTACAAAATGGAGTTATTGCTCAGGTTGCAGAAGATTTTATGGACACAACAACAAACTTGAAGCAGCTGGAGAAAGCTGCAAGAGCCCCACCTGGTAATGGCCTAAATTACAGTAAATATGTAAAATTCCTGTAAATTAAGTGGTAAATTAGATAATTGGTAAAAAATAGCTTTGTTTGATGTTTAGATCCCTCCTCCAATAAAAGGAAATTAACAACACAAACACATATCAGTTGTAATATTATTATAGTAGTGTTCCTGAAACCCAGAGGCCACTACTGCTGTCTTCAGCTGTGTGATCACTTAGTGCCAAAAGTCTTATGTTTAACCTGCAGGGAGTATTTTGCTCTGATGTTTACACTTAACTATGAAAAGGACACTTCCCTGAAAAGGTCACCAAAAATTTTTTCAACTGTTTGTCAGTCCTTTTTTACTATGCAGACACTTGTTAAGACAGAAACATAGTGTCAATAATAGTGTCCCTTTTAGAAAGAGTTGACTTTATATATTTCTGTTCATGCTGTAGATGTGCCCGGACGTGAAGCTGAGTTTGAAAGCAAAGCAGGAGCTTTTGAACATCAGGCAAATCAGATAGCTGATACGGCCATTCAACTGGCTAATGCTGGTGGAAATACTAACAAAAGACTTCTGGATCAGATACGCCAAAATGCTGACGAAGTGAGTATAAATCTGAACTAATCTAATCAATGAACTTTGTGAAAAAGATATTGTTTTTATGTCTCTTCTTTAGTCCACAGATGTCAGTATCATTCGTCTCATGTTCTTGTCCCTCATTTCATATACTATTTTCGTGGAAAATTAAACTGACACTACGTCAAATACAACTTTTGTTCATTTCTTTGTAGTTTTGGCTGCATACCTGCAGCAGTGCAGACAAAATATAGTTGTTATTTGTTTGCCTGTGGGAAAAAAAGCATCAAAGCATTTGCTTCACTTGCGTTACTGGAACTCTTGCTGTTAACAGTAATCAGTTGATTTTGTAGAACAGCAACTGAAGGTAACTCCAGATTTCGGCATATTAAAGGAGAGTCTGTTGAGGCCCTGCTAGGATACAATTCTGACAAGCCGACAGGCAACATGGCCGTGACACTTGTAAAAAAAGAGCTGAAACTGTTACAGTGACGATACCACAACGACATGGCTTTCTCCTTTGCTGATTTCTTTAGTGCCAAGATTGTGCGAATTCGTGATGAGTTGCTGGCTAGAAAAGAGCAGCTGGGGGAGCGCACCATGGAAGATTCTGAGTGTACGTCATGCTTTAGCGAGTTCACAATGGTAACAGATGAAGACGTCTTAGGGTTGATTAGGGGTTCAACTATTAAGGCATGCGCACTGGATCCACTTCCAGCGAGCATCATGCGGAAATGCTATTCTAGTCTTGTCCCTATATTTAGAAGGGTCATTAATTTGTCATTGTCATCTGGATTGCTGCCCAAGGAACTTAAGGTGGCGCTGCTATCACCTATTCTTAAGAAATTAAATGCAGACTTTGAGCAGTTTAGTAATTTTCGCCCTGTATCAAATTTAAAGTTCCTGTCTAAATTGATAGAGAAAGCAGTGTTTGTGCAATTGAATAGCTATCTTGGCGAAAATGATCTACACGAGCCTCTTCAATCAGCGTACAAGATTTTTCACAGCACCGAGACTGCACTTCTCACAGTTACAAATGACATTATGCTGTCATTGGATAAGGGTGAGAATGTTTTCCTCGTTTTATTGGATCTGTCGGCAGCATTTGATACCGTTAACCATTCCTTGCTGCTGGCACGACTGCAGAAATCATTTGGTATCAGAGGAACTGTACTGCAATGGTTCGATTCTTATCTTTCTCAAAGAACTCAGTTTGTAAACATCAATGAGGCGAATTCTACGGTACGAGATCTTCCCGTGGGTGTTCCCCAAGGTTCTGTTCTTGGACCTGTTCTCTACCTTCTGTATACTGCGCCACTTGCTAAAGTGATAAGATCTTATGGCTTAGATTATCATCTATTCGCCGACGATACTCAGTTATACTTTGCATTCAAATCGGTGGATGTGGACGCTGCTAAATCGAGGGTCGAGAACTGCATTTCTGCAATATGTCGCTGGATGGATCTCAACGAATTGAAGCTAAACCACGACAAGACGGAGGTCATGCTTATCCACTCAAAGCATCGTCCCTCTCCATCCTTTCAGTCCTTATGTGTTGGTGACGAGAGCGTGGCTGCCTCTCAGTCGGCTAGGAGTCTTGGTGTTATCTTTGATGAGTACATGTCTTTTCATGCACATGTGTCTAGCATCTGTAGATCATCATTTTATCATCTCAGGAACCTATCTAGAATTAGGAAGTATTTCACTAAAGAATCAGCAGAAGTTGCTGTTCATGCATTTGTCACATCGAAACTAGATTACTGTAATCCATTATTATACGGCCTACCTAAGTATCAGTTACAAAGATTGCAGTATGTACAAAACACGGCGGCTAGAGTTGTGTTGCAAGTGAGTAAGTTTCAGCATATCACACCTGTTTTGTGTGCGCTTCACTGGCTACCGATTCAATATCGTATTATTTTCAAGATTCTGCTCGTCGTGTATAAATCACTGAATGGGACATCGCCTAGCTATTTAGCTCAAAAACTACATTATCGTCCTCATTCTAGATCATTGAGGTCTGTTAGTAATGAACTTTTAATGCAACCTAGATCGTATACCAAGACCTACGGAGATAGAGCATTCGCTGTTCATGCACCAAGAGAATGGAACTTAATACCCTATGAAATTCGGAAGTCCAACACCATCTCGAGTTTTAAAAGATCACTTAAGACGTACTTGTTTACTAAATTCAGTGATAACGGATCATTGTTTTTATAAATTTGTATATATTGCGTTAGTTTTAATTTTTTCCCTTTTTTTTATCATTATGAATATGGTTTAATAGTTGTTTTAGTTTCAATTTTTCCTTTTTTATCCATTGTAAATATATTAGGATATGGTCGTAAATTTGTAAATATTTTTCAATAATGTTGTTTACATGATTGTAAAGCGCCTTGAACATAGGATAAGAGCGCTATAGAAATAAAGTTATTATTATTATTATTATTATCCTCAGTAAACGAGATGTCTTGTTTTAAAATTCAGACTAGGGACGTACGTACCTCGCCGCCTAGTGGTTTGAACTTTCATTTATTTTTGAAAACTAAATTCTAGTCTCAAAAGGTCTTAGTTTTTTTAGTATTGTAGCTTTCGACTGTATCACACAGTCTTCACCAGCTTTAAATGTACAGTGTTGTTGTCACGTGAATAAGTCACGTGACAACAAATGATTAAAAATCGCGGAAAGTTCATAATCCCCATCTCTATTTTTAATTGGACGCTGGCGACTGATAATAATGGCCTCCTTTATTTTGTTTTACATTTATCTTATTTATTTTATTATATACAGCTCAAAGAATTGACCCCTCAAGTATCTCATGTTGCTAAAATCCTGTTGGATTATGGAAAGCATTCCCCTGGGGATGTACCTGCGGTGTCTGTTCATTTTGAAAGTATGCGTGATGGTTGGAAAGATAAGATGCAGGCACTGACAAACCTTGTGGACAGTGCTACAGATACTGGAAAGTTTATTGAAGCCTGCGGTATGTACCATGTCATATCATTCAGTTCCGGAGTTATTGTGGTTGTTTTCCATTAATTTACATGGTTCAAGTTTTGAGTAAATGGTACGCAAAATTCAGGACTGGTAAATTTCTTTCGAGAATCACGTTTACAATTTGTACAAATCAGTTCCATTAACCGACAAACCCTAACCCAAAATATCTGTAAACTTAGACCATTTTTTTACGTGATATGCCTTTGCCAACATTTTCATACCTTTTATTTCAGAGGAAGCAATTAATAAAGATGCAGAAATGTGTAATGCTGCTATGGAAGAAGGAAATCCACAGGTAGTTTTAAATAACTATGCGGTTTTCACCTACTATGTTAATACTCTGACCTATCGAAGAAAAACAGATACTGACACTGCGGTGAAACAAGTAAAATTCGAAGCAAATCTGCAGTATATAAGATGTGTTGGGCGGCAAATGAAGGGAAACTCGTGCTAGCAAGTCATGATTAGTTTAGGGGGCTTTGCCCTTTTCACCTTAACTCTCTCAAACCTCTTCATCCAGGTCGTGATATAAGGCTGCATACATCACTGTAGTGGTGCGAAATGTTTCATAGCGAATCACTAAACGTAGCAATGTAGAACTAAATACCATGGAAAAAGGGCATAAGCACTCAATTCTGTCCAACGATAAAAAACGAAAAAACTGGCTTCATAATAGAGACTTCCAAGTCTCAGCTTTCTGCGTCGCGATTGGTGCTGTAAGTTGGTTTGATATCTTAAACGCAACATATCTAACAGGCAGGTGTTGGAAACCGTTAGGAGTTCCACAAACGTTCACTTTGTATTGTCAGACAAAAAAAGTGCTTGCCCCACACAGCTAACGGTGTCATTTTTCCCAAACCGTCGCTGATTTACTCCTTTTTGCCGTCCATTTCGTGTGATTAGTTGCTGATCGCGAAGAGTTCTAACATTGCCCGTCGAGCCAAAAGAGTGGTGGACGTTGCTGAAGCTGAGATGGAGAATTCTTTAGACCCGGATTACGTTTCCAAGATGGGTGCCGCGAAAGATACACTTGCAAACTGTAAGTACAAGGATGCAAACGTGGTCATTGGAGAAGAGGGGCAACCGACTCTGTATTCCCTTTTAACTGACTTTCAGCCAACAAATTTTGTTTACAGCTAACAATGCCATCAATAGAAAAGAGATGTGTGACGTCAAAAAAATTCATATTTGTGAAATTATGGGATTGGCTAACAT